TTTTTTGTATGATTAAAATATCTGTAATTTTGCAGCTGTTTCCCCAGAAGATAAGACCATAACGGAAAATACTTTGGAAAAATGCAAAGTAGGCCATTTTTATGTAGTCAAAGTCAACAAAATACTTAAGACGTCTAATGAGATGTACCACTCTGGACAATCTTGCAGCTATATGATCGATGTGATTGTCCCACTGAAGGTTATTATCAAGATAAATGCCTAAAAACTTAACACAACTTACATTATTAGGCAGTTCAAGGTTAACAGGCCTGAGACTAAAAATAATATTCTGTGTTTTATCGTTATTTAATAGAAGCCCATTTTCTTGAAACCACACTGATGCCTTGTTTAAAGCCCCATCAGCTAAAGGTTTAAGTAGATCTAAATGATTGCTAACTGATACAAAAGTAGTGTCATCAGCATACAGTATGGTTTTTGTTAAGCTAGGTATTTTTTTTGGCAGGTCATTTATGGCTACTAGGAATAACATTGGTCCCAGAACAGAGCCTTGTGGTACTCCATACTTGAGAGTAGCCTCGTCCGACCACAAGCCATTTAAAAGTACACGTTGTTTGCGATTTTCTAGGTATGATTTAAAAAAAGAGAGAGCAGACCCCTTAATGCCTAAGTCCTCTAATTTGCACAATAGATTATCATGGGCCACACAGTCAAAGGCCTTGCTCAGGTCACACAGTGTGGCCCAAGCAAAGGCCTTCATCTCAAAAGTATTTAATACTTCTTGTACTAAAGCATCGATGGCATCTGTGGTTGACATACCACTGCGGAATCCATATTGAGACATATAAATAAGATTGTTATTTTCTAAAAAATTGCTGACTTGGTCAAACACAAGTATCTCAATAACTTTAGATAGGGTTGGTATGATTGATATGGGCCTATAACTTTCAGGCCTATTCCTAGCACCTTTCTTAAAGATTGGACAAACACGTGAAATCTTCAGTTCCTTGGGGAAATGACCATTGAGCAGACACAAGTTGATACATGAAGTGAATGGGTGTAATATACCAGATATAATGTGTTTTAATGAGTTGTTTGATATATTGTAGAAATCATTACTATTAGAATTTTTTAGGTGTTTTACAGCTTTAAGAACAGATTCGGGAGTTACAGGATTAAAGGAGAAAACTGGCGGGGAAATGTGATTGGTGTTATGGATTTGACTATCTGGAATGCACTGAGTAGCTCCTTGCTGCTGCACAGTATTAAGCTGCTGCTTGATGCTCTCAACTGAATCTATGAAAAAGTCATTAAACTGTTGTGGTGTTATTGGAATTTTTTCATTAGAACGAGAGGTCTTAGTGTTATCTTGTATTACTTTCCAGGCAGCCTTACATTTATTACTGCTATTTTCTATGTAATTGCGATTATGTAAAATTCGAGCTTTTTCTATATTTTGTCTATATTCCTTTTTTAAACTGTTCATTTGAGACTTAACTTCTAGAGAATTGGTATGTTTGAACAACTTACTCAAGGTCAATAACTCCTCTTTCATGCCAGCAAGATCACTGGTGTACCAGCTGTTTTTGATAGGTCTACTATCCATGCAGGTAGTAGGCCTAGGTTTCTTCATACGGCAGTAATAGTTTATTACTGTGAGTAATAAGCATCTAGACTGCCAGTGCTAGTCCGAGGATCGGACTCAGATCAGGATCGTGGATCAGATCAGTGGATCACCCCCCACCACCGCTCAGTGCCGATGGCGTGACGTCAACCATTTCTGCAACGATACGGAACTGAGTCATGAGCCTTTGTGGTGAAGTGGATAGCGTGTCGGGCTGATAATCTGAAGGTGCCGGGTTCGAATCCCACCGGGAGCACTAACTTTTTGTCAACAATTTTTTTCATATCAGCAAGTTTGGTTGGTTTGGTTAGGTTATGACAGTTTAATTTTATAATTAAAAGATTGTAAAATTGAATTTGAGACATTTATAATTTTATTTTTAGAACCGAGCTATTTTTCTATTAGTAAACCTTCATTCGAGTTTATCATTATCAGCAAGTTTGGTTAGTTTGGTTAGGTTATGATAGTTTAATTATATTTAATTCAAATTTAATCTACAAATTATACGTTTTGACAGCGACAGTGATACAGATAACAATTTTCCACGAACACACTGATCTGATCCACGATCCTGATCTGAGTCCGCTCCTCGGACTTGCACTGGCAGTCTAGACGCTAGTCTGTGAGTAACCTTACAAAAAAAACATTAAAACCAGATTGAAGCATATCAACAGTTAGACTTTGGAATAACAGATCCCAGTCAAATGATAATAGGCTATCAGTTATGTCCAAAAGGCTTGACTTGGGCAATACTGTTCTAAGGTAACTGATAGGCTCATTGTCAGATAAAATATTTGAATTAAAACTTAAACTAAGGATTATACTATCATGGTCAGAGAAAGGAAAGAATATTACATTACTATTACAGCTAGCAACATTGTCAGTGCCTATCCTTACAAAGACATTATCAAGGCAATGCTCACCTCGTGTTGGGGAAAAATTTTTACAAAAATAGTTGTGTTGTCTAAGAAGGTTTAAAAATCTTTAACGGTTTGTTTTTCTGTTGTGATGACAAAATCTCTATTCACGTCTTCTCCAATAATCACATTATAACTGGGCCACCAATTACATAAAAACAACAGCAAACATTCCAGTTTTTCAAGAAATATGCTTGGACTACCATTAGGAGATCTATAGAGTGAAACTACAATGATTTTCAAACTATCGAAAATTACAGATGACAATTCGAAGTGTAGCTCGACACATAAATAGGCTACGTCAAGTTCTTTAGCCTGTAGGGCAAGGTCATTCCTTACAAAAATAAGGGTACCTCCTCTGATTTTATTTGATCTGCAAAAAGCGTTACCTAATACATAATTACTAGGACAAGAAAAGCTAACCTCACCTGATTGAAGCCAATGTTCTGAGATACAAAGTATAGATAGATTAATGTTTCATGAGAAGTGTACTACTGTATACTACTGTATATTTATAGTATAGATAGATTAGGCCTAACGGTAGTACAGTACCTCATATTGGCCAAAATGGATGGGATCTGGCCAGGGGTGCCCACAGGGGGGTTTGATGCCGCAAAATGCGACATCAGAAATTTATTTGGGGGGAATTTTATGATTTTGGGGGGGATTCAAGCCAGTGGTTGGTTAAAAGCACATAAAAGATTAATCAGATAATTTTTACGACCTCCTTAATTTATTACTGGGGTAATTATGCAATCAAAATCCCGTTTGACATTTTATCTTGATTAATAAATCATTTTATAATTGCTATAAAATATATAGAAACTTTTATGAAGATTTCCACTTTCTGACTCGTATCATGTTTGACAGTGAGAACAACTCCATGCCAACTGCTGTCAAAGGATTATGGTTGGCTTATTAAATTGTATCTGCAATTTGAGTTTGTTTTTACCTTTCATTATGAACTCATTCTCAAATAGTCTCATTGCCTTGAGGCCCTATTGATGGTTTTTTTAGGTTTGTTTATTATAATATATACCGTACTTGATTCATAAAAAAAAACAGTATTTATAATGATTTTGCTATTTTTACAACATGAACAAAAACATGAAAGCTTGTGATAATATTTTGGCTCTCCCAAATAGTTATGCCTGGGTCATTTATTCATTGGAAGAAATTGACATACAGTACTGTGATAATTTAATTAAGGTTTTCGATAGGCTATTTGTTTACGTTAACTTCAAGAATTTTTTTTTAAAGAGGTTGGCGGCCTCTTTTAACCTTGCATTTGCCCGTCCACATAGACTACAGATCTGTGCGTGGAACGTATCCAGCAAAGCAAGAGGTGAGTCGGTACTGTACAAAGGTGAACTGTACTGATAAAAGTTTGTGGCAGTGACCAGGATCCGAACCCACGACACTTCTGCCTTGGGCCCAAAGTCCGTGACGCTACCAACTGAGCCACCGACTCACCAATTGAAACACATGATTCTGGATTAATTAAATTGTATTTGTTATTGTCTTTTCTTGAATCTAGAAAGAGCTTAAACCAAATTTTACTAGTCTTAGAATAGATATATAATTATTTTTTATGCCACACTACACTATTTTGACGAACTTCACATGCAAGGATTTTAGTCCAGAAAACAGCTGTTTGTCGCCAGCTTAATCAAATGGGGTTTCATACAGTCTACTACTGTACTGCCTATATACCACTGTGTAGGCTATGGATCTGTAGGTCAATTCATAACTTTATTATTTCAAATTATCATTTAGGCCTGTGATGTGTTTTAATAACTTTCTTTCTGGCTTCATCGATTGTTCTTGAACGTTCAATCCATAACTTCCTCGTAATCATTTTTTGAAATAAATTCTTCTTATGCTTCAAGTCTTCAAGATCACAGTGTTAGTCATTAAAAATAAATGGCTTCAGTGACAGTGATGGTGACAGTAACTGGAACCACTACTGGAACTGGACATTCTGTTCTGAAAGTTCCCTTTGCATTATGTAATACTGGAACTGGAGCTGGAACGGGAACGGGAAGTGGAGCATTTTGACGTGCGAATAGTCTAGTCACTTCGTATCAGGCAGTTTGGTTAGTTAGGTTAGGTTGTGTCAGTTTAATTTTATAATTAAAAAAATAATTTTATATTTTTTTAGTTTTATAAAATTTTATTTATTTATAATTTTAAACTCTCATTTTGTCCGTATTAAAAAACTGCAGCTGAAATAAAAATTGTGCAGCCCCGACTGTTGCTCTGAGTATCTAGACGCTAGTCTGCTTCGCGGCTTCGCTTCGCTTCTGCTTTTGCATCTATTTGCATTTGCACTCTGCAACCTGCAGCTTTCTTCGCTGCTTTCAGTTTCAGATTGTTTACCAACTTCCTTGTAACTTTGGACATAATTTTAAAAGTATTTCATCTTTGGTATTGCAATATTTATTTGTTTTGATGTGTTTCTTCAATAGCTGAATTTCTTTTTGATTTTATCGGTGAGTTCAAATTGATGCAATACAGTAATGTTATCATGATTTAGGTTAAGATGGATGTCACTGGTTCAGTTCAGTTTCTTAATTGAAATCAAGAATGCCGCTCACACTTATTCATTGTGAGGATCCCACAATTGAAACTTTTTGTCACAAAATTCTAAATGAACACCAAGATACGATGCACACTACCTTTGAGGAACATGTGGCTGATTATCAGAAAACTTCACTAGGCATAGGCCTAGTTGTGGTAGGTGCCTCTATACAGTTAGAGTAGAACACTGAAGTTTATCATAAAACCACTAATGCTAACCTTTTAAGCAATCAAACTTTTCTGAAATTTTGATGAAATGCAATTTGGAAAGACTTTGTTGCACAACTAATTTTAGTCATACTTGTTAAATAGGCTAGGCCTAATTACTTGTGTGAACCTGGCAATAACTCCAGCAATAAGTAGTGCGCGCACCCGATAAAATCTATTGCTGGCCGTTTTGCGGGAAAATACGGCCGCGTACCATAGGTCCTATTACTGATGATGTCACCAGATAGAGGACACTATAACAGACACGTCAGTCTCAATATCATGTACCTGGGGGGGGGGGGGGGGAGGGAAGTTAGGGGGGGTTAAGTCAGCAATAAGTCGATAAAATCTATTGCTGGCCGTTTAGCGGAAAAATACGGCTGCATAACATATTACCGATAATGTCACCAGATAGAGGACACTTTTACGGACACGACAGTATCAATATCATGTACCTGGGGGGTAATTTAGGGGGGGGGTAAAGTCTGCAAAAAGTAGTACGCGTGCCTGAAGAAATCTATTGCTGGCCGTCTTGCGGAAAAATCCGGGCACATAACATATTACCAATAATGCCACAAGATAGAGGACACTTTTACGGACATGACAGTATCAATATCATGTACCTGGGTGGTTAGTTGGGGGCGGGGGGGGGGGGGGGGGGTTAAGTCAGCAATAAGTAGTGCTCACGCCCAAAAAATCTATTGCTGGCCATTTTGGGGAAAAATACAGCCAAGTAACATATAACCGATAGTGTCACCAGCAGTGGCGTAACAGAAAGGCCCGCAAGGGGGCTCAGGAGCTGAGGGGGCCCGCGAACTGGAGAGCGGGAAGCAATTGATTTTATCGGGCGCGCACACTTCTTTTTGCTGGAGTTATTGCCAGGTTCACACCAATGGCCTAAGTTACCATTAGATTGATCCATTTTCCATGTGATCTTGATCTTAGTGATATATTTATGATTGGACTGCAATCGATTGGAATGATTTGATATGAAACCATAAGTACAGTAGTCTCTACATGCTAAGTTATAAGTTTATTACTGTCATAGGTCTATTCTTACTGTTTAATTCAACAGGTAGGATTTAGCTAACATCCCTTAGGCAAGCACCTATAAGTTAAGCTTGGGGAGAAGCTTTCATCATTGGTGATATTCTAAGCCCCACATTCAAATTACTTTTTTTTATGCCACCTGAGGCCAACACTTATTCAAAGTTCATTTTTAGGTGTATGTGTCTGTTAGAAAGATAACATAAATAGGCCTAAAAGTGATCCATTTATGATGAAATTTTGTACTAATGGGTAGGTTTAACCAAACTTGCTCTTTCATTTGAACAAAATTGGTGAACCAAACTGATCAGGGAGTTAAGAAACAGGGTTTTATGGGGTAAAAATTGGATGGTTTAAGCTATTAAGTAAATAAGTATATTGTTTCAGCAATTAACTTAAAAAAATACCTGGTGAGAACAGTCTTTGGTCAATGTCAAACGTCGATCAAGCGATTCATCGACGCTCCTGTTTAAGATGATCAGCCTGTTTATCATATTGCTCGGCCATAAGATCTGAATTTATATATTTCTCCACTTAAATTTTTCGATGTGCGACTTGGTCCTGAGACATTTGATAATATGTATTTGAGCTAAGTTAGGCCCTAGTTGGAACTGGGTCGGATGTAGACAAAGTGGTAAAATTTGTGTCCTGACGATTGATTGTAGATTCTCTCCCTTGCAGATTCTGTTTCATTTTCGCTTTGTAGGTCTTCCGTGTTTCATTCCTTGAAAGTTAACCTTGAAAACAATTAAACACTGATAACTTAGGTGCCAAATAAACCAAACTAAATACAACTATTCTTAAAAACGTTCAGTCCAAACCAAGCAATACAGTTTTTTTTTTGTTTACAAGTGAAAATCAAGCTATAACAATAAAAAATACATGTTACAACTATTTTTGTTAACTAGGCTACATATACAAAAAAGGCAGGCCTATTGACCATAACATGGGATTGGGCACTCTCAAGGGCTGTAGCCTATAGGACGGAAAATTTTTGATTTTCCCCGCCTTGTGAACAACTTCAATCGATTTTTCGTGTCCAAATACGGTACCACTTTTTTAACAAAAAAATCAAATATCCTCGGACATAAAAAAAGAATGCCCGTACACGCACTTGTTTAAGAGTAGGTACAAGTATTAGGTAATTTGTTGTATGAGTAGGCTACTAACTTACAGTTTTTCATCCAGAATCCAGAAATGCAATAGCCTACGGTAAGTTTTTAATGGAATGATGATCCTCAAAACATAAAATGTTGTACGTGTTTAATTTCTACAGTAGCCTAAATTTACATTTTTATTTCCCATCATATTCTTAAATCTAAAATAAGTAGCTAGGCCTAGGCCCTGGCTCAGTTAACTTAAACTTTAGTAACTTACAGTTACAGTTCCACTAAGACTGTGATAAATTGTGGGATCAATTAAAATATAGTATATCAATTATAATTCAGTTTGTATTACAATTTTTATAATTAAATTTCCCATTAAATTTAATTTTACCATATATGATAGCCTATTTAATACCCCTGCCGCAGCAAACCTGCAGACTGAACAAATTTCCATTTGCCTTAACTTAAATTGAATATACACTAAAATCTATAGCTATAAACAAGAAAATAGCATTAAATAGCATTACATCTAACAAGTAAGTTAACTTACTATGTTTGCTGCTATGAGGAAGGTAAAAAGTGTTTTTGACCAAGTGTTAAAGTAGGCTACAGGGTGAAATAAAGTTATTTTACTTTTTAAGCTCTTCAAAATAGTTTACTTAACGAGAAGTTGAGAAATTTTAGGTTTTGTGAGTAACATTTTTCCAAAATTTCTTCATAATACCCTGTTTCCATGGTCCAATCATGCTGGTTTGCAAACTCATTCAAGTTTATCCCGCCATAATTCTTAAATCAAATTTAATAAAAATCAGACCAAAATTCCTTGAGTTATTGCATTATAGACACACACGCCCTATATACAATTTGAACAGTCTTTTTAGCTTCTGGAGGCATAAAAATTAAAAGGTAAATCGGTCCCAGGCCTAGGTCTCACCGTGCCACAGACGCTAATAGCAACTTTCATAGGCCTATAGAGAAATTTGCTAAAAACTTTTTATAAAGTTCTTTATTTTATCCTAAAGCCGGGAACACACGCTGCGGTTTTGTCTGCCATGCAAATATTTAATATCGTACCAACAGTGGCGGGAAGTTATTCTATATAAACTAGGCCTATCGTTTTATTATAAATTTGGACGGCTGAAAAGGAAGAAACTATAAATGCTCTAACCATATGCAGAAATTAGGTACCTATATTGATAACTTAGTTTCATATATATTAAACATTAATAAACACATAAACAGCCAATCCTAACTCATTTAGATGTTTAGGGCCTAAAAAAACCATATTGTAGGCTACAAAATGGTTATATTGAACCCAATCAAAATCGATATATTGATATGTAAACCGATAATTTATTGCAGGTTCTCTGCGAAACTGTACCCGAAACTTAAGTTAGTTTGCTTGTTAAGGATATTATTTTAACCCTCCCAGTGCCAAACATCTATGCAGTGCTGGATTTACCACTAGGCCGATTAGGCTGCGGCCTAGGGCCCCAAGCAAAAGGGGGCTGCAGAGGATCAAGAAACACATTTTTGAGATAAAAATAATATTTTTTAACCACCAGTTTTCCACGATCTCAGGTGACCATAATGATGTCTCCACGGACCAAGGGAGATGTTCACGATTTTGCCGTGGGTGTCGGTGATGATGTGACCGTGATTGCGGCCTGTGGAAACGTTCACGATGCGGCCGCGGGTGACGGTGATGTGTCCTCATGAACGCAGGCCGCCGGAGACGTTCAAGAATTAGCCGCTGTCACGAGTGTCGATGATGATGTCCCCGTGATTGCGGCTCACGGGAGATGTTTACGATTTTGGCACGGCCACGGGTGACAATTATGATAACCTCATGATCGCAGTCCACGGGAGATGTTTTTAACACGACTTTGCCGCGATCGCAAGTGTCGATGATTATGTCCCCATGATTGCTGCTTCGCGGGAGATGTTTCGATTTTGCCACAGTCGGGGCTGACGGTGATGATGTCCTCAAGGTCACTGCTCACGGTATATGATTTCGCCGCGGTCGCGAGTGTCGAGAATTATGTTCCTTTGTTGCAGCCCGCAGGGGATGTTTACGATTTTGCCGCGGTCACGGATATCTATAATGGATCTGACTTGGTTTAGGAGAGATGTCCACGATTTCATCCACAATCACGGGTGTCGATGATGATGGATAGGAGATATTCACGATTACTTCCGCTATTGCAAAGAATTTCCACCACAGAGGGAAGGCCGCTCAAGTAATTTGGCCTAGGGTCGCAAGTACCCTAAATCCGGCACTGCATCTATGGTAATGATACGCTCTGTGGTGTCAAGTGTCAATGCATCAATGGTAGTGCAGACGGTTACATATTGTCTGTTAACTCAGTCAATGTTAGTCCGGTTTCAACTGGATCTAATAATAACTTCTTGATCAGCTGACTGGATCTATATCACTGTAAACAGCAGAAAACTGGCAACAAAAAATGACTGACACCAGGAGGGCTGATAAAATTTGGAAAATTTGAAAACCTTAATTTATTTAATAGGCTACTGATTAAGTCTGGACTTGTTTACAGAAATCAATCTTGTTTTCAGTTATGTACCTATTACTTAAATTAAACATTATCCTAAATGATATCAAAAGTAGAGTCATTTTATTGTCAAGTTCAGGGATGGATTGGCCTCGATAATTATTGTGTTTAATCCCTGTTTCCTGATTATTCTTAAGGGATCCAAACTGTCATAGCTTATCCAACCTAAGCGTTTTTGAACCGATTTATACAAATTTGTAGCCTTTGTAGGTAATTTATTGAGCCATGAAGGATTTAAGGTCTCGGTTAAAAGGTACATACGTCGTCCGCTCTACACATGGTTCCATGCACACCCGTAGCGACAATTGTTTAGAAAAAATGTAATAATTGGCCTTTATTGTGGGTATAGATGATGTCCCTGTGTTTGCAGGAGATATTCATGATTTTTGAGTGTTATATGTATTGTGAAACCACTTTACTAGATACCAAATTCTCACATTCTGGGTTATTGCAATTAGTAGGAAACGTGTTATTTGATCATTTATGGTTTTAAACATTCTCTTTTACATTTCAGGGGAAGATTGTCAAGGTACTATCATATTCGGCTGAACTACAACGCTATGTGTTACTGGTTAAAGAATGTAAGTTTTTATGCATGTAGGCTATTAAATAAACTTTAAACACGTAGTTTTCAAATTGCTCTCTACTATAAATATTTATTATGTTTTTGCTGTTTTTATTATATCACATCTTCAATAGGCTACATATATATTGTCGGGACCACGTAAGTTTGCAGTTGGTGGCAGCCAATCACAAGACAAGGCTAGTGCGACGTTTCCACATCGCCAGTTGACAACACTAATTAAAATATACTAAGCAATATTTTCAAATCAGCTGGTATTATTAGATTTGGCAACACCGCACGGTTCTCATTGGGTCATTCAAAACCATATGGTAATTAGGCTCCTCCCTCAACCGCAAACTTACGTGGTCCCGACAATAGTTTGTTATTTCCAAATTATGGCATATTTTTTCTTGATACAAGTTAAGAATATTAGCTACCATTTATAATATTTAACATTTGGTTGCCCTGCATTAACATGATTTTTCAACAAAACTATCATGTACCCTAAAAATGTGTCATTTTAAAATATATAAGTATCAATATTTAGGGTGAGCATCCCCTGAATACTGCCACTCCTCTTTGCCCTTCAAATCACAACTAGGGGTCTCAATCCCTGAATCCCGATTAGTTTTTAATACCTATAAAATCCCGGGATTGGCGTCTCTTAATCCCGGGATAAACGGGATTGCAAAACCTATGTTTATATTTTTTTTGTAAATTTAAGTAGTTTTACTTACGGAAAATAAATTAGAATACGTGCAATAACACTTGAAACATATACTGTTTACTTATAGGACGATGTGAAATATGGTATAAGTTGTGATCAATTTCAATTGGACAATTTAATCTATCTATATATTTAGTACACAGTTGTAAGTCTGTTTTCTCAGTCATTACTGGACCGATCTACAAGATTTATGTCTCAAATTAAAGAGGATAGTGTGTAGATTTGCCGAACTTCTTTAGAATTTACGTTTTTTCTAAGGGCTACGACCTGCAGCCCTTCAAAGGTCAAGTCAATACAATTCTTATTGAAGAATATAATACACAGTTTATAAATTATTTGTCAGCTGTTTAATGTTTGTCAGACTTTTGTTATTATTTTTATAACCTTACTTTGAGTATGTTATTATTAATCTATAAAAGAGTTCCTGTTTATAAACACAACGATTTTGATCAAGGAAAAGTTTATTTGTTCTTTTTATACCACAATGTATTATTTATAAATGTATTTGAACATTATTTGTATGTTTTGGTGAACATTTTGTATTTTTGAAAGGTTTTAGTTTTCCTGTGAAGTGATCTGAAGGGAAGTGGTAATTCAGTTTTTAAGTTTGAGTATGGAATGCGAAATAGAAATAATACCCATAGTAGGGGACGGAAACTTATTGTTTTGATCAATATAATTTATTCTCTATAGCCACCAGAGCAATCATAGGGAAATCCGCTTGCAAGTTGTACAGATGATTGCTGATGAGTGGGAAACATACAAACATTTTGTCGTAGGTGATGAATCTTACTCAAGATCAGTGTTTGACGTTCAGCAGTACCAAATTTTACCTTATCGAGATTGCGAGTAAGCTGGGATACGTGGAACTACAATTTATCAGTGAACTATACCCTAACAATTTTTTTTCGAGTACACAGGGAAGTTGCTTGAGAAACTGTGACTCACGATTTCGGTTCCGGCAAAGAAGTATGCTAATTGATGTTTTATGGCAATGTTGACTCGGGGTCATTACAGCGTTATAAAACTTTATCATTAACCCCACAGTGTGAAAGGTACAAAAAAAGAAAAAAGAAAAAGTAGGCCTAATCATTAATCGGGCGTAAAGAGACATACAGAACGAAAAAACACAAGAGAACCATCAAACTAAAAAAGTAAAGAGCAGTGATGGTGTTAAATGCTCTAGAAGTCCCTACAAAAAAAAAAAAAAAAAAAAAAAACACTGACTCTTTTGAATTGGGGTCGTTAAATTGGATTTGTAATACGAGTCAGAACAGACAAACATGGACACAAATACATTCTGCTTATGTTGTCACAAGGGAAAGATAAAATTAGCTCCTTATCAACATTTTGAGTTCATGGAAAATCTTATCAACGGGGCTACAGCGACTATAAATAAAGTATTAAGGATAAAAAAAAACAAAAAAAGCTATTTGAATAATATTAGATCATACAACTCTGCATTTGAAATGGCGAGTTCTAAGTCTCACTTGAATCAACATCTTTCTGGTAGTACATAATTTTAAGATCCGGGACTGCTTTTACCATCGGGTTGGACCGTTAATACCCTCTAACATTAAACCAAAGTATGCCCAACTTTATATATACGACATAAACACAGCTGTTACTCACGGAATGGGTAAAAGATTCGTGAAATGCGACCAACTGCTGATGATGCGTTATTTACATGTAAGTATCTATCTTTTTTCCGTACAACAAATGTAATCAACAAAAAAACTACGAATATAGGAATATACATGAACAAATTATCACCATAGCAAAAGTAGGTTATCAGGTTATAGCATTGCACAGTTTGTATAATATTTATTTTTCAAATGAAAATTGAATTAATGTAAAACATGCATTTGCTTAAACTAATATATCGGTTTGATTAACATAAAGTAGTTAATACAGGCCAACTATCAGTTAGTTCTATTTCATGTAAAAAATTAAGCTGCCCCTAAATGAACAAAGATAAACAGTATTTGTTAGTTATTATATCTTTTATTGCTGACAATATTCCCGTGGCGGAGCACGGGCGGTTAACTAGTACTTATTTAATACGCAAGCAGGTTTTTTGTGACAATTACTCCTCCGAAACTACTGACCCGATTGACATGTTTTTGGTGTCGTTGGAAAGAGCGTAACGTGAAGTTGTCCAGGAAACTTTCTTTTTAGGGAAATAATTAGAGAGTGAGGCCCTGGGCCCTTTAAGTTTCATATTTCTCCATAAGATTAACATGGGAAACAACAATTATTATAAAACTCCAGCTGTTGTCAGAAATTAAAAGTGAGAAGAAGAACATATGTTAATTGTAAACAGTCAATAAGTTTGCTAATTTAACAGTTTGGTACAAACGTTTACTAACTTGGTAGAAATGAAATATTTACTATTTGAATTTGGGTTGGCATAAATATTACAATGGAAAAAAGCTAGAAAGCCTGGATAAATTGATACCCTATACTAATAGGAAAACTCAATTAACACTGTTCTGCATTTCTTAGTAATCATTGAAAGAGCCGATTTGGAAACTACAGTAGACTCCCTCTTATCCGGACACCTTTTAGCCGGACATCGGTTTAACCGGACGGACTACACTCGATGGAAATGACATCTCTTTAACCGGACAATGTTTATCAGCAGATTGGTTTAACCGGACTAGATCGGCAGGAAGTGGGCGGTACTGTAACGACTGTTCTCGTGGGAAAGATTTGAGACTATTTTTCTTATTTGTGTTTTGTTATACAAGTATACATAAAATAAACACAATGGAACACTTCATACTGTCAAAATAATTTTTTGCTCGTTTTTAATTATGCAGATATAACCGCTACCCGTCCGCGGATGAGTAGAAAACAGCGGATAACCGCCACCCGTCTTTGAAGATATGACCATGACAACGTTAGGCAATAAATAAATAACAATATGTAAACAATAAATAAAGAAAACGTAGTGTTGAGCATGAAATGTCAAGGGGGGAGCGTAGGTTATATTAATATTTCAAAAAAAGCTATTTCAAACAAAAATCCAACTGTTTCTGGGATAAAATATTATAACTACCTTCCTGAAATCATAAAATCCGAAAAGAGTTTGAAATGTTTTGAAAGGAAACTAAAAAGATTTCTTGTGGCCAAAGCGCTATACAGTTTTGAGGATTTTTTTATTGTTTAAGGTCATTTAAATAAATATTTATTTTAAATAGACAATAGACAAATAATCTTTATTTACACATTCATTAAGAATAGTAGTAGCGTCAATTTACAATTTTTTCTAAATGTGTGGTTGAGGTGTTGTTTAGTCAAAGACCTGTTGATGGTATTCTTCTAAGGAATAGAAAGGTCGATATGCATAATGTATCACTTTTCTATTTAGTTACTAGGCGATATAATGTATTATGTATTGTTCTAAACGCCATTCATGTATACTTTTGTATATATGTGAATAAAGTATCTTTGAATTGAATTGAATTGAATAGGAGAGGTGGGGGTGTGCGGGAGAAGGCAAGGCGTGGAAGAGGGGTAGGCGCGGGAGAGAGAAGGGAGTGCGGGAGAGAGCGCAGCTATGGAGAGAGCAGGAAAGTGGCGCCTTGGTACCGCGAAACATCTGGTTACTGCTCAAGCACCTGCCAGTCTGTCTGAAGAGAAGGCGGATATATCCGATTCCCGTCCGGAACATCAAAAACCATAAGCGGATATATCCGCCACCCGTCCTTTATCGCCAAAGACTTAGGCGGATATATCCGTCACCCGTCCGGGTAGGGTTAAGAGACTGTGAAAACCTTTTGGGACAAAGACTTCTATGATGATTCTTCCTTTGTTTGCAATATACACATAGTTTGCTTACCTTACAATCCTTAAAGTTGTGGCCACTCTTCAAGCAAATAAAACAGAGACCTTTCTTTTCTTTTTTCTACAGTTTTGTACTTCTGGCATTGATCGTTCTAGTGAGAAACTACCAACAAAAGGAGGAGGTTCTCAATTTGTTTGTGGCGATGTTTTTTTTTTTTCTATGTATGTTCACCAATTTCTCTGTGATTCTTTTACCGATCAGTGTGGTTCCACCACCAAAATAACCAGGAGAGTTTCTATTTGGTACCTTATATATTATGTTAAAGTATAATATTTGTTTCGGTGAAAAATTCTGAAAACCTTAAATATTCAACATTTATTTTGTTTACATTTTTGCAGATTGTTTACATTTGTGCAGAGAAGGCAATAAATAATGATAACATTCCTACAGCTGTTAGTTGAAACCATTTAAATGAAGCTAGAGACAGTTCTTCATGAAACAGTTGCTTCGTATTGATCAATATACTATTTCTTGCCATGCATTTTGTTTTGTTTACTATAAAAAATGTATTTTAACGTTTGATCTGATTTGTGTATATAGTAATTCTGTTTTTAGTATTGAATATTCTGACTTAAAAAAAACATATATGTTTCAGTGAACAGCTGTATGATATTGACAAATAAAGGTGTATTGTGAAAACCAAAGCTTTCGTAAAACAGGTCTAAATATAAATTAAATGCAATTATTCCTTACACGACCTAAGAAGTGTGACAGTGCATGATCGTCAATTGTCTTAAAAGTGTTAAATATTTTAATTACTAAACATGCATTTGCAGATTTTGAATGTTTATTGATATTCTCTACCCAGTTACTACAGGGTGGGGCAGAGTGGACTCCCTGATTTGATCGGTTAACTGTATAAAAACCATACAAGATTATTACAAAAGCTTTTTATTTCTGAAATCTAAATACAATGCCATTTTTTCTGATGGAGGAAAGTTTTTGTTGATCCCAAACCTAATAACAATTGTGACTTCTCTAGCTACGATTATATTTCTGACTAAGCTACATAATTTAGTGGCATCAAGAGTATTATCTATGTTGTTTTCTTCTACTTTTTTAACTATATCCAGAGGAAGTTTCCTTATAGTCAGAAAAAAAAATAAATTTGAGTTGGTATCTTCGCCTAAGTTTTGTAGACACCTGATGTGTTTGTCAATAACATAGAATAAGTTCCTAAGTGTTCCAGAGTCGTTAGATTTTAAGAGACTTAAATCCATCAAGGCTTTGTAATGCAAATTTATTATGAGTCGTTAAGATTTTGTTAGCAAATCTGTCTTGAAGTAAACAAATATTTCTTGATTTATTTGACTCTCATTTAAACCAAGATGAACAAACAATATTACATCTGCAAGTAAATAAACGGTATCAGCAATCTGACACATACTTTCTCCCATTAGCTTGTCAACAACCTTTATCATGGATAAGCGATGAGAGTAACTATGATATTTAACAGGTAAAATCACAAAAGTTTCATTCACTTTTGAACAGTAATTTTAGGAATGAACGGATGCACTATTTTGTTTAGAATTATAAGGACCATAACAGAAGAATCTTTTTTTTTCAAATAGTCCATTTTTCCGTTTTTTTAATGGGGTTTTATGTGAAAATAACATAAGTTACAATAACTTTTGAACCATAATTTGTTTAGCAATGGGGGGTTGCACTATGTTGTTAGGAATTATAAGGATTATCACATACTAATCTATAATATTAAAACGAAACTGTGTTTTTTTATTTCACGATTCTGAATCAACCACTCGACGGATTTTAATGATTTTTGTGTTGAAAGAAAGATAATTTTGAGAACTAGGGAATGTCGAAGCCATACATTAAGTTTATGGTCCAAGATTTTTAGAAATTAAGTTTTAATTTTTAAAAAGTCTAGCAGCCGACGCTAAGATTCTAAACTAGCTTTTGGCATAAAATAATTTGCTTAACATAACAGCTGTAAACATTCAGCTTTTGTGTCACAAATTCAGCATTTGGATAAAAATGTAAAGACATACTTAGGGTTGACTTATTTATATTATGTGTAATGCAAATCATTGATACGTTCAATTCTTCTGTAAGAGGATGACAGATTAATTAAATTATACATAGTAAAATACTAGGATGTTCAAATTATTTTTTTAAAGCAATCTTTGTAATCTTCGATTTGTTTTAGAGCAATATAATTTGTTTTAACTAACAGCTGGTTAAATATAAACTATGGAACTATGAGGTTATTTTATTTTTGTCATTGATTATAGGAAGTAAGTAAGATTAGTAGAGATAATTAGACACAGTTTAAACGACAGTTTTAACCAAAATGAATTAAACCACAGTACAAATCGAGGCTCTGTACACGAGTCTTAATAAAAAAGGATAAATGCAAATTATTTTACTGCTCCACTTTTAAGGAAAGATTAGAAAAATAACAATGTTTACATGTTTTAATTTTTCATGGTAGATTTTTGTTTACAATTAATGTTTATCTGCTTTAACTTTGTTTGGATTAGGCCCGGAAATATTGATGACATAAAAAGAAGATCAAGAATAATCAGGAATCACGATTTTAAATTACCACCACAACCTCAGCCGGGTTTTATACAAAGATAAACAGATGGATGACATAGATTGAACAGAACGTCAACATTGACCTAGGATACTGCAATTAGACAAACCATCCTTTTATGAAATCGGGTTCAGTTGTGGTTACGTGTGGGGGCGCCTATATCAGCGCCCCCAAACAAGAATTTATTTCAACTATGAATATATTGTAGTTTAAATTATTTAATATGGGGAATTACGATGCACATTTATTCAATGAGGGTGGGTAATTATCAACGATAGAACTGATAACGGATAATAAACATTGACAATTACGTCATTAGCTTTACTAGCGTGTTTACTTTTTATATTCCTGCTACATGTGACCAGTTCTTTTTTTCAAATGAATGTTATTTGAACCAAACAGTTGTTTCAAAACAAACTGTTATTGTTTTTACTTTTCTTTGTTTACGCTTATTTATTTAGCAATTAATGCAGTGAAATTGATATAAGGGATAGGTGTGACGATTAGTTTTGATGTTAGGACACCAAAGTTAAATTACGTGTACTGTGAATTTTATTGGATACTATCGTTTTATTTTAGGTTGTTTCTATTCAGACCTACTGGAAATTGTAGTAGTTGTATTGTGGTGATAATAATTATGGAAGAGGTAGGTAAGTACGGTATGCGATGGAAGGTGGTATCGTTGACTAGGTCTATACACTTCTCAATTGACTATTACTCTCTCTCTACTGTAGGCTACTTATAATCTCAGTATGCGTCTGTGCGAATCGGCTGCAAATCTCACTTCAACGCTTTTCACATCGTAAAAATTGCAGAATTGCTGTTTTATTGTAAAATTATCGTATTTAAAATGCATATCGTATAGGCCTATGATGGAATAAAAACATATTTGGTCACACAACATTTGTTTACAAGATGATTTTTCACATTAAAACTGCAAGATACTTTGTCTTTATATGTGTAAACTAGCTGATCTGATTTGTACACGGTTTTAACTGACTACTGAATTCCCGTACGTAGGACGGGCTGACACCTCGTTTTAATAAAAACCGGGTTCTTTCAAAAATATTACTTTTTCTTATTTTATGGGGGGTTTCATGGCAAAAATAGCATAATTTACAATAACTTTTGAACTGTAATTTTTACAGAAATGGGAGTCATACCATATTGTTCAGAGTTTAAAGGGCTACAACATACTAAATTTTTATCAAAATCGTGGGCCATTTTCGAGACAATCCAATTTTTCTGTAATTTTATGGGTTTTTATGGGAAAATCCCATTAAAAATCAAAATTTCAAAAAATGAAAAACTGGAGATACCATTGCTTAGTACCTACATACCAAATTTCATCAAAATCGGACTACAGGTGTGGTCTGTAGCTCTGTACACATCCAAACACACAGACACAAACACACACAGACATCACTTCGAAAACCACTTTTTTGGGTTCAGGCAAGGCCACACTAAAAAAACAGGCCGTAATGCTCGTCCAGCATGACGTCACGATAGAAGACGGCAATGACGTAATTTTTGCCGTTTGTGATCAGCTGCTTGTTTTAATCTTTCATTGGAAAATTAATAAATAAGTACTTATACGTCATAGCCGTCTTCTATCGTGACGTCATGCTTGATGAGCATTACGGCCTGTTTTTTTAGTGTGGCCTTGGTTCAGGGGGACCCAAAATGGATATATCCACTCAAAACTCAAACTCGAAACTTTTGTTGAATAAATCTACATAAGTAGATGGTTTGTTCTTAAATTGTTTTATTTCTGTCAACAAAAAATTTTTACGCTGCAACTGGTGATTCTTCCCTTATTATCTTTATATTTGGATTTATTTAGTTTCCATATCAGCCTATTAGTTTCCCAGTACAGTAGTCAAATTTCCAGCAGGTGCATCTTGGCAAGTTGAGTGTTAAGTGAAGCGTGACGTTATTTACCGGTTACTCGTGGTTATTTTGTATGTATTTATTAAATTCTAGAGTGACATATCAACATTTATAGACAGTAGCCTATATGAGAAAGACGGTTGATACAAGTTCCTTGGGTAATATTCTTTTACTTAGAAAACGGAAAAATTGTGCAGTGTAACACTGGTAAGGTCATTATAAAACATGAGAGGACTCAACCAGGGGACTTCAGGCTAATTTAAAATGACTAAAAAGTTAAAATAAACAATAATATGATCCGGGTTCGGTTTGAATCCCAAAATCCCGGGATTGGATTGAAGGACCGGGATTGAAACCCCTAATCACAACCAATATCTATCCTTCCATAAAGTAAAAAGTGCATGTGAAGCTGTGCAACTGTTTTTAAATGCAATCTAAGTTTGTTCATAAATTTTTGTTTGTTTCAGATCTCCCAAGTCACCAATATGGCAAAAAATTTAAAGCTGTTGTTGAAAGAGGTCTAGCTAGGAAGCTAGCATGCTGTTTTCCTCAGACTGGTGACAGAGTAGCTTTTTTAAACCCAGATTTAATATCTAATCCAGCTTATAAATCTGAGGGTGCCAAGAGTCAAAAGGAGCAAAAGTGTTTATTGCTCTGTAGTTATGACAAGGGAGCATTGATGTGGTTTGCAAAAAAACAAGTTAGTTTTATATCAATTACTGTAACTAAATATTTTCCTTAGTTTTTTTACCATTATTTATTGAAACTATTATTTACCATTTAATCATTGGTGGTAAAGTAAAATGGTTACCTATGCAAATATTCGCAATGGTTATTCACTTTTGCTTTCTAAACCCCAATACCGACGTGGCAAAGTTTCACAACTAAACTAATTTGTCTACAGGTTTCCAAAGAAGTTTTTTTAACAATTTAATGTCAAAATTGATACCATGACTTTTTTGGGAAGGGGACAAATCTGCTAACAAATGCCTTAAGGGGTTTGCACCCTAAGTACATGAAGGGATGCTTTACGCAACCTCCCTTTTGTTGGCCCACTAAAAACAACCCCTCTATCTTCCCTTTATATATCTGCTCAAGGGATCGGTCATCTTTCTGTATAACTCCATATCCAGATGGCTTTTCCCATTAGCTCAGCTGCTTTATTTTTCATCACTTGTGGATAAAACTTCTCTTTATGTTCCAGTTTTCTTCCTTCTCTATCATGAGTGTGACAAAATTTGCCCTTATCTCCTATCACTAACTTGCAAACTTTTAGTATTGACCCAAGTTTCATGATCCTGTGTTATCTCTGAAGTTTCTGCAGCTCAAACAGCTTTATAATACCAATTTTGCATCTTGGATAGGAAAGGTCTCATGTCCTGCCTCAGCTTGAGTAAGTTAGGAAGTTACATTAAAAAAGTTACATTAGCCTAAAAGAAATTTAGAAACTTAAGGGCAGACTGAATTGTAAAAATAGTATTTTTACGTTTTTATGTATTTTGAATCTTTAGAATCTTCCGTTTATAATTATACTAGCTGGCCAACATGGCCCGACATTACACACATTACATTACGTAATTACGTACGTACGTAATTACGACGTTACATTGGTCATGGCCCGACAGATGTCGTCCTGTCCTAATGTGGTTTTATGTTAAATGCTCGTTCATTTTCAAGATGAGCTCGTTCGCATGGCTCAATCACGTCCTGGTTTAAGTTCGTTCGCTATGCTCTCTCACCTTTAGGTTGGAGCTCGTTCGCTGCGCTCACTTGCCTTCAGGTTAGCTCGTTCGCTACGCTCAATCACCTTTTGGTTGCAAATTAGCTATTGTCATAAACTTAAAAAAATAACAGTGCTGCACCCTGTTAGTAAACCTATTAAGTTTTTAATGCTATTGAACATCACAGAATCAAATTGTTTTGTTGAACACGCTGTTAAGATTCTTTAATTCCATTTAAATATGAGTACTCATAAGGTTAACATGGGAAACTCCAGAGCCACTGGGGCAAAGCCCTTTTGACGGATCTGCACCAAACTTCACAAAAACCATCCTTGAATAATGCTTAATAATGCCTGAAAGTTTCATTACAATCTGTCGAGGACAAAAAAAAAAAAAAACAAACAAACAACCATGCATTGGATTTTATATAGGCTATATAGATATAACACAACTCAATTTTTTAGTGTTAACATATAAAACATATGAAAAAGGTGCAATGCAAGGTTTTTTATTGAAATAACGCAAAAAATATAATCACCTATAGGCTAGGCTTTGTTTTGATTTTTGATGTTCTAAAAATGCAAAACGGGTGTCTAGTGTCAGTGCACAATAACATATAAATATCTGATCCTCCCTATTATAAAGGCATAGGCCTGTCACACCGGAGCCTTTCTTGGGTTTCCTGGCAGCTTGTGCCAGGAGCCTATCCCGAGGATGCTGATATCATATGCCTGTGCACTGACACCAACTTCCTTTGGTACTAGGAGCCCCGGGCAGGGTTTCTAACCCTCTCTGTTCGCTTTGGCCAAAGCGACTGAGCTACTGAGGCTGATAGATTATGAACGATAAAGACGACGTTAAGCGCTGCGCTGCTGCGAAGCCTGGAACTATTACAACCACTGACAACGTACTGCACTGTAATGAACAATCCCAAAATGTGATCGTTTCAATAGAGCTTAAAACTTTTTTATCATTAAATCAAGGTATGAGACAAAAAAATGTTACCTTTTGGCTTTTCCTGGATTTGCCGAAATCTTTGCTTACCCATAACTCAAAAACTACTTGGCCTAACTCACTCAATCTTTTGAACAATATTTGACATAGTGTTATCTAGTTCTTTACATAGGTATTTGTACACATCTTTTAACTAAGAGACAAAATTTAAAATAAAAAAAAAATAAAAAAAATTAAAAAAATTTAATAAAAAAAATTTAATTTACAAAATTTAAATTTAAACAAAAAATCTATATAAATAAAATTAGAGTTTTGTCTGTACATTGCTTAGAATAATGAACTTTTTGGTTATTTTTACATTTCATAGGTCAGAGAAACCGAATCAAACCTTATCTCAATTTCTGTCTGTCTGTCTGTCTGTCTGTCTGTCTGTCTATCTGTCATTCTCTTGGTAACGCTAAAATACGCACTTTATTACAACTACTCCTCAATAACTATAGCACTGTCCCGCCTGAAACTTATTTTCCAAATACTATACATATATGAGATGGTTTTAGACGTATTTCATCGAATATGAGACAGTTAGATATTTAACAGTAAACCCTTGAAAATCAAGTTTTTGTCGATTTTTGACGTGGAATTTCTGGAAGCCCATGTTAACCTTATGAGAAATGAAATTATTGAATCTTAACAGCTGTTTCAATTAAACAAGTTGGTTCTGTTCTGTGATGTTCAATAGCATTAAAGTTACAAGGATTACCAACAGGGTGCAGCACTAGCACTATTATTTCTTTTACATTTATGACAACAGCTAATTTGCAACCTGGAGGCGAGTGAGCGTAGCGAACGAGCTAACCTGAAGGCAAGTGAGCGTAGCGAACGAGCTAACCTGAAGGAAAGTGAGCGCAGCGAACGAGCTCCAACATACAGGTGAGTGAGCGTAGCGAACGAACTTCAACCAGGACGTGATTGAGCCATGCAAACGAGATCAGATAGTAAAAATAAAAGTAAGCCTACCGTTATAGGATCGACCGGCAGACACAGAGGTAATTTAACCTTTTATTGATTGTCATACCGATCCGGAACAACAAAAAACAACATAAAATGAAGCTATGTATAATAGTTTGGCCAGCATATCTTAAAATATGCAAACCAACTGCTGTTCTTTATATAAGAAGGTTTCAACTGAATATTATAAGATCCCCGTGCGTAGAACGGGTACACAGCTAGTATATATTAAAAATCAATCTTTTTAAACAAGGTATTGTAACTTTTTTTTAATTTTTCCTCAAATACAAAAACCCAGTGTTGGTAACTACTGTAACTAGTTTATAAGCTATTTAATAACACTCATAAAAATTAGGACTCTTTATCTATTACAGTAGAGTCCCGCAAACTCGGCGTAATGTGGACTGGAATGGTGCCGAGTTTGTGAAATGCCAGGTTATTGGGAACTAGGGTTAAAAATAAGGACAATACAATTTTTAAGCTTTTTAACCTCCTTTATTATATTGCAAGTCAGTATTAAGTCATCAGATATACAGGGTGCGGCAAAAGTCAGTATACCGAAAAAGCAGTTAAACTGTACCTAGCATTAAACATAACTATAAAAGTATAATTTTAATGTACCTGTTAGAGAAGCTGCTCAAAGTGACCACCATCATTGTCTATACACTTGTAGCACATTTTCAACACTGACTTACAGTACAGATTTTGTTGCATAGTTGTGGTGTGAATAAAACATCAAAATGTTTTGTTATTAATTCTGTTAAATGTTCTAAACTTTGAGGTTTCTCCGAAAACACGTGTTCTTTTAACAAATCCCACATACTGAAATCGCACGTAGTTAGGTCTGGGGACCTAGCAGGCCACTCAATAGTTCCTCTACGTCCTATCCATTCATCGAAGTTATCATTTAAAAATGCTCGAACATTTAGGCCATAGTGTGGAGCTGCTCCGTCTTGCTGCCAAATAATCGAACGACGACGCAACTGTTCAAAAGTGGGACTGTTTTCCAACTCTAAGAACACATCTAACATCCGTATAATCACGATCGAATTTCCACCAATTTTTCAAAAGAAAAACTCGTTGCTCTAAAGTTAGTTTACGATTCATGATTAAAAACACCAATAATAGAAGTTAATAATACAAGCACTACACTCACCAACTTAACTTCACTGTCACTAGTGGCATACTAACAAAACAAACATTCATCGATAAAGAATAAACAAAGACAAAATCAACGTCAGATTAGATAAGGAATAACACTGAGATAATAATAGCGCGAGAGATAAACAATGACGCTCACCGGCCTGCAGCGGTATACTGACTTTTGCCGCACCCGGTAGTACAAAAAATCCTTGGTACGCGTTGTGAATGATTTTACTTGAGCTAGGTTGAGTCCATGTTTAACTCGGACTCAAAATATCACTAATTTTCTGAGCCAAGTGATGGTTGAGTTATCCAGACTGCCGGGTTATCGAGTGCCGAGTTTGCGGGACTCTACTGTACCAGTTCTGAGATACAGGTACTTAAGTTAACATTATGTTCTTATGGGGGTCAAACTGCCAGACTGGGGGTCAGAAAAGGAAACAGCTTTCTCAACTGGCCATTTTCATGCAATCTACTGTAATATAGTTTTTTGTTTAACCTTTGTGATAATTTTACATTTTTACTATAATTATAATAGTTCGATCATCATTGTACTTGTTATTAAACACTACAGCTACTAAATTTTACCTTATTTTGATTTCCAGGAAATGGGTGGAAAATCAGATGAAGGAAAATGTGGGAAGAATATTGATAATCCTGATAAAAGTAGTCAACTTAAAGCCTCAGCTAGTTTGCAACAGCGTAAAAGTGAGATATTGCCAGCAGGTTCTAATGCTGGACAATGCAATGATGGAAACATCCAGACTGGATTTAGAAAACTGCAACCACAAATTAACTTAAAGCGTTGCAATATTTTCTACAACTATACAACCATTAGTGTTATAAAACAAATTTGTTTGAGAGGGTGTCCAAAAGAAAAAGTCCATTTATTTGGAGTGGTAAATAAAATTATAAAGGTAAATATCATTTAGTGCCGTTGTTACTCCTGTTGTGAAACTAATATGCGGGATGTTTTTAATTGAGTTTGTTTATTTACCACATAAAGGCAGGTCAGAGTCGGTGTTGCCTGGTTATCCAACTTACCTTGTTATTCGACCCCCCTTGCATGGACTATCGAGTATCAAGAATCTACTGTACTTACTTACGTGTGGTATGACTCCCCTCCATCAGTACTCAAAGGATACAAGCCAAGCTTTAGACAACTAAAGTTAACTGTATTCTCCAATAGCTCACTGCATGCTACATAGTTTTTCAACTCCTCATAAATGCATACCTCATGTCTTGCACGCAGTGCAAACAGAGTATTGTAGCTGATTGGACAAGTATTGCTTTATTTTTAATTTATAACAAACAATTGATTAAAAAATCTTTAGTATGTGTTTGCACATGCAATACATGAATTGTTAGTCAACAATTTTAACTAAAATAATTAAATAATAACATACACTAAACATGACATTGGAGTCGTTGTTTCCTCAAATCTTTTGTGATGATGACAAAGCGCAGAAAAATTTTGGTTTCAAAAGAAAACAAACTTAAGCCTCTAATATATTTGTCAACTGAGACGAATTATTAAATTTTAATATGTTTATATTGTTTTATTTTTATTTCCTGTGCTATCTGACTTTGCGATGGTTTTTTAGGTCAGATAATCAAGACTCTACCGTACCGATTATTTTATACTATACTGTGTTGGTTCAGGTGTAGGAATAGACTGTCTCAAGAGACTCTATGGACTGATTCTCATAATTCTTTATGTCAAAAGTCACTCACTTCCTTTTGCCAATATGGTAAAAGCCAAATAGTTGTCAAGCTTAATAAAGGAGACAAAATTGCTCGGGCAGATGAGGTAATAACCGGAGGAAATGGCATAACCTAGCCCTGCAAACAAAATTATCACACATTATACTAATCAAAATAGCATATATTATTTCTTAGATTGGTGGTCTGTTACTCACTTGATAAATTTAATATCAGAAATGTTTACTGTTTTTCTCTGAGCCTAAAACCCATATAACTCCTTTTTGCGAAAAAAATATTGCCTAAAAACAACACTTAAAATGAACTAATATAAAATTAGGTCTGAGTTGGTTGTTATGAATAATTTTTTGTGTGGTCTGATTTTAAACTTTTACACACTTGTAAGTTTTAAATGTGTCTTAATAAACTTTTTTAACTGTATAATAAAGTACTCTATGCCTAGGGTTTTATGGGCAGGGCCTTAATTTGGCTGTGAAGCCATGTATCTAAAACATGCACATTACCGTACCGTATTTTTAATGCTTTTAAAACTTAAATAGAACGGCGCCAGGGGTGTGCCATGCATAAAAAATGCATCAAAATTCTGATTTGATTTTACTTGATACATCGAACCACGTTTTAATTCATTAGTGATCAAAATAACAATTCAATTCAGTATCCATATATGTTATTAAATCGGTGTCCATATATGTTTTTGAATCCATATCCATGTTATTGAAATGAAATGTTTATTTGTCACATTTAAAACAAAGTTTACAAGATTGTGATTTTTACATATAAACATATTAGATGTCAATACTACTTTACTAACTAATAAAACCTAATGCCAAATTCTTTGTTTTTTTATCAATCCATTAAAACCTAAAGCTAAGTTTTTATAAAATCATCTAGGGAATAAGGACACAAGAGAATGAGATAAGATTTTAATTTTCTTTTTAAGAACAACATATTTTCTTCAGTTTTAATTTGATCTGGGAGGTTATGGAAATTCGCTAAGTCTGCAGGTATGCTGCGGCGGGGGTATTTCAACATATCTTCATGCGTAGGCTTTCGCGGCCGTTGTCATTGAATTCCATGGTGATGGTTTTCGGCGTCAACCGCGTCGTCAGTTGTAATTCACTGCCAGACGTTTCGCCCTTACTTTGAAGTGGCATCCTCAGTGGCTAGGCTGAGACTACTGAATGCTTTTGCTAGAGACAAGCTAATTTGTATTTGGTGATCAGACCATTTTATGATATTAGTTTGATTGTTATCTCACCTGCCTTCAGTTGAGTCAGTATCCATCCATAAATGTTATTGCATCCATATCCATATACGTTATTTTGATTTCAATAACGTATATGGATTCGGACTCAATAACGTATATGGATACGGATTCAATAACGTATGGATACAGATTCAATAATGTATATGGATGCTGCATCGATTTGAATTGAAAATCTTTTGGATCGAATCGTTGCTTTGAATAGAATAATTTTTGATGCTTCACACGCCCCTATACAGTGCTACTACATTTTGAACTTGAAACCGTCATCTTGAACCTGTAAATCTAATTATATTAAATAGGTACCCACCAGCATGTTTATTTTAAGGCAATGATGAATGGATAAGATAAAGGCTGGACCACAGTTCTAGGCGTCTGGCTGACGCATGCGTAATAAAATAACGAATTTGCATTTAATCATATGTTAGCCCAAGTTTTGACAGATGGGGAATTGACACAGCATATTAATGTGCATGCGTCAGCCAGACGCCTAGAACTGTGGTCCAGCCTTTAACAGCTTTGTTACTGGCTTGTACAGCTGGTTCTTTAGTCAGGATCATTTATTAAAAGCTCAACGATCAAGTGGGTCCAGTTTAGAATCATTAGAAAGATTATGACTTTTCTCAGGAATGAACCGGCGACCTTCTGATTATTAGACAAGCACTACATATATCCACTACATAATACTCAGCTACCGAGCTATACTTTCAAACAGTGGTTTTGACTTACAAAAGTGAGTTGTTTAACTAGAAACACAATAAGTCTTGATACAAAACAACAACATAGATAATAAATGTTAATGATGACTAACAATTTCATTTTCTTTCAGCCAATCTCAACAACTAAAACTGATAAGTATATGTTGGTGTGCGAGTTAATGGACGACAGTGATACAAATAACTTGTTCACGTGTTATTTTTTCACTGCCGAAATAACTGTTATCAGTGAAATTGAAGTTGGAGATATTTTGCGACTACACAGAGTTAAGGTAGGTAGTCCTATCCCTTTTAACTATACTGACCTTTTAACTAAACTTAAACTTATAGTGTTTATGACTGATATAGAAGGCACTGTCTACTTCCAGCTTAAAATATTATTCACTTAATATTTCATTTAATATTATATTCATTTAATCAAATCAAATCAAAGATGTCTTTATTCATAATATGTACAATTTATGTAGCCTACAATGAATGGTGTCAGATCTTATTTCAAAGAAATAAAAATAAGTACATTAAAATTAATCTATTTACAGGTATAATGCAGTACACATTTTTACCAACAAACTTTTTTTAACAACGCCATTTAACTTATTTTATTTAACAAAAACTCATTAATTGAATAACAAGTATTCTCAATCATGAATGCCTTTCAATTTTTAATGAATTTCTTAATGTCTCACTTTTCAAACTTTCGGGCAATCTATTAAAGAATTTAACACCCTTATATATGTGGTCTTTAAAAAAAAATTCTATTCTATATGTTTCTAATTTCAAATCATTTTTGTGCCTTGTATTATAAGTATGATTATGCCCAAGAAAACTAGTATTAGTCATGTTTTGTTTCACATACATAACACATTCATATATATATAAATCAAATATTGACCAAATTCCCAGTTCACTAATCCTATCCTTTACATGAGCCTTGTACTTCAAACCTAGCATGATTCTTATACATTTCTTTTGGAGTTTCAATATCTTTTTTAAGTTTTTGTGAGTTGTTGCTCCGTATACACAAATTTTATATGCCAAATGTGAGTGAATTAAGCTAAAAAATATATTACTTTTAAAGTTGCTAAATCACAGAATTTAGATAATCTTCTAAGGACATAACTTCCTGAATTCATTTTGCCTTTAACTTTGTTAATATGTTTATTCCAGTTTAAATTGCAATCCACAATTAAACCCATAAATTTTGCATCCGTTACTTCTGAAATAATCAATGTTGTCATTTTATTTTATTTCTGTTGAAAAACCATTTTGGTTCTTATTTGTATTAAATTTATAAAGTTTGTTTTATTTAAATTTATCTGCAAGTTTAGATTTGTCAAAAATTAAACTATGTTATTTAATTCTTCTTCTGCAGATCTTTTAATATGTTCATCAGTTGGTCCTGAAACTTTCAAATTTGAATCATCAGCATACAAAACTACTTTGTTGGCATTCTGATCAACCAATAAATCATTAATTCCATTTATGTATATAATGAATAATAATGGGCCTAATATTGACCCCTGTGGGACTCCAAATTTTATGCACGGTGTTTTTGAATTTATTTTTGTTTGTTTTCCGCCAGTTGTAGGGCTTTAATATTCATTCAATATATTTTCATTTAATATTCACGGAAGGCCAGCAGGAGCAGCCACAACAAAGTCGGCAGTCAGTCGGAATTCTATCTATACTAAATCGGTTCCGATGGTCGTACACCATCCGACCCACTACTCGTCATCTCGGCATTTATCATGGTGGCTCGCTCCCAGCAGCTCGTATTGATTTCATTTGGTTCAATTGGTTATTTGGTTGATATATGAGAGCATAGGGAATTTAAATTGTATTAAAACAATTGTAATTTTATACTGACAACTGTTTTATTCAATTAAAAAAAAACAAATAAGATATTAACACGTTCACTACCGAGCGACGCACATTTGCGTCAGTCCGGTCACTCCTACAGACCAAAAGGAATGATCATGACGATGCTTACAGACCAATTGATATAGGAATAACATTGCCAACAGACCAAAAGAGAAATATCGTTTAAATGGACTAATTGACTTCATATTAACCTTAAGTGAATTAGTAAGCAATAAATATTGTTTTTATTTATCGTTTTGAGCAAATTTTAAAACGCCGCATATACGCGTCGGTCAGTCTATTTAACGAAATCCAGTTAAAAAGATTACATTTTCGTTTCAATAGACCAGGCGACGCACGTAAGGGTCGTTGTAAATTTTGTTGTTTCAAGCTTTTCCCTACACAAACAAATAAAGAAACTTTACTAAACACTAGCCAAAACTGCTAAGGTTATAACTTTTACATCTGTTTCTGTGAAGTCGCGGAATACACAATGTAAACAACAATGTTGCCAACTGTTGTGTGACGTAACCAATCGTCATATCCACAGACCAAGCGACTCACATTTGCGGCAGATATCACTCTAGACTGATACGATAAAATCAGGGGTTTAAAATAGACCGTTGCTAAGAAATATGCTGATTAATAACATTGAACACCGACGCAACTGTGCGTCGTTAGTCTATTTCAATGTGACCAGCTGACGCAAATATGCGTCGGTGGTCTATTGTGAGAAACGAGTCGACGCACAATTGCGTCGCTGGTCTATGTGAACGTAAATTCCATATAATTGTGGTAGCGAACATGTTAAATATAAACATACATTTGTTAGAAAATGAAATAACTTGCGTATTTACTAAACGTGTAAATTGTAGCATATAGTGATGTGTCAAAACCGAATCTCAAATCTCAAAACTATCAAAACTTAGGAAAAGTTTCGGTTTCGAGATCCGATCACCAAGTTTCGAGATTCAAAAGTTTCAAAATCAAATATTTTGGCAGTTTTATTTTTGAAACTGCTGAAATTTTTTGTGCCATTGTTATTGTTTTTAACACTGTTTCCAAACAAGCTGGTAGTAACAGAGCAAACATCATTAACAGTAATGAAACAAGTAAATTTTATCCTGAACTTCAAAAGGTATCTTATATACTATAACTGGTACAATTCAGTTTCACACCAATTGCATACTTAACATTTTATGATTATGTGTATTTTTTGTAACCTTGACCTTTGTAACCATCTAAGTAAAAAAGTTTTGCGTTTAGGTTTTGAGATTCGGGAATCGATTTTTAAAGTTTCGGTTTCGAGATTCGAAATTTCTGGTTTTGACCATCACTAGTAGCCTATGTATATTTGTCCCTCACACAAACAACAAGTTGAAAGTTCTTTTTTAGTTTACTTTGATTTTTTCACTTACTGGTATTTTTAGAAACATTCACCCTTATAAAGTCCGGGATTGTTTGAACAATTTTTACAAAAAACTTGACATCGCTTTATTGGTCTGATCCATAATAAATATTGGGATTGTCAGCATCTTCTTCATCAGCAAATAATAAGTCTCTCAATTTGTCTGATCTTAAACCATCAGACAAATACTCCATTAACCACTATTACTTAGTTAAACATACGGAGATAAAAACCAACATAACCCTATTCTTACTACTATACTAAATGTTTATACGGGATAAACATTTTTATTGTAGGCCTAATTATGATAAAAGTGTAGGCCTATACGCAAACGTACAAGAACTGTTCTTATATCACCTCAAATGGACATTGACACTTAATTAAAACTATATAACACAAATCTCTCGAGAAAATAACGAAAACTCAAAATCACATAAATCTGAATCAAAACAATTATGATTACGTTGCACTTGTGTCAAAACAACAGCTGGTGTTTATTTTAGTTGTTTCCACCACAACTTTTACAATACAATGTTGCAAGCCTGCTGATCGTTTACTTTAACAATTACTCACTAGGTTACATCACTTTAAAGGCATCATACCACAGTACTGTCGAATACTCTGCCAAGCTAGAGTAGAGACTATTACACAGACCCAATGAGACGTCATTTTCATATAGTGACATTTCTGGGGAGGGGAGAAGCTATTTGTAACTCAGGGCGTTATCCACCCTAAATCCGGGCCTGCTGCCTGTAAAAGGTTGATCTATATTTTTTAATGTCCCCTTTTCTACCAATAATAAGAGAAGTCAAACACAATCAATCAATAAAATCTTTATTCAGAACGTACAGATACATCGTACATGAATGCGTCATTATGTTATTTTTTAATAACATAAATATATTACATAAAGTTAAAAGGTTTATATAACAGCAGTTTTTAGATAAAATAAATACATTACTTAAAGTTAGATAAAATAAATACATTACTTAAAGTAAAAAAAAAATCATCTAGACTGTAAAAAGAATTTCCTATTAAAAATTGTTTCAGTTTCTTTTTAAATTTAATTGTGCTTTGCTCCTTCCTTATGCCATCTGGGAGTTGATGGATAAATGTAATGCCAATATACTGAGGACTTTGCTTATATTTTTCTTTTTTATGATTTTTAATTGTGAAATTTTGTTTATATCTAGTATTGTAATTGTGGATATCCTGTTGTCGCTCTAATTTTGATTCATTATTTTTTACATAAAGAATTGTTTTATAGATATAAAAACACGGAACTGTTAAAATTTCCAAATCTTTGAAATATTTTCTTAAAGAATTTTTGCTAGAGGTTCTTTCTAAATTTAGGATGTGTCTGATAGCTTCCATTTGTAATAGTAAAATTCTTTTTAAATTTTGATTACTCGTACCCCCATAAATTTCAATGCCATAAGATATATGGGAGTGAATGTGGGCATAGTAAACTGTTTTAAGGGTTTGTACATTGCAAAAAGGTTGAAGTCTATTAATTATAAAAATTCCAGAACTTATTTTCTTACAAACATGATCAACATGTTTGGACCAGGTTAACGTTTTATCAACTATAAGACCTAAAAACTTGGTGTTATTCTCAAAATTATTAAAAATTTCATCGTTTTTTAATTTTTACAAGAAAATTTAACCAAAGTAGTTTTGTTCTTATTTAATAAAAGATTTTTATCATTGAGGAAAGTGTTTACAATTGAAATGGCATTTTCTATTTTGGATTCTATACTGTTTGTATTTCTGTCATGTATTGACATACTTATGTCGTCTGCATATAAACATAGTTTGGTATTCTGAATTTTATTAGTTAGGTATTCCTGCATACCTCCCAGATAACATAAGAATAGGAACGGTCCAAGAACCGATCCTTGAGGAACCGAATATTGTACCTGCCTTAACTTAGATTTTATATTGTACAAATGTTGCTTCTCAACAAATCTAACACTGACATAATGTTGCCTTTCTTCCAAATAAGACCTTATCCAATTCAATTCTTTACCATAAATACCATAATTTTTAAGCTTATTTATTAAGGTAGGATGGTGAACACTATCAAAGGCTTTAGACATGTCTAAAAAAGCACATTTTCATCTTATCTTTAAAATTGTGAAATTCTTAGATTCTTGTTATCTACAAATAAGGTGGCATAATGGAAATTGTCTTGTATTGATTGTTTTATTTCAGCTTGAAAAAACCAATGAGGTTGATGGAAGAGTGTTTTTCAGTCATGATATTGTTATTTTTAAGGATGGCTGGCCTGGTATCAAACCAATAACAATTGCCAAAAACACAATGATCACAGGTAAATAATTATGTACACTCATTTTTCTCCTGTCTGTACTCATTATTAACAAAGTAAAGTCGCAAGTTTAATAACAAATCATCAATGTAAAAATTTGAGAGAAACTTTAGTGGAAAGAACCTTGTATTAAAATCAGACTTTATTTATACCAGAATAAATACCTGAAATGAATAGTCAAAGATTTTCCACCAAATATGATGGATTTAATTCAACATACTTTTTTAGTAACAAGCAATTGTTCAGTACAAATAAATTAAACCAGTTTTTTTTGTTGAAAAACCTAACATAGGTATCTGTTCCTTGTTTTATTTTTTTCTTCCTAGTAACCAAAAATAACAAAACTATTTAAACATCTGTCAGCTGATATTTAGGTGACCACTAAATTATTATATTAAACATTTTAAGTCTCTGGTCACATCACTACAAAACTATTTGTTAAAAGTCAAAAATGGAAAGAGAAATAGACTAGATAATGAGCAGAAAATAATTTAATTAATCACAAAAGAAAAGTTACTCAATCATAGTAAAATGCTACCAAAACAACTTTTAAGACTTTGCAAAGCTTTTGAATAGTTCTCAGCGGTAGCAGGATAACTTTCGACCAGCTGACGAGACCTAGAATTAGCTAAAGTAGCCTGCACAAGATAATGATATTTATCAATATCGTCAATATTCTCGTCATCATCTATTCTTTTGAATTGTGCCCAAAAAGGTAGCCAATCCTTCAAATCCCCGCTAAACTTTGTGAATTCAATAGTAGGTAGCCTCAGCTTAGTCCTAACAGCAGCAGATTTACTCATTACAGACCCATTGGAATTAGGTGAAGTGGCCCTAGACCTAATCAATCTACTCTGTACAGCTAAACTAATTCGATTAAACTTCTCTACATATTCATCTGCTAGCCTAACTTCTTCATTTAACTCATCTTCATCTGCTTCAGAATCAAGTAAGAAATCTAAAATTTCCCTGTCCAAAGTTTTTAGTTCTTCTATCTTACCTTCCAGAGAGATCAATTTACCCTGTATGCTGTGTATGTCTTGCTCATCTTTGCATAGCTCCTCATTTATCCCATTATAAATTCTGGTAAATGCTGTTCTGAAGGTTTTTCTTAGTTTCCTATTTCTTTCCATTATCTCAATAGTGACTATCTAGTTAAGAACTCATACGATCCTGTCACGGTCGCCAAATGTTAAAAGTCAAAAATGGAAAGAGAAATAGACTAGATAATGAGCAGAAAATAATTTAATTAATCACAAAAGAAAAGTTACTCAATCATAGTAAAATGCTACCAAACCATTATTTCTGTGATTACTACATAACAATTCATTCAAAAAATCATATGTCTCAAAATTATAAAAGTTCATATTTTCATAGCAGCTGGAAAAGACAATACAAAATATAAACCATAGATTATTTAAATGAAATGTTTGTATACTATATCCAACACTATTATTAAGTTGGGTAAAAACACCAAATTATTATAAAACAATCAATAAGGTATCTGTGAATAAATTTAAATAAATTTAGAATGCTTATATTAATATTCTCGTTGAGGCTACGGCCACATGTGGCGTTTTTCACACGTTAAAATGTAGCTTATTTTGACACTGCTTGAATTCCCGCTGTTGTATGCCACACGTTTGTTTTTTTCACACAGTAAAATGTAGCTTATTCTCAAGCCAGTTGAAGTCCAGGAGCGGCAAAATACAGTGGGAACCCGCAGTTGATTGACGAATTATGAATGGTATATTAATTTAAAACGAAAACCACACTAAAATTATTTTATTTTGATAACCTTTCATTTACCGAACTATTTACATTTAGTGTAAACAAATAAATATAGTATAAATATTTTTATTACAAGATTTTCATCAGATTTTTCTACTACATAAATGCCTCTTTAATTTTTTTAGCCCAACTAAATTCCTTTCCTTTTAGTAACAAATTATTAAGTGGTCCAGTAAGTTCAACCTATGTTTAAGATAAAACGTGTAGGCCTACTGTGTAATTGGCTAGACCCAAAAATATTATACGCTATCCTGGAAAAAATTAGATACATATATCATTATTTTAACTTGCTAGGACGACTTGATCAAAGCTGCGTGTTGCTCCCCAGGGACAGAGCGTGAAAACAAGCTTCAAAAATGCACCCCAGTTCATTCTTTGCGGGTAATGCGCAAGCCCGCTGCGGGTGATTTTGCAGACGCGCAGCATCTACGTGAAAAAACACTGCATTTGGCATACCTCATTACATTTAATGCTGCTCATATTTCTCGCTTTTTTTGCGTGGAAAAACGCCCGTGTGGCTGTAGCCTGACATAATAATTTTATCATATTAACAACTATGCCCTGTAATAGTTTTTCCTGGAAAATCTCTAAAATTCAACAATTAATAACACACTGTGTGTTGAGGATACTTTAATCAATATATTGTTCCTTTAGACATAGATATAGACATAGTTTTTTCATAAATAAGTACAAATACAATGTGTATTTGTGTCTTTGAACACAATTGAGCTAGGTTAGTTCACATACCTTGCTTTACCACAGGGAAGTCTTAATCTTGTACTTCAAAGTTCACGTATGTGCGTTATGGTTACAACTGACAGCAGGATCAAGGTAATAAAGGAAATTGCGTGGGAGCTTTTAATCTGCATGAAGTACATAACTACCCTATCTAGCAGGGACACCTGGAAGTTGACAGCACAACATACTGCGGGGTTGGTTTCGCCTTCATAAGTAGACTGTTCCTGCCTTACTTTACTGTATTGCTAGCCTGCTCGCATATCCAAAAAGGAGTTGTTAGTAATGACCGGTCCAATGACTCCATGAAAATTTAATGCTTGAAGCTCAAAAAAGAACTAAAAAATGTGTAAGGTGAACTTGTGAATGAGGAAGTTATTGATTTTGCAGATAATATTCGTGGAATACTTGCTGCGTTTTCTGAAAAGTACACAAGTGATGCAATAGTCGATTTGATCCCTGACATTACTGAAATTTTAAACAGACTTGACGCGTGTAGGACCGTAAATATTGACTTGACAAAAAATATGTTTGAATTGACAGAAGAAAAATATTGTTAATCAGATCAGTTGAAATTGAGAAGAATAAAAGAAATGATGATTCTCAGCTCCAGATGAGAATTTAGAAAAAATGCAGAGGAAACTGAGGGATGAAATACGGGATAAAAATGCAATCATCAACATTTTACAATGTGAAAACAATTCACTGTCAGATAATTTCAGCAATAAAGCTAAAACTAAAAATTCAACTAAAGCGATGAGATGTTATTCAAGGGACGGACAAGCGCAGACTTCCACTTTTCAGGGAAAATATCTGATCTTAGTGAAGTATTAAACATGAAAGTTAATGTTGGGAGGAGAGCAAACAAGATTTGTTTAATTAAAGAAATTGGGATTCTGTCAGAACCAGTGGCGTCAGACGTTAACCACCTTATAGCCTTCAAAACATCAATTTGCAATATTGGCTTCAAGTAAAATTTTGTGATGGAATTTGGAAACGTGATGGAAGAGAAGGAACGTAATTATACTCAGTTAAATGGTTCTGAACTATTGTACCGTTTGCCGGTGATGAAACTGATAAAAAAATAATTATTCAAATTGTTCGATGGAATTGATATAGGAACAACGTTAACTTGCTTTCCAAATCCAAAACATTGAGTCCCGCTGAGCCATTAAACCAATGATCTCACTAATCCAAGGAACGGATCGACTTACTAACCCTATGGTTTAAAATTGGAGGGTGCTTGTCATATAATTTTAAAATGGTTTAATTAAGTGAATCGACCATATCATTGACTGACTCCAGGGTATTTATGGAGTGTCAAGGCGTTTAATTTACATCAGACAAAAAATTTGCTTCATTAAAATTTCTAAAATCTCTGTAAGAGATAAGTTTTTCTTCGGGCTTGGGAGCTCTCGTGGCAAGGGCGCAATAAATTAGGTCGTGTCGAGAAATGGCAGGGACTGGAAGCTGGCCATGATGGACTGAAAATCACTTTAAATAATAAGGTCTAGTAGGGTATCAGCTTCAGCAGTGTGATGAGTCGGGTCCAGTGGGAGTATCGTCATGTTGCAAGAGTCAAACATGTTTGTCAATCGTCTGCAATCGTAACCTCCATGTTTGAGTAAGTCACAGTTAAAGTCACACATGATCAAGACACGACTGTAGCCTGGCATGAGGCGCAAGAGAATATTTTAAAGTCGGCCAGATGACCACACCCGGGGGGCGGTAACATGTCCCCAGGAGAATAGCATCCGAACAACAAGACAAACGAATTTCCAAAAAAATAAATTCGGGTTTAGCAGAGTACAGTTTTTACAAAAGGCCTATTTCAACGACGGTGTTTCAATGTTCGAACAAATCGATTTCACTAGTTTTGAGCCGGTAATTTAAATTCATTTCTAATAAGCGTTTGACAATTGCTGTCAATTTGACGCAACAGCAATATTTTTAAAATGTTAATTTTGCGAGCTACAAAGCAATAATTAATAATTGTACGAAATTGTCGATGTGTTTGACTAAGACAAGATTTGTCCTCCAAGTGTAACGTTGACCGTTATGAGTTCATCTCGTTCAAACAGCTGTTGGGTATCCTTCTGTGCTCGTCCTTTGATTGGACCATTTGATCATGATGTTTGGCGCAGATTTTAAATTTGAATGTGCAAATCAGCTTAGTGTCGATTTCAAAAACCTTGAAGTGGGATTTGCGGCCGATTTACACTCACACTGGTTTTGGGTACAGTAGCTATATACCACTTTCCATTGCATTCTATCATTTACCGTACCTTATCTTACCTCCGTGGCCACTGAAACCTTAAGAGGATTCTTGCCTCCCCTTCTCTTCTATCCCCTGCCTCTTCAAATGTAGATCCCAGCCTGGAGATGTCTTTCATTACTTGGTTTTTTTTTACTTTATTCTTGGTATTCCAAGTGGTCGTCTACCTTAAGGTACTCCTTGGAATTCACTTTTAAAAGTTAATCTATCTTCTCTCCACCACGCATAGCCTGCCCTTCCTATCCTTTTACTTTCTGAAAGCACCCCTATATCTGGATGTTTATACATTTCTCTTAGCTCTCTGTTCTTTCGTATCTCAACCTCTGTTATCTTGAACTGGTGCCCAAGTTTTGGAACCATACAGTACTACTGGGATAGTTATGGTATGGTATGAATCTATTTTGGTTTCTACTCACACCCTACAGCTTATTAGACAGTTTTCTAGAGACCTACTACACTGGTTGACATTTTCATGACTAACCAAAATTACAATATACAACACATTATTATATCTTTAACGATTAAGAGATAGTTTTCTGAACAAAATATTTCCCAAACATGAGTTAACACTTTCATGGCATAAACTTACATAGTTTTACTTACATAGTTTGCATTTATGTCAAAAAATGATTATATTAATAAAAAGCAAGTGTTTGAGATATATAGTTCAAAATCACACATTATTTCCCGATAACGCAGATACTTTTTGGTAGAGAAAAAAACTTAAAAATGAAATAGTGTGTAGCCAAACACCAAAGATCAATATTTTTGTAAACAAATAACCTGTAGCATAAACATTTCAATGACAGTTTGAAACCAGCTGTTAGTTAAACCACCACTGAAACGACTTTCAATTGTTAACGTTGGCTGATAGACTAAAAAAATAAAAACTCAATTTGTAAAAAACTGAAACCCTAAACTAAAATTATGGCTTCAATATTACCTTCCTTTCAAAATTATCTTTCTTTCAACACAAAAATCATGAAAATTCGTCAAGTGGTTGATTCGTTGATTCAGAATCGTGGAATAAAAATACCCTGTCACGTTTTAATATATAAGTATAAGATTGTTAAAACTAAACTTTATCTATACTATCCCAGTATCCTCATTGAGGAAATCTTATTGATGTTGATTTAACTAATTAGAAAATCTTTTGTATAATAATAATAATTTGTAATTCTATAATTATATTAAGAATCAAAACTATGTAGAGCCAGACAGTTTACAAACTAATTAATGTTATAGATGATGACAAGAAACGAGTAATAAACCTAAGGAAATGGAATGAAGATTTCAGAAAAACACCCACTTTAATATCCAATATAAATAAAGTCGATTTATACTGCATTAATTGTAAGGTTAGTATGATAGTATTAGACTTCTACCTTGTTTAGTTTTGTATGGTAATCAAAGTTAACTTCTAGCTGTCACTGATATGTTTACATTGAATGTTGTTTACAAATACCGTAACCAATTCCGATCACGTTTTGAAAGCAAATCCGAACCAAGTAAGATTAAAAAGGTTTTTTTTACATAACGGATTTAATTAATCGCAAGTGCAATAATTTGTAGGGTAACCGTAAATGAAAATAGAGATTCTTTGTGTATAAAATTGTTCTTGAGTTTTGATAACCGGGAAAAAGACCTTGAATCAGTGTTGTATATGGCTGGGAATGTTACATTTTTTAAATGAGCGTTTTCAGTCGAGACTCGGCACACGACCGACGCCCGTCTACATGTCCATAGTAAAAATAAAAGTAGGCCTACCCTGTATTTATGTTTTATTCGTCATGTGTATAAGTGTACAGTTCGTGTATGTGTTTCAAAAACTCCAAGATGCACCTAATGGAGAAGCTCAAGACATTATATTAGGACTCATGATGGCGATTTAATTTCGCCCAAATGCATCTCCTGTAATAGGATATATTAGGATCGACCGGTGGACACAGGTAATTTAACCTTTTATTGATTGTCATACCGATCCGGAACATCAACAAACAACATAAAATGAAGTTATGTATAACTAGCAGAGCACCCGGCCTTCGTACGGGGTTGGCATATAAGTATAAAATGCTTATTGCAGTTATACTCAAGCTCTGCGATTGCAATGGGGGGAGGAATTTACGGTATGATAAAGTATAGCACATCTACCATTGCCATAATGTTCTACCATTGCACCTAAACAATAGAAAAAAATAAATTATCAAACATTCGCACAATATCACAAATTATTCATTAAATTAAAAACTCAAACCTAACTGTAAACAATCCTACTTTGACAGTTCTCATTGTGTATCACAGCTTTTTGTTGCTGCTTAGTTCAAATTAGCTGTTGTCATATATGCACAAACAAAATAATAATAGTGCTGCACCCTGTTGGGAAACCTTATAACTTTTTAATGCTATTGCATATTATATAAACAACTACTTGTAAAGTTGAAACAGCTGACTAATTTCTTTAATTCCCTTTAAATATGAATACTCATAAGGTTAACATGGGGAACTACAGACCCACTGGGGCGGAGCCCGAAAGGATTTTTGAGATAAGATTATGCCTAAATGTTAATAGGGAATGTGAGCTATCATCATGCCAAATTTCAGCCCAATGCGTCCAGTAGTGTATGCGTGATTGAGCAAAACACAAACATACACACAAACTCACAAACTTTCAGATTTATAATATTAGTAAGATAGTTTGGCCAGCATATCTAAAAATATGCAAACCAACTGCTGTTCTTTATATAAGGTTTCAACTGAATACTATAAGATCCCCGTGCGTAGAACGGGTACACAGCTAGTAAATCCTAAATTTTGACATGTGTAGAGCAATATTGCTACCTAACACAATATTGTGACCTGGTGGTCACGGCTTAAAGGTCGAAATGACTCGCGGTCACGGTGCGATCGTCGAAATAACTTTGCCTCCTTCGCGGAACTATAGTGAACATCTCTCGCGATAGCGGCGTCATCGTCTCTTGCGAAGCGGCAAAATCGCCGACGATCGGATCAAATCCTGCCCTGAAAAATTCCTGTGTAAAATGTAATCCTGTCCCAAAAATTGGGACATTTTTTTCCCTGGTAAGGTCCATCCTTACCTAATACAGTAAGTTTAATAAACATATATACCCCCGCCGCATCAAACCTCCCGACTAAGCAAATTTCCATTGTCTGAATTGATATTCAATTAAATCTATTTAAATAACATTAGGGTTAAGGAGTACCTAGGTTTGCTGCTACAAGGAAACTAATAAAGTGTGTTTTTTTTTTTTTGTAAAATATCAATAGCTAAGTATACAATAAATAAATAATCCAAGTTTGATCAAATTATATCTATAAACAAGCAACTACAACATTTTACAATATTCTTCATAAGAATAACCAGTGTTGGGAAGTAGCGTGCTACAAGAAGCGACGCTACAGTAGCACGCTACTTTTTTTGTAGCGTTAGCTGTAGCTATGCTACTTTTAAGATTTTGTAGCTTTATCAGTAGCTATCTAAATTTTTTAAGTAGTTGTAGCGGAATTTTAGCTACTTTTCTCGCTACATTAACATTGATTGAGATAGGTAGTGATTTTTATCACAACCTTACGTGAAACAACCTCTTTCAAAATGTTCATTAAAATTAGGCCTAACTACTTTTTTGGCTTCATACAGCTGGTCGCAGCCGTTTCATTACCTATATTACAGTGTGTAAATACCCATAGCAAATATGTTACCTTATAAAATAAGATTGTAGATTAGTTACAAGTTTTAATATAAAGCCATAAACAGTATTATGGAAGTAGGCAATGGTCAGCGGAAAAATTGAATATTCACGAAAATACTGACAGAGTTAGAGATAAAATTCATTTACAAAAGTCATCATAAAACTATTATTTTTATGATAAAATTGAATTGAGGAAAGTCATAAAGGTTTAAAAGTGATAAAACTCACCAGTTCTTGGAAGTTCTTAAGTACAACGATTATTTTCGTGATAAAATATTAATGGATTTGGGACTGCTATTGGGTTTTTTATTGCATCATTACCTTTGTAATAAATTATGAAGATCGTAAACAAAAATCTGATCAGCCTTTTATCTGCTCGAAACCAACTACGGGTGACTACAACGATAGTAAATTAAAAGTAATTTATTATTATAATGGGCTGTACTGAATTTGTACTGCGTAAAATGCTGTACCGAACCTATGACGGTAACTAAGCATAAACCGTGTACCAAATTTTTCGGTGCACTGCAGACCCCCAAAATACTCATATTTTTACTACACTGTATTTTCAAATTCTTCATTATATTACGTACAAAACATATATATGGTTCCATAGGTTTGCTGTATTGGTTGAATTTATATGAATAAAAAAAAGTCTGCAAAGTCACAAAAATTGCCTTTCTACCACATAGTTTACCATTCACTAGTTGGAGGGTTAATGGAACTCATTATTGCATCCCAGCTTTGCCAGACATAAACATAACTTAACTATTAAACATAACTGTCTTCAGTTGGTCCAAAAGGGAGAATGGTACTAGTTGAAGAATTCAAAAAGGGGTTCTTGATTCAAAACAGCCTTTGTAAAATTGTTGGTTAATTTTTCAGGTGTTGAAAGAGCCACAGAGGAAAAAGAATTCCGTTACTTTAAATGTTACTGATGGGAGTGCAACAAATAAAGTACTTCCTTCTGTTCCCATACAAAAGTACAAAAGTAAAAAGGGTCAGTCGATAGAACATATTGTCACGTGTATTTTTGCCTATGACAATTTAGAAGAATATGCTGCTCTCAAGGTAAGTACCTTATGCTATATGAATTTTTATTTTTGCTATGCAATGAAGAATACAAAGATTTTGTTTTATAGAAACTTCCATAACCAAAACACTATTAAGGAAAATATGTATTGACACCAACTACAGTCGGGACCACGAAAGTTTGGCGACAGCCAATCACAAGACAAGGCTAGTGCGACGTTGCCATATTGCCCGTTGACGACACTAATTAAAATACCAAACAATATTTTCAAATCAGCTGGTATTATTAGATTTGGCAAAACCGCACTGTCCTCATTGGCTCCTTCGAAGTCACGTGGTAAATAGGCTCCTCCCTCAACACTTTCGTGGTCCCGACTTTAATGACAATATTCTGTGTTAAGTGATAAATCAATCAGCTGTTTCCTATGATACTGCTTTGGTTTTAATTAATACTAGCTGTTGGCCCGTCCTACATACGGGAATAGAGTAGTCGATTGAAACTTAATATAATTTAGAACAGCTATCTTGCACGCTTGAAGAAAAATTCTTTGCATTTTTAATAGGGAACATCATCTTGTAAACAAATAATATCTCGTGACCTCCTATTCTAGATAATATAATATAATATTCTAGATACATTTCTAGATAATTGATCAGGTGCTTAATAAGGGAGTTACCAGCCTCGAGCAGGTTTCTCTGGAGTACCCAGTCACCGAGTACGACATGATCACCAAGAGGAGCCACATTGCATACGTCATAAATAACAAAATAACCTTGGATGATGGAATAACTGAATCACTATTCTTCACTAAAACTGTGAACAAACCTATGGGGAGCCTAGCACCAGTAAAAGAGTTTAAGACTAGACAGAAACATGGAGAAATGAACAAATGTGTGCCAGCAAAGATCTTCACCAGCCCCCCAAGTGATGTGTCAGAGTGCTGGAAAAAAGTCACCACTAAGAGTCCAAGACAGGCAACTGCAGACGGAGGCGGATACATACTGCCCCTGCACAACAAATACCTACCATTAAGTGAAGATGTTGTAAACCTTGATCAACAGGAAATACCATTGGGAAAGGGACTTGCGGATATAGAGCAACACAATAAAGTCAAGGGGAAAAGTCCTAAAAAAACTCTACACAAAATCCAAGCAGACACCAAGGCTCAAGACAAAAATTTATCAAGTAAAAAAAGTATGTGGAAGCGTCTGAGACTATCTGTTTATTCTGATAGCCAGGGAAGGAGTTTGGGGCCAAAAATAAAAAAGCGCACACCTTCAGAACTTCAAGTCATGGGAACAGTAATGCCTAATGCAGGTTTAATTCAAGTTGCGGATTCTGCACTACAATCCAAAGAAAACATTGCTGTACTTATTGGAGGTACAAACGATACCCTGAGAAAGGATTTTTTGCCTATCTACTCAACCCTGGAGGACAGACTAACCAAACTGAGCAAAAATAAACATGTTATAGTCACTACAATACCTCAACATTATGACCCAAGTGTAACACAAGATACTAGCCATGAAATCCTAAAAGTTAACAATTATATTAGAGAACTAGTTGCAAGATCTGTAAAATTACACCTAATTGATTTGGATATTCTAAATAGATCCCATTTCAAAAGACAAGGACTCCATATTAATCAAAAAGGGAAAAACATAATTGTTCAACAGATTCTAAATTTATTAGAAAAACTAACAATAATAAAAAAGAAGGAACTCCTTCGAAAAAGAAATACTACAGATTGTGACGAATCTCCTAAAAATATTGACATAGAAGTCTTGGATGTAAACATGGATCAAATGATAAAAGATTTTAAAAATAACAAAAATATTGCTTTTTCTCACTGCATATCAGCAGATTTCCACAATCCCAGACATATGTCAGCAGGTGTGGCAGTGAAGTTCCGGAGGCAGTTTGGAAGACCTTCAACAGCTGATTGTGTCTCAAAACACCTGGCTTTCCAACAGGTGGACGGTGGTGCAGGTGTTTACAGTTTGATTACCAAGCCACAGTACTTCACTAAACCTTGTAAACCTGTTTATGACACAGCATTTCAAGAGTTCACAGAAGATTTTAAGAAAAAAGGATACCAACAACTAATGTGCTCAGCTATGGGCTGTGTTAGAGATATGGTACCTCTAGAGTATTTTGTAAACCAAATATTGGAGTTCCAAAAAATTACCAAATCTACAGTTAAAATAATTGTTTATGAACAAAAAAGCTACAGAGTTCTGAACAAGGGATTGAGTCATGTTGAGTTTAAGAACAAACTGAAAAATTTAATCTCAATAAAAAATAATTCGTCAACTGCAACAATGATCTCGTCAGGAGTCAGAAGCCAATCAGGTAAATCCTTTGACACCAGAAGCACAACGGTTGCCAGGTCGGCAGCTCCAGGACCACACCTACATGATGTCAACAGCACCATGGACAGTGCAACTAAGCAAGTCAACCAACTATGGGTGAATACTCGGAAACATCGGCCAGTGAGTCATTACTGTCCCTGAACCTTGGAGTAACTCAGATGGAGAAGACATCCTGTGAACCTTGCTCAACAAACACTGCACATTCAACACCTAAAGTGAGAGGACATCACCTTGAGAATTATGCAGTGGCACTTAAGGAATGTCCACCAACATCTGATGTGATAGTGTCATCATGGTGGAAGGAAAAAACATAGGTGTGCTATTCCCACATATTCTGACGTCACTCGGATTGCAAACAAAAGATCACCTGATTGTAACTGTAAAATTAGTATATGAATTTGTTTTGATTTGGTTGTTATTGTTTTGTTTCAAATCATAACAAATACATACTAATTTGACAGTTACAATCAGGTGATCTTTTGTTTGCAATCCGAGTGACGTCAGAATATGTGGGAATAGCACACCTATGTTTTTTCCTTCCACCATGTAGTGTCATGTGGAAAAAAGCAGAGCACAGTGAAAGTGTCAGAGGTCTTAAATTGTAGTGATAATGGAAATGCTTCTTTTTTAAGCTCAACCAGCCAGACTTTAGGCAAAATTTAACTACTCAAGATGTTATAGAGTCAGCTGATTTTTCCAATACATTTAATTTCAAAAAAGGGGTTAATATTTTTTTCTGGAATGTTCAAGGGCTAGTGAACAAAATAGATATACTAAATATGTATCTTAACCAATTTAAAATTGATGTTGTCTGCATTGCAGAACACTGGCTGGGTTTGCATGAAGGGGAGCATGTTTCATTACCAGGTTATAAGAATGTCAGTTCCTTTTCTAGGTCTTCAAAAAATAGAGGGGGTACAGTAGTTTTTGTAAAAGAAGTTTTTAAAAGTAAATGTTTAATTAAAATAAATAATATGTCCTTAGAAATGATATGTGAGGTTTCAGCTGTAAAACGTATATCATGCATTGTAATAGTTCTGTCCCTTTATCGACCTTACACTAAAGAAAAGGAGAAGTTTTTGAAATTTTTAAATGTATTAGAAAATATTCTTCAAGAAGTGATCAAATTTAAATGTGAAATTATTCTGGCTGGGGATTTTAATGTGGATTTAAATTCTAAATGTTCCAATAGTTTAGATCTTATCACTTTATGTAAAAGTTTTCACTTAAAAAGAACCATATTTGATGTAACCCGCCCTGGTAATGTAAATGAAGGTTCTTGCATTGACAATGTTTTTACTTCTCTTGACTCTTTTATGTTAGATGCTAGTACTGTACATACCATTGTTTCTGATCACAATGCAATTATTTGTAAAACACTACTACAAGGTTCAGAGAATAAGAGTAACTGTAAAAATAGCATAGTCTCACGTATTATTTCAGATCATGCATGTCAACGTTTCAAGGGAGATCTAAAATGCTACAATTGGCTTAATACATATTCAGAAATTGACATAAATACTATGGTTAAAAATTTTCATAGCAATTTTATGGGGTTAGTTGATAGAAATTTTCCGTTAAAGACATTTAAGTTAAGTAAAGCTAAATCAGATAATAAGTGGTTTAATATGGATCTATTTGAAACTAAAGAAAAATGTTGTATGTTATATGATATGTATAAGCAAACAGGATCATTAAAAATTAAAGAATCCTATAAATCACTCAGTAAAACATATAAACAGAAAATTAAGAAAGCCAAAATTGAATACAACAATAGTTTAATATCCAAAAGTAAAAATAAAATAAAGGCTGTGTGGTCGCTTGTTAAAAAACTATCCAACCATTCGAGAATGTCCTCAGGAATTTCAGAACTTACAGCTGAGGGATTCAATAAGTTTTTTATATCAAGTGACAACGAAATTGCAAAAAACATACGGATAAATCATCATGAACCTGATTTCACTTTTTTTCTTGGAAAAGTAGATATGAGACAGCATATTTTTGAGTTTAGATTTGTGTCGGTTGAAGAAGTTTTTAAAACTATTAATAACTTACGTACAAGTAAATGTTTGGATATCTATGGATTGAATTCAATTATTCTTAAAAACGCTTCTTTTAGTATTTGTGAAGTATTGACCACGATATTTAATAGGATGATAGAAAACGGTGTATACCCAACAGTACTTAAAAAAATTAAAGTGGTTCCAGTTCCCAAGAAAAATAATGATAGTTATGAAAGCTTCAGACCAATATCAATTGTACCAACCATATCAAAGTTGTTTGAATTACTAATGTATAACCAGGTGTATGAATACTTTGAAAGTAATAACATGTTTACTGATAGGCAGTTTGGGTTTCGCTCTGGGAAGAGCACAAATGATGCTGTTGTTAGTTTAGTTACAGATGTGGTTAAAAATATAGAGAACAAAAGATTGGTTTGCTTTCGCTCTTTTGACATGTCAAAATCATTTGATACTGTTAATCACAATATATTAATACACAAATTAAAATTTTATGGTTTTCAAGACAATTCAATTAAACTTATCAATTCGTATTTAAAAAATTGAGAACAATTTGTTAGTTTCAAAAATGAGTTATCTCTTGGAAAAAATATAGACGTTGGTGTTCCTCAGGGATCTTCTTTAGGGCCACTGCTATTTAATATCTATATCAATGATCTGCCATACAATTTGATAGGTGAAAACATTAGTAGTTTTCTTTACGCTGATGACCTAGGCTTGAATGTTTGTTCTGAATCTAGAGATCAAATGAATCACATCCTGCAAAATGCTACGGATCTGATTTATCAGTGGTGTAATGCAAATAGATTATGCCTAAATCTAAATAAATTGCAAGATTTAGAAATTTGTTTCTCAAATAGGCAGCCTCTATTAAATGAGGTAAAACCTTTAAAATTTCTTGGAATTAATCTAAATGCAAAACTAGATTGGAAGGATCACATTGACATAACCTCAACCAAAATGTCGAAAGGTGTATACTGCTTAAGAAGATTAAAAGGTTGTGTAACACAAGTTGTTTTGATAACAGTGTATTATGCACAGATACATAGTTTATTGAGTTACGGAATATTGGTGTGGGGTTTCCAATCATATATCAAAAAGTTATTTAAATTGCAAAAAAGAGCGATAAGGCTTGTAAGTGGTGTAAGCTCTAGAACTCACTGTAAACCTATATTTAAACATTTCAAAATTTTAACTTTGCCTGCAATATCTATTCTTCAAGTTCTGTTGTATGTAAAAAATCATTTAGAAATGTTCTAAGAAAATTCAAATAGACATAATTATGAAACCAGATTTAAAAACAACTTGCAAACAGTGCTCTGTAAGTACTCAAAGAGTCAAACAAACATTCAATACATGGCAGCTAAATTGTTTAATAATTTATCAGTGGAGTCTCGGGAGTTGTCCTTGAAAACTTTCAAATCAAAAATGAAAACATATTTAATACAAAAATGCCCATATACAGTGGAGGATTTTATTACATGTCAAAATATTTCTATTTAATTGTGCCTGTATTTATATATTTATATATTTTTTAATACTAGAACTTATTATATTGATTTATTACATCTAAGTATTCATTTGCTGTATTAATTTATGTATTTTATGACGATTGTTAAAACATTGTGAAATGTCTACAACAATAAATTGATTTGATTTGATTTGATTTGATTTCTTTCATCCGATTATAGGCCTATAGTATATGCATTTTAAATCCGATAATTTTAAAATAAAACAGCGATTTTGTTGATTTGAAAAGCCTTGAAGTGGGATTGTTTGATTCACACACACTGGTTTAAGGTAACTGTAGTTACCTAAATTACTGTAGTTACTGTAAATTACCTTCCATTGCATGCTATCACTTAAAGAGTACCTTATTTTACCTCATTGGCCACTGAAACCTAAAGAGGATTTTGGCCTCAATTCTCTTCCATCCCTTGCCTCTTCTAATGTTGATCCCAGTCTGGAGAAGTCTTTAATAGCTTTGTGCGTCCTCCAAGTGGTCATCTTACTTTTGGTACTTATCGGAATAGCACCTAGTCCATAAAGTGTTTAATTTGGAAACAAACTCAGGCATATTTTGAACATAAACTTTTTCTAGATACACAATAGTATATATCCCAAACAGCTAACACAATTATATTTTTAAGAGTATTCACTAACATTTTGATGAACACAATAAAGGACCAGTCTCAGTGTTCAAAATTAACTTAGTCCGAGGATAAAGTTGAATTCTTATTCTCAGTGTTTTGTTACAGGTAGATAGTTATGTTACTCTTTCTAACGTTGAGGCAGTTCCAGAGAAAGAAGACAACTACAGGCTTAAACTTACTGGGAAATCATCCTTCAAAGTCTTAAAAAAAAATAGCATTGAAGCCTCAGATATAGAATGGTAGCTATCTACTTTATCCTCTTTTACATACCATTGTTCTTCATTGTGGGACAATAATACAGTTGTTGGAAAGGTTGGAAGCATAACATTATTAAGACAATGATTTTTGTATCGGTATATGGTATTAGTCTGGGGAGTGTTTACCAACCCTTCACGGACGGGTGTGTCACTTGGCTTAGGACACACAGCCATTACCAGAAGTCCAAATTAACCCAAGCCGCCTCCGCCATAGTAGGTGGTACCAAGGAGCTAGAATTACAACTGGAGATATCACTGGCATGGCAACTCTGCTAGAAAATCAAGACGCTGTAAAAAGTTGTTATGTTGGTATCAAATAGAGGAATCAACCATCTCATTGGCTAATATTTTTATTACAACCCCCTATTCCTCTTGTACAAATGTGGTGTTTGATCCCTTAGTACAAATGACAGCCAACATCTTGGAATCCTCTAATTCAGTTCTAGTTGTATTTCTAGCTCAGTGTGTGGAACTTCCCATGATCGCTGTAAAAATTTGACCATCTCCATCAATTATGAGGACATCATCATCATCTCTTGCTATTATGGGGATATCATTCATCACCTACAATCTTTGACAAATAATTTTAAAAAATATATAAAAAGTAATAAATAAAAAGTATAAAGTAAAAAGTTTTGGTAATGGCTGCAGCCCCCTTTTACTTGTGACCTAGTGGTAAAACCGGGTGGGCACACATCACAAACACATCTCTCTTAATAATAAAGTAATTGCTTTTCTTACAGTTAATTTTTTCTTTGTTTTTTAGTTATCAGTCAAACGAAACTCTAAAGGATTTAATAATTATTTATTACCTTCTAAAAATTCTGCAAGTTGAATCTTAGCTATTTTAAGCTTTTTAGAAACAAGACAAAAGAGCGATTATTTAGGTTTCAGCATATAGACTTTGGAGGTTATGTTAATTCCAATTACATTATTTCAGTTGTAATTGAAGTAATTGTGTATCTGTGATTGAAGTTGGTGGTTGTCTATTTAGTAATTGCATAATTACATTCAAGTTGTTTTCTTTGTTGAAATAAAAGTTTTGGTCTTATATAAATGCATAGTAAAATCAACACAGGGTCCATTTAAAATCATCCAATAACATAATATCATATGACTTATAGTGGGGAGGCGAATGGCCGAAATTCCAAAGTTGGCTCACCCCGAAAGGTAACCGGTGAACACTATGCTAGATGATATTGTACAGTAGTAGAGATGATATTTTGACCGGTGTTCACTCTGTACGAGTGGGACTCTCTTTTCTGGACGCCATTTTCCAAAATGGCGGATGCCAATGTTTGATCTTTGTATAACTCGAGCAAAAATGATCCGATTTTGATGAAATTTGGTATAAACGTTTAAACCTACATTTATTCGAACGAGTTCGTGAACCAGCATGATCGGACCATGGGAACGGGGGTTTATGGGGGTTTTATGGGGTAAAATGGGATTTTCCTATTTTTTGCCCCCAAATTACAAAATTTTCCAATTTCCCTCTAAACCATTTTAAAGAACATTGAAAAACAAACAATTTAGTATATTAAAATTTTTTGTACCCTTATTGGTTACGGAGAAAATTAAAAAAAAAAATTATTTGAATTCCCATGTTATTCTTATGGGGGATATTGTCAACTCTTGTAGTTTGCTTGTTTATGGATATATTTTGATCAAACTTGGTAAACTTACTTATTTATACTAAGCTATTAATACTCTACTAACATTCACACTTTATTGGCCTCCCTGTAGCAGCAAACCTAGGTACTCGTTAAACCTAATGTTATTGAAATTGAATTAATTTAAAAACAAATCAGGCAAATGGAAGTTCGCTTAGTCTGCAGGTTCCCTGTGACGAGGGTATTTTATTCTTGACATTTCTTCCTAAACCTAGTGGTTCAGGAGATATAAGCGGTTAAAGTTGGGGGTTTTCTCCATGATAAATACATTGATCCGTTCCGTTTTAACTTTCACCCTAATGTATCTCGTTTGGCCGTCGCACTTTTCTATATATACAATTTATCTTCTATATTTAAAATAGGTATTATAATGGACCCCAGTACAATGAGACATTAATTTAAATTTATTTAATTATTATCAGTTATTATGGGTTTTTCAGATTTTCCGGGTAAACGGTCGTTTCCGAGAAAAACGAAAACCATTTTTGGAATCAGCGTGAAATTTCGGACCTTTTGAAAAAATAAATTTTTTTATTTTGGATGAGGTCCGGAGGTTGATATAATTACCAAGGAAAGCTACAATAAACGTTTGTCTTATAGTGATGTAAATAATTTGGATGTATTGAAGCGTCGAGCCAGACGTAGAAATACTAGAGTTAAAAGATCCGAAATAGCATAAAGCAAGTTGCTATGCCAGTTTTTTGCAATAAGAGCAATATATAAACATAAACTACGGTTTGAAAAGTAAAGGCTGCAACAGTACACTTTCAATGTCCAGATGCGTTAAACACGTTATTTAAGCAAATCGTAAACCTGAGTTGGTTTTGAAATGGCCCTCTTCGTATTTATTAAAATAATATTTCTTTAAACATGAATAGGCCTAATGATATTTCTTCTTATTAAACATGAAAAACATTAGTAAAAGGATCTTTGTGCAGGGTCTAACCATTGACTATAGTCTAACTCACCTTTTAGTATACATTCAAGAGAATAAATTCAAGAGCTATACTGTTTCCTTTGAAGAATCTGATCTAAAAATAACTAATAATATCCTGAGTGTCATATAAAAGTTCGTCTGGCCACCTGAAGGTTATAAATACGAAGAGGGCCATTTCAAAACCAACTCAGGTTTACGATTTGCTTAAATAACATGTTTAACGCATCTGGACCTTGAAAGTGTACTGTGCAGACTAAGCAAATTTCCATTTGCCTGATTTGTTTTTAAATTAATTCAATTTAAATAACATTAGGTTTAACGAGTACCTAGGTTTGCTGCTACAGGGAGGCCAATAAAGTGTGAATGTTAGTTTAAACATCAAGATTAATTGTGTAAGTTGTAAATAATATTAAGTGTGAATAGTTAGTGAATGTTATAATAGCTTAGTATAAATAAGTAAGTTTACCAAGTTTGATCAAAATATATCCAAAAACAAGCAAACTACAAGAGTTGACAATATCCTCCATAAGAATAACATGGGAATTCAAATAATTTTTTTTTCTCCGTAACCAATAAGGGCACAAAAAATGTTAATATACTCTAAATTGTTCGTTTTTTAAGTTCTTAAAAATGGTTTATAGAGAAATTGGAAAATTTTGTGCTTTGGGGGCAAAAAATAAGAAAATCCCATTTTTACCCCATAAAACCCCCCATAAACCCCCCGTTCCCATGGTCCGATCATGCTGGTTCACGAAATCGTTCGAATAAATTTAGGTTTAAACGTTTATACCAAATTTCATCAAAATCGGATCATTTTTGCTCGAGTTATACAAAGACCAAACATTGGCATCCGTCATTTTGGAAAATGGCGTCCAGAAAAGAGAGTCCCACTCGTACAGAGTGAACACCGGTCAAAATATCATCTCTACTACTATACAATATCATCTAGCATAGTGTTCACCGGTTACCTTTCGGGGTGAGCCAACTTTGTTATTTCACATATTTTACTAAATTTGCCTCCCCACTATTAGCTAATTTTGTTAAATCAGAGAGATTTTATGGGTTTTGTTGTTTCAGTCGAATAGAGAAAAATATCAAGACCTTTGAACCAAATAACTGCAAACTGGAGAGTGTTGAAAAGATAAATGGTAAAGAAAACGAGACCTCAGTCCTAACAAGGCAGCAAAACAACAAGCTAACTACTTCATCAGCCAAAGACTCTGTAAATCCAGTTGACTGCAATAATATATCTGCTTCAAAACACAACAGTTTCTTAAATGCCAAAGATGACAGTGACTCTGGAACCAAATCAAGGAAACAGCTATTTACACCAAATTATATGACTGATCTGAGTGACGCTGCTACTGATGAAACTAGTGAACTCAATATAGAAATGTCAAAAAAAGAGCATCAACTTGCCAAAAGCTGTTCATCAAATAAGGAGGAAGTAAGTTCAGTAACGAGGGAGTATGTAATTGACTTTAAAATAGGGTGGTGTGTATTGATTGACAGTAAAAATTTATAATTTATCGTTGTAAAGCAAAGGGTTTTCTTCAGTCATGGTTAGATGTGTTAGTGGTTGGCATTGATTGTTGCTTTGGTTGTGACTTTGCACACTTCAAAGTAGCCCCTGGCAAAATATTTGGACTCTATTGTCACCAGAAATAAGATCTTGGTCCACATGAGACAGACAAATTGCAAACTTGGCTGTGAAAAATTCCTATGTCACTGAAGCATTGGAATTCCATATAAACAATCCCTGCTTAATTTTCCTTTTCCCCTTAAATTAAATACTGTTTTTGTAATTTTTATTTCAATACTTTGGTAAAGTTTTTCAGATTTAGATTTTGTTTCAGAGTTTTAAACTACCAGACAACAGTGGTCACACTAAAGATATTACCAGGAAAAGGGGGCTGAATACTTCAGTATTACGAGAGGACGATGATGATGCGGAGACTGTTCTAAACCACTCTCTTCAGCAAAATGTCACGGATAAAAAGAAGAGACTAAGGTAGTTTGAAACATCTTTTCAAATCAATTTAATTACTACTATTTCTTTTTAATATTTTTGGGCCCAAGTGTCTAACTTAAATGCCTAATTCAGCGGAGCGAAGTGAAGCTGTTTGGGATCGGATTAGGTTTATTTTCCCCCTTTATAAATCTAATGAATTTTCGACCAATATCCTTGCTCAGTATCTTTACTAAAGTTATTAAGAAAATAGTAAAATAACATGTAGTCTCTTATCTCCAAATGAACGACATCCTCAGTCATGTTCGTTAATTTGGCAACTTAATGATTTAATTCCTTATATATCTAGATACTTATAGAGACCCAAAGATGTAGGCCTACTTAATTTTAAGATTTTCAAAAAACTGGCCGAAAACCGCTGCAGCGAGAGTGGACGAGAGTAACGTTTTTCTCATATTCATTTCTGCAACGTTCGACGACTGACATTGGTTGTAACCAGACTGAAAGGGATTTTTGCCAGTACCTTTTTTTCTTGCACACTGGGTATATATATGGAACGGTGACGCGCACGGCACAACGTGATAATAGTTATAAATAAATGTGTCAATAATATATACATTTTATTGATGTTCCTGTGGTTGAAAACAATTATTTTGTAAACATATAAAACTTTAGATAACTCGTAAAGAAGTATAAAATCATACATAAAGATAATAACAGCACTTCTAAAAAGGGTTTAAGTTAACAACATAAAAACGTCATTATTCTATCTCTTTCTTCTTCCATTATTTCTTGGGTTTCCCTAAATCCACACATTCAATAAGTTGCCATGGTTACTAATCACCCTGTTAGAGACCACTAAGCATTATGTCGTTATCAGCCGAGTTGTCACTTATTGATAACAACAGCAATTTTTTATGAATGTATTATTTTATATTATATTATTGTAGCTATTAGAGGGTAATAATTAACATTTAAATGACTATATAAAACTTACCTTTTTAAGAACTAATAAATACATAAAGTAGTTTATGGAACCGTCAGACTGAAGAACTGACAATTTTCCAACGGTTGTCGGTCCCGGTTATTTCCCCAAAACCCGTTGGAACCGAGAACAGTCTTTTAACTTGGACGGGGAACCGACACATCACTGAAAAAAGACAACTTGCAATTATTTCATGTTTTAGGATAGAGTCCCTGTCCACAGAAGAAGGAAACCCAAGGGGAAATCGAGATGATATTGATCAAGAACTAGAAGATAGAGGACAGAAAGTGGTAATATATCTATATTATTGCATACATACTTTTTATGAATATTTATTATTTTATTTATCTACACATTCATGCTAAATTTAATCAAAATCAGACCGATTACTTGAGTTATCAAGATTATAAACATAATATAATAGAATTCATTCTCATTTCTATATTTGTGGTTTGAGGAACACTTCACAAAGAGTGCACTCATCCAAGTAATATAAAATTTATTGATCGCAGATTAAACCTATCGATACCTATTGATTGTCTATCTTCCAAATCATCCCGAATAATTTTTCTTTTGAGACTCCTAAGACACCAAATTCCAAACAATTATATAAAAACCTAAGATAAGATATGGGTTGATATTCTGGGGTGGATGCGGTGGGCGATGTCTTATATATATAGACAATAGACAATTAATCTTTTTTAACACATTCATTAAGAATAGTAGTAGCGTCAATTTACAATTTTTTCTAGATGTGTTGTTTAGTCAAAGATCTGTTGATGGTATTCTTTTAAGGAGTAGAAAGGTCGATTAATGAGCCATTGATGCAAAGCTGGTTTGAGGTCATCTTCTGTCTTGCTTCTTAGATCTGGAGGTAGCCTGTTGTAGATTTTCATTCCTGCGTATGAAGGTTTCTTTTCAAACTGTGCCGTGCGATGTTGTGGAAGGTTGTACTGCATGGTGTTTCTCAGGTTGTGTTGGTGCATTTCACCACGTCTTTTAAGGTTATTTCCCACTGCAAATAACACAACTTCCTGGATGTAGAGTGCTACAAAAGGAAGTACTTTGAGTGACCTGCAGCTGTCGGGTCTGTGGAGTCCTGCAGTTATTCTGACTGCCTTTTTTTGTTTTGTGAGAACTCTTTGCATGTTAGTGGCAGAGGTTCCACCCCATGCTACAATTTCATATCTCATGTGCCACTCGAAAAGTGCAAAGTATGCTACTTTTGTTGTGATGTCATCCGTTGCATTTTTTATATGTTTAAGAGCATAGATGGTTGAACTAAATTTTTTACATACATTGTCCACATGAGGGGTCCAGGTTAAATTCTTGTCGAGTGTGATGTCCAAAAACTTAGCTTCATCTTCCACCTCTACATCTGGAAGTCGTTGCACTTCATGGGATTTACGGCCAAAAGCTATTTGAGTTGTTTTAGACATGTTTACTGCGAGATAATTGTTATAGCAGTATTGGTAGGCCATACTGAGTGACACATAGGATTTTACTTCTAGATTTTCAGCTAGTGGTTCATTGAACACTAAGGTTGTGTCATCAGCATACATAAGAGTAAGGCAGGCGTATCCTATTTGTTGCGGCAAATCGTTGGTAAAAAGAATAAATAGTACCGGAACCATAACTGACCCTTGGGGAACTCCTCGATTTATTGGTTGAAAACTTGATCTTGCTTTCCTTATTAGGCTGTTATCTCTGTGCCTTAGTTCTACAAACTGACTCCTGTATGTAAGGTAACTTTGAAACCATTCTCTTACTATCCCTGATACCCCCAGGGAATCCAGCTTTTTAATGATTAGCTGGTGGTAAAGGCAGTCAAATGCCTTACTGAAATCAAGAAAGATTCCTGTTGTTAGATTTCCTTCATCTAGGCTGTCAATCAGGGACTCAACCATCTGAATTATTGCTGTTGTTGTGGATTTCCCTTTTGTAAATTTCTGTTGCAGGTTGTAGTAGGTTGTGATTCGTGCAGTGGTCTAAAAGTCTTTTAAAACAACTTTTTAATATATTTTGGAGAAGGTGGAAACGAGGGAAATTGGTCTGTAGTTGCTTGCTTCTAATGTGCTACCTTTTTTAAATTTCGGGTATACTTTAGTTATTTTAAGTAGTGAAGGAAAGATGCATTGTTTTAGGGACTTATTTATCAAATCAGCCAATGGTAGTGCTAGTTCATTGCAGCAATGCTTAAGTATTTTTCATGAGACTTCATCGATTCCAGACAAGTTTTTTGCTTTTCCAGATTAGTTTCCAAGATCTGGTCTGGATAATAATCAAGTCATAATGACTCTAATTGAATCCAAAGATAACATTATTACCCAGCTTCACAGGTTGTGGGCACTTAACTTAAGTTAGTAGCCTAAGTTATAAAACATTAATAAATAATAAGATGGTGCAAACTGCTTCGCAAAACTAAAGTAATGTTGCTTTTGCTTATGATCCGAAGGAAAAGAAGGCCTTTGCTAACAGTAGAGACTGAGAGTGTAGGCCTACCCTATCAAGTTTGTTTATAACCATTTTAACTTCCTTCTCGTCTGTGGTTTGAAAGGAGGAAAACAGTGGACCTGTTTGAGTTACGTGTGGAGTTTGAGCTGTGTTCTTTAGGTGTTTTTGTTTCTCTACTGTTTTTTCTGCTACCTGTGTGAAAAATGTTTTCAAATGCTCTGCAACATGGGTCACATTACTTATGAGTTGGCCATCTACTTGAAGGGTTATTTCATTTTGGGATGTTTCCTTTTTGGACCACACTGTGTTTATTGTTTCCCAGATAGCTTTAGATTTATTTTCAGCTTTCATCAACTGGTCAGAGTTAACCTTTTTCCGCATCGTTTTAAAGTACAGGTCATAGTTATTTTATTTTCAATAGAAACCCTTCTGTCATCTGGATTTCCCGTCACCTCAAGCTCAAACTTTCTTAGAGCTTTAAGAAATTTTGCTTTGAGTCTCAACTGCTTCTGGGTCCATAGAGGATTTTAGTTTATGTTTTCTTTGTGTTTTTATCTTCTTTTGGGGGCAGGCTGCATCCATAGCTACTCTCACTATGTTACTAAAAGTTTTAAAAGCTTCTTCGGCATTGTTTATTGAGGTAACATTAAGCCAGTTTTCTTTACTGAGAAGATACTTGAGCTCTTGTAGGTTTTTATTTTTTAGGCAGCATCCAATTTGGGCTGGATAACTTGAGTTGATGTGTGAGTTGAAGTTTACAGTACAGAGTTGAGCAGTATGATCCGAAAGTCCTGCACTGATGACTTCTGGAGTGAGTTGGTTTGTATCTATATTTGTACAATCCAGTCAATTGAGGTTTGTGTTAGATTTGTTATTCTCGTAGGTGGAAGCTGTAGTCTAGCATGTTGTGCATAGCAAGAGTTTCATTTAAGATAATGTGTTTCCTGTTAGGGTTACACAAATCAACGTTAATATCTCCCATGATGATAAGAGGAGAATTTTCAATTTTTGTTTCCTTAATTAGTTCTGTAAAGGTGTTTAATGATTCCTCAAGGTCTCCGTTTGGGGGTCTGTAGGTTCCCACTACAAACAGATCTGAGTTCTTGAATTTTATTTTTATAAGAGCTGCTTCAAATAACAGTTCTTTACAGTACTTGGAAACATCTATGGCTACTGTGCTACTCTCAAGGCTTTCTTTTACAATAATGCACACACCTCCCTTTCTGTGTTATATTCCACTATAGTGAGCCTTGAGGCAGAATCTAGTGGCTATGATGGTGTTATTTATTGTGTCTGTCTTCAGTCCGTGTTCTGTCAGGTTTGGTTTCTTCTAAAAGGTGTTGTAGTCTTTAAAATACTTGAAATTTTATTAGATAATTAGTATAGAATAAATTATTTGAAGATGGTGTTGTAAATGAGTCTTGTATTTCAGAACAATGTTTTGATAATCACAATAGTAAAAATATCAGGAATAATAAATATTTAAAATAACATATGATTGTTGAGGAATGCAAATAGAAAATATATAACATAGTCTATTTATTTTTTTTGAGACTTCCTGTGTATTTTGGTGCAGCAGGATGAGTTTGGAGTTTACATCTTGACTTGATTGTCTAAAAAACAGTCAGGTTGTCTTTCTCTTGTCTCTGCTGCTTTTTGCAGTTTAGCTCTTTAGCTTCTTTCTCTTCTAGCTGTTCTTTGCTCTTTAGCTTAGCATTTAGGGGTGAAATTTTTATTTTTAGTCTCTTTCAGGGTTTCTTGAGCTTTTACTGTTTGTGACACTTGTGACAGTTTTTGTGGCGGGGTTTGGCTGGTTCCCCCAGTTGATACTTGTTCTGTTGAGGCCTCAGATGACAGTTTTTTCGTAGTAGTTTGCCTGACACTCTCTGTTGCAGTTTCGGTTGGCAGTTTTTTAGTAGGAGTTTGTCTGACTCCCGGTTGTTGCTTCAATTTGCAGTTTTTTTCGTTGTTAGTTTGTCTGGCTCTCCACGTTGTGTTTTAAGGTTTTGCTGGTTCTTTCTCGGCAGTCAGTAGCAAGTGTGTGATTTGTTTGTTCTAGGTATTTTGCATTTTGCAGGGATACACTGAATATGTTAGTTCTATTATGATTTCTTTGAACCCTTTTATTTTTTAGTGAACTTGGTGTTGGAATGGAAGGATTTGTATGAGTTGTCGGAGAAATGGTGTTAGACATCTCTTTGTTCATCTGTATTTTCAGGGTGTTAATGATGTGTTCCATTTGATTTTGTTTCATTTTAACTTGAGCAAGTTCAGCTAAGAGGAAAGGACTGTGACCAGTTACACATTGATGGGTCTGGACTAAAGCAGGCTTTGTACTAACCAGATAGCTTCACCAGCACTCAGCATCATTCTGTTTTTGTGTCAGATCTTTTATTTTCTGTTTAAGTTGTAGAATTTCTTGTTCATATTCTTTTAATGTGTCTTCTTTTTCCTTGTCAAATTCTTCATAGGTGTGCTCTAAGTCACTGCGAAGCATCTTCTCATTGTCACGCTGTTTTTCAAGATTATTGATAGTTTCCACTTACGAGTTGTTTTTCATTAACAATCTTTCATTTTGGTCTAATAGTGTGTCTATTTTTTCTTCCCAAGCTGCTTCATTTTCATTTTTTACTTTTGTTACTTGAAAAGACAGTTTGGCATTTTCGAGATTCAGCTTGTGTACATCCTCTCTAAGTTAATTGTTTTCTACAAGGAGGGCATTTCCAACCTCCGCTGCTAGGTTAAGAGAAGTTTCCAAATCATTGTCTTCTGTATCAAAATTCTGTACAATGTTTTGAAAATCATATATTATTTTTTTCAATGTTATAATTATCATAGTTTATAAAGAAAAACTACTTCTATGACCTTTCAGTTACACTGCTTCTTATGACTTTGTCAATTACACCTCTGTAATTTTTTTAACAAAAAATAATGATTTATTATTATTACTAGTGTACATGTTGCTTGAATTCAATTGCAAAGTAGGAGTTATTTGAAAACGAATACTGGTAACACTCACAATTTCAAATAAGTTTAAAAGAGTCAACTAAAAAATTATTTAACTAATGAAAATACCAATGATGTCCATACCAGTTCGATATAAACAACATTTTAGATATTATTTTTCAAAAGTTGATATTCTTGTTAGCATTTTCTACAAATTGTTTTCCACTTATAGCCGCATTATGTAGCCCATGATTATATTCGCCATTAATAATGTAGTCTGCCTGGTGCCACCATTGTCGCCAGTATGTTTACAAATTTCAGTAATAAAAAAAATAGCAATAAAATTGTTCACATTACATAAGAGCTACCTGATTTCCTGCATAATCTCTTGCCTCAATTGGCATTATTTTGGTTAGTCACTGTAATAACGTCAGTTATATTTGCCTGAGAAAATGCAGAGTTAAAAGGTCTGATGTTGTTCAGATAGTTTTTTTTTCCTTAACTGTGAAAAGTAATTGAATCCAATTAAGTTTTAGTAAACGTTTCTTGGATGTAGTCATATTCTTCTAAAATCACTTGACTTTTATGAAAACATATACCTATTTAACTTCCTTGCTGTACCAGTTTTATTTAGCCTTGGGGGTTTCCTCTGCAATATATATCACAAAGTTTATCCATATTTCTACTAAAACTGGTAGCACTTCGGCTAACATCCTCGTTTATCGTTTGTACAAACCTTCATCTTGTAGGCGTTTTTCATTATATAGGCCAAGATCTATACTGAATTCTTTAAAAACATTACCCCATTTCTTCTACTTGGTGGTGTTCTATGACTTTTCTATGTTTTGAATGAGACTTCAATGGTCAAAATCGGTTAAGGAATCGCAAAGGAGTTCAAAGGACAAATTTTGTGTTTGCGTATTAATTATATGGATTATTACTTTTTTTAAGCCTATGCATACATTGCGAGTCCCATGCCTCAGGGGTTGGAAGGCATGTATGTATAAATTTATAAATTTTAACTATTGAGTTCTTGGGGACATAAAAACAAAAAGTAAATCAGTCCCGGGTCTAGGTCTTACCATGCCACCTACGTTAATAGCTTATTCCTTGTACATACATAGCTTTTTATATACATAAGAAATTAGCTAAAGAAATTTGCTGAAACTGACTTATTTTCAAATGTTTCAGTCCGATTGGCTATTTCATCCCAAAAACAACATAGACAACCAAGATGATACTGCTGTCAATGGTAAGATATCCACAAAAAAACCTCGTAAGTTAAGGAACGTTTTCTTTTTTTCATTCTAATGGGATGATAATTGAAACGGGTTGTATGTAATGTAGACTATAGTTTAAACAACTTTTTAGGGCTAGATGAACTAATTCACTCTTCAATGGCCAGGTAGTTAAATATCTCAGGAACTACGGTATAAGTCTGATTTAAGATAAAAATACATTGGCCTAGTAATTACAAGTTTTCCGGTTCTGATGAATAAAAAACCAAACTTTAAATTTACTATTTATCTCTGTAACCAATAACTGTGCAAAAACACTTAATTATACTAAACTTTTTTTTAAGCTTACAAAATGGTTTGGAAAGAAATTGAGAAATTTTATGTTTTTAGGGTCAAAAATGGGAAAAACAATTTTTACCCCATAAAACCCCGTTCCTATAGATAGAAAGATTAACTAACCGTCCGACCATGCTGATTCGCCAGCTTGTTGGAATAAACTTAGGTTTACAAGTTTTTACCAAGTTTCATGAAAATTGGATAATATTCATAAGTTAAGTTCATAAGTAGTGTTATCGTGCTAACTGACACTTATATATATATATTTATTTATATAATATATGTGTAATCAAACGGATCGTGTTTTTAGCCTCAGGGGACATCAAAACAAAAAATAAATCGATCCCATGTCCAGGTCCTATATGGTAAATTCACTAAAATAGACATACTTGGACTGAGCCACTGACAGAGCACACTGATATAAAATACTGATCTCTATCAAACCATCAACTTTTTAGTTTAGAAGTCAAAAGGATGAGATAACTTTTGGTAATCTATAACATCTTTATGTAACATAATTTAAATTATCTCAGTAACAAAAACTAAGAGGGAAAATATCAACAGTCAAAGATATTCTTTGTTATTCTAGATGATAGGACACTCTGTGAGTGGTTCACTTAACTATGTTATCTCTTGAATAAAAAATTGGGGACAGCTGGTCCAAATACATGAGATGTCAGTCAATGATTATACCCAGTAATTATACAGGGTGTTCAAAAAAGGTGGGGACATAATTTACGTAGTGATTCCTTGAGTCAAAATAAAGAGAAAATCACGAATAAGATTTTTTCCAAAATCATGTTTTTAGCCAGATATTCGCCATTTTGTATTTTTTACATAAACATTTTTTACTTTGAATTTTTTGACCGATCTTTATGAAACTTATTATGTATTTTAAGGTACAAGAGGCCCATGTTAGAACAAAAAATCATCTTGATTCAACTTCAAATTTCAAAATGGCGGCCATTTTGATTTGTTAAACTTAAATTACACAAAAACGGCTGATTTTATGAAAAAATGTCAAGATACGGTTTTCAAAGAATGTTGGCTTTTTACTTTTAATATCTGTCGATCTAAGAAACCGGTCCTTCTACCTTTAAGTCAGATAATTGAATATTTTGATCAAAAAGTTATCTATTGCTGTCTTCGAATTATCTGTAACTCTTTTTGGGAAATTAACAAGGTACCTCATATTTTTGCTTTCTAACAACTGTTGTAACAATCTATGTCTGCTGTCCGATACTAAAACATCAATATTTAGGTCACCTGCTATAATGATTTTATCATATTTTTTATTAAAATAATCAATTAAAATATCTAACCTATCCAGAAAAATATTTACATCTGATCTAGGTGACCTGTAAATACCAATAATGAGATATTTTTACTTATTAATACTAAATTTACAGGCACAAAATTCAAATTGCAACTCTTCAAGTAGAACATTACATATTGCATCCGGCACCGAGACCCTCCTCAGCTCAAAACTCTTCTCTGCCAAAATAATAACCCCTCCATTAGACTTTACTTTTCTAGGAGAACTAGATTTTACTGAATAGAATTTAAATAAACCCTTTTTATTTCCTCTTCTTTCGTATCGTGTTCTGATAAAACAACTATATGGGTATTTATTTTGTCTAAAATTGCCTGTAGTGAATTTAACCTAGAAGGGAGGTGTTGAATGTTCTGGTGAACAATTTTGATAAAATTATGTTGCGATTTTATTTGATCGGTGTGGTGGTTTGTAGAATTTAGTTTAAAGCTGAGAAAGATAGGTCGCCAGGTGCCACAGTAACTTGCTCTGTTTGAGTTGATGTCTGCTCTGTGAGTTGATCAGCTGCTATTGTCACCATCATGGACACTGGAGTAGTTGCAGCCTCATTAGGTGTTACATTGGCAGTGATGTCTCCAGCTTAAGCTTTGTCCAGTTAAGGTGGTGAAAGGTGTCCCTGTTTTTTGTTGATAAAGTCTTTCAGTTGACAGACAAAGTCTTTGTGAGATAAGCAATTCTTTTAAGTCTGACTAGGATTGTGACCGTATGAGACTATTGTGACTGATTTAGCCTTAGTAATTTGTTGGAACTTAAAGATGTTAGATGTTATTAATAAAGTGATTTAAATCCATCTTGTCCCGAACACAACCAATTGGGGAGCAGATGAGGTGTTCTAGCTTCTTTATATTTATTTATTTATTTGAAAAATCACAAAATCGTACAACATTTTATAAACAAACTTTCTGCAAAAGCCAGGAAAATTTGGCTTGTCTGCAGCTCATAGAGATAAACTTGTTGTAGATAACAATGTACTTGGTCCCTTGGTCAGTCCTTCTCCATATTACACTTTGGTTTTCCTTGTTTCTTGTAAAGATCTGCTATCGTTGTTGTTTTGACTTATTCTCTACCTTTCTATAAACGACTAACTTGCTTTAAAACAACTTGAAACAATTATCTGAAATAAATAAATATCTTGCTTTTGTTGTTAGACTATACACGGCTATGGTGGATTTGTATAGCCAAGTGACTGGTTAGGCACTGTGATGGTTTAGGCTTTCCGAAATAAGACTTGAACACTACTGCTACCCCGGCAGTCATGTGGCCTGGATCAGAGAAATCAGCAGAGATGCTGTGTGCAAAACCAATTTTCTAGTTTTTTTTTATGTTGTTGGAAAATATTACCAATGTGAGTTTCAACTAACTTTACAGGCATGGCATCATTGTAATGCTCTGTCAATTTAGCTACCCTCTTCTTAGTTCCTGATTTAATTAAGTTTGCATCTGCTGAGTATATCCTCACCAACATATCCCTTATCGCAAACTCTAATTTTTCTTGCCTCTTATGTTGAAATGGAGACCTTGCCGTCCAAAATGAAAACGTTGAAATTTATTGCTGTCTAGGTCAACAATATGAACATTTTGTATTCGCTCAGTTAGCTCTCCAATATAAGCATTAAGGAGATTTATTTTATTTTGAACTGGATCCATGATATCAGCATTGAACCTCTGAGAAACTAGTGAAAATCACTGTGTTTTTGCTACTAATCTCGATAAGCTTTTCTCCAGGTCTCTGTAAACTGACTCAAAGTTACCACAGAAAGAGTCATTGGTACCACCCATGAGGACAATAATGTCATCCAACAAACCCTTACAAGCTACAACCCTTACAAGGCTTACAAGTGACCATGGGATTGCATTGTAGCAAGAACAGCTTATTGTGCACCCTCATTCACAGGTTCTCATTATCTGTCAAATCCCAGGTCCTTAGTGAACTGTGAGAACCTTTTGACTATTGTAACCTGTTCTTCCCTTTGATCTCCCTTCAATTGGCCAAGGGATCTCATACGCAGACCTTGTAGGGCTGGGCACATAAATATCACAAAACGATGATACCTTCACTGTTCAGTTCTTTTGATTAATTTTTCTACTAGGCTTCACATTTAAAATTAAAAAGAACAGCTGATGTTTAAAAAATGATTCATACTGTACAAATAAACAAGATTCCTTTCTGTTCTTCTTGTAAACATGACTTTTATTTTTTCTCTCTTAATTTTTTATTAATTTACTCAAACACTTAACATTATTTAATGGTCCTTCGAGCCGGATATTACTTAAGCGATTTGGAATTACTTCCACCACTAAAACTCTTCATACATCAATATTTCCTCATTTAACCCATTGTTTTCTGTGCCTCTGAACTCTTACACATTTGAACTCTTATTTCCACATTGGAACTCTTAACCCACTCATTTAAACTTTGTGAATTTTTTACATTTATCTCCTCATCTTTGTACAATGGCATCTCCAAATAGTGATTTTAAAATTGAGACTTATACATGACTCACATCTTTTATTAAAGTTCGTATGAACAAAATAAAAAACATCATAGATCAACTTATTGAACAAGAAGAAACATTAACAGTTGTGCAACACGAAGCCTTAAAGACCCTCATGCAAGAAACCCAGAAGAAGAAAGAAGACTTTGATTCTTATTTTTATAGAATTGTAAGTACATCAAGTGAAGATGATTTGAACATTGAAACTTTAGCTGAAGATGAAGACCAAATCAGTGAACTATTCATCCACATCACCAGCTACATTAAAGTGCTGCTTTCAAAAATTGGTTCTAACCCTTATTTGGCCAAGGTTAATTGCAGTTCAGCTCAACCTCATAGAACTACTGCAGTGCATGTAATCAAACCAAACTCATCAAGTCAGTTTCAAATCAGAGGCAACGACATTATACAACCTGGAACAAAACTCATCACAATAAAGAGGCCAGTGACAATCACAATACCTAAGTTCGCAAACACGATGATTAGAAATACCACAAAGACAGTGACAAAACCTCAACCAACGAATACAGATACAACAGTGAGCTCAACTACCTTGACAAGTGATAGTGCTGCTATCCAACCTACCAACATTGCTGGCATCCCAAGAGACAGTACTGTTATCCATCCTACCGATAATGATATCACCCATCCTACCGATCGTGTTGCTGTTACACCAACAGACAGTGCCGCCGTTAACACAACCGAGAGTGAAACCACTACAGTAAAGACAGTCAAGCAATCCAGTCAAATGGTTGTATCTTCGGATGAAGCTCTGGACAAAGGCTCCTCTTCATCACAAACTACAGAGGAAGCGGTCATCCTCCAATCTCAACTTGTTGAATTATTGAAACAAGAGTGCTTTGAATTGAAGAAATGTGTTATGAACTGTCAAGACTTGTTCACTTCTGTTACTCAATATCATCATAAAACACCAAAGTTCCTTCAAAACTCTGATGTTCAACATATCAAAGAGCTAGGACTTCGGTGGTCTCCAGCAACAGTTTTTAAGATGTTTCCCAGCAAAGATGGTATAGGTTGAAAAGCAGAAGTAGAAAAAAGAAACCAGCTGTTATAGCCAGCCTACAACAAACTTTTGTGTTAATGTGTTTTTTGTTCTAAACTAACTGTTGAAGTGAGGACACTTCAAGGCCGGGAGTATGTTCAGTTCTTTTGATTAATTTTTCTACTAGGCTTCACATTTAAAATTAAAAAGAACAGCTGATGTTTAAAAAATGATCCATACTGTACAAATAAACAAGATTCCTTTCTGTTCTTCTTGTAAACATGACTTTTATTTTTTCTCTCTTAATTTTTTATTAATTTACTCAAACACTCCACATTCACAGCTTTCACAAGGTCTCTGGCTGGGGCAAGCTGTAGCGAGATTTCCCTGAAGGGACTCAGCTCCCGAGCTTGCTTGACGAGCCAATCCTCCACAGCTAACCACCAAGGCTCTGCCTTCAAGATGGCAGCTGCTTATCCTGACGTCTTTGCCATGAATGGCCCACCTTGACAGCTCCCCCTTGATTTTATTGGCTTCAGCCTCCATGCGTTTCCAGTACAGGTGTTCAGATTTGGCGATAGCAATCTTCTTCACAAACAGTATCTCCAAATAGGTGGGTGTCGGTGCTCTCTGTTAAACAGCCGAGCCCTCTCCCTCTTTCGTCCTCGTATTCTTTTTCCGTCCCCTATTTCCATCTTTCTTCCTGGAGGCTTCATTAGAGTCAGCTTTGGGGGTGCCGCCCTCGCTCTGCTTTTTTCCTAGCATCCTGGTTCCCTGAGGAACTGGCTTTGCAGAGAGCAGAGTTAGGGTGCTTGGCAGCCCACGCCAGCCTCCTCTCATTTCAGGATAGCACCATTTCGCCTTTGGCTAAGGCATCCGCTATCCTCCGTCTTCGCAACTCGCCCCTGGATAGATGTTTTTTTTTTTTCGTTCCTTTCCGGTTTCCACGAGCGATGATGACTATCGTCAGATTTAAGCAGACATTCCTCCTCCATTGGGGTCAGATGGTCTAAGTTGTTCCCACGAATACCGGGTATCTAAGGTCCACCTCCCCAGTGACCCGCTTAGAGAGGTAAGGGGTACATTCGACTGGGTTCCCCCTGGTTCCCAGAAGGCTCCGTTAAGACACTGAATATTAGGCCCCCAGTGCCACAAGACTCTCGGCACAGATCGCATTACACCTTAGTCTAGGGCCCCCCTCACTTGGTTCTGTAGGTGGACCAACACCCAGTGGCAGAAGGTAGCTCTCCGCAGCTAACAAGTGAGAGTTGGAGTTTAGGTGTGGCCAATCTGCCGAACCAACCCCGCATGCGAGGTTTGGCCGGAACAGCGCGAAAGGTTCTCCCACTCACTAAACCCCCATACCATCCTCTACAACACTTGGTAATGGTGCATTGGGGAGAACGGTTCCACTCGCTTCAATTTCACCCTGCCCAGCATTTTTAATAAATTGCTATAAACATACAAATTTTCATAAAGATTGATCATAAAAGATTCAAAGATAAAAAATACAAAATGGCAGATATCTGGCTAACGAAGCGATTTTGGAAAAAATGTTATTCTTGATTTTCTCTTTATTTTGACTCAAGGAATCAGTACGTAAATTATGTCCCCACCTTTTTTGAACACCCTGTATAACAGTTTAATTCCTAGAACAGTGAGTAGCTATGGCGTTTCCTCGCGAAATAAAGTAAAATTTGCTACTTACACAGTAAAATCTTTGAGATTTGCAAAGAGTAACTTGTAAACCTGTTTTGATCAAACTTGGTAAAAAAATATATTACCTACTTCATTAAAATGACTAGATGATTGTTGTTTTAGAATTGGATATAGAAGTTACTAAGCAGATTCTTGGTTGCAATCATCAACCTGAAGACATGTCACAGTATATCAAAGCACCCTGTTATAGAATGGCGGGATTTTTACTAGACATACTGCCAAATCCCTTAAGTAAGTACATATATTAGTCAAGTAAAGTGGATTGATTTGCAAAGTTTTAAGAGAAATGCAGAACGTTGAAAGAAATATTTCTAACTAGTAAACACGTTGCTCGAAATCGAGCAATTGCAAAGAAGTAAAGTAGTTAATTAAAAACAAATAAAAGTCATCATAATTTCTGATGAGTTTAAAAGACTTTGAAATGAAAAATAACAGCAATTAAAATATACAGCTGATCAAAATGTAAACAATCATGTTCTTCATAAGGATAACATGGGAACTTTAACAGCCACTGGGGCAGAGCCCAAGGGACTTTTTCAAAAATGTAAGGTCAGTTTGCAAATCTACGCGACACGCTCTTTCCAATGAGACGTCAATGGATAAAATCGGTTAAGAAATGGCGGAGGAGTTCAACCGACAAAGTTTCATGTAGCGTATTAATTATATAGATTATAATAATTGCTAGATGCAAAATCAAAAACTGTTATCTAACTACAGTAATTATTAAGGAAATTGACAGGAAAGCAGGCTTATCTTTAAACAAGTCCATAGAGACACATGGATTTATTTAAAGGTAAGCCTGCTTTCTGTCAATTTCCTGAATAATTCCTGGCAAACGCCCTATCTTTTTATCAGATAATTACATTAATTATTAGATTAGTTTTACTCATGATAGTACTCTTGGTAGTTCCTTTATTTTAAACAATTCTCTATGGATTGAATTATTGTGTAGCTTATTAAGGACCACATTGTGTTAACAGTGTAATGTGTTATAGGTAACCCATTGGACCTGGTGAGTGGGTTTTGCCATTCAGGATGTCACGGTATGTTCTTGTACTCTACCATAAAATGGCTACAAGAAGAAACTGGTTCCATCCCTCTATGTCCAGAATGTGCAATAATAGGTAATGAATAATAGTTTTGGTAACTATCAAAAGTAGACTCTCAGGGTATTGAATTTCAACCAATCATTCATGTGTCTGAGTGTTTTACCTGTAATTTGCTTTGCCCTTTTACTACATCTAATGAAGGACCAATGCAGGTTCTGCGAAAACGAGGTAGAAACCTCTGAACACTTATGGCTAGACTGTCCGGTGTTGGACCAAAAAAGGTTGAAATCTCTGGGAAGGCCGCAATTGGAACCTATAGGGTTAAGTATATTGGGCGTCTCATAGCTCCTAGGCTATGCCAAAAGCTTAGGACTGTCAGACTCGAGTTGAGATGTGCTAATAGGACAACAGACCAAAGTAGCAAAGAGTAGATGAATACCCCAAACCCTCCTCCCCCCCCCCAAAAAAAAAAAACTCGTTGCTTCTCAATACACCTGTTATGGCAAAATTTGCAACTAAACTAGTAAAGAATAAATTAGAACGCTGTGGAGATAGTAGGGGAAGAGGAAACCACACAAGAAATATATTGTTTCCCACCAAATCTGAGTTATGATTTTTTAGGCTTATCATTATTTTTACACTACAGCAGGAAGCTAATAAATGTTCCAATATTTGTTATAAACAAACTATTTCTTAAACTGTTGTGTTTTATCTTCAGTACACATTTAGTTAATGTTAACAATTCAAAACTTTAGACATTCAGTGTAATGTATGTGGGTTCAAGATGGTGGCTTTAATTTAATCATATTTCAATTACATGCAATTTAAATTATTTAACACATTTGCCTATGTGGAACATTGGATCTATGTGAATATTTAACAATTTATTTAAACTCGATAAACAGTTTAATAATGCCACGAGGTTCTTTTTTGTTGGACCATGTTTACGCGGAACCAGCCGGTTGGTGGAACCCTCTTAAATTAGGTGTTGCAGTAACTAAAATAGGCCTAGCTATTTTATGGATATTGTTCAAATGCTTAAACTATAATTTTAAATAAATTCAATTGGTTCTACACAGTCCAAAATTAATTAAATAATTAGACAACATTTAACCCTTACCGCGCTACATATATGTTGGGTGGCCTTGACGTAACGCTACGTATATCTAAAAAAATTTTCCCTCAAAAAATCTAAACTGATTTTAAAAAATAATTATAATATTGTAACAACAATAAAACCAATATAATAGCAAACACAGCGGAGAATGAAGTTTCCCGCGGAGTCTGCAAGTTAAATAAACACTTGCGTGTAAGTCTGTCTACAGCTCTGGGGTCTCTCATAGCAGAGACCGGCAAGTGTAGCATGCCACCATTTTGAACAATCGGAGGGCGGGGAACGTTGTTATTGAGATTTTCCTATTTTGAGTAACGGCAATTTCAGCGAGTAGTTTTAAGTCTACAACACGGTAAGGGTTAATAAGGTACAACACATAAAAAACTATTGCTGGGACACAACCTTCGAGTTCAAGGATGGACACTCGGCAACGCGGCTGAAATAACAGGATGTGGTAACCTGTTATTGGCTGATACCTGGGAAGCAATGATAACTTACATCTTTATTTTTCATGTGTTCAACAATAAAAAGAGTTCTAAAATGTAGCTGATGTATGTTTTAACATTCTCTGTGGATTTGATATATAATGATACCTATTTTGAGGTTTAATCAAGAGGCAACATTCTTTATCAGTATCATCATTGGGGACAGCAGAGCCGGGGATAGCAGCTAGTAAGGGCTGGACCACTCTGCCGGTGTAGGCTACTTGCATCCTGCTTGTTTCACCAGGTGACGTCACGCGGCCGCTGACCCCTCTACTACCTGGCGTAAATTATGAGTTTAGTGGAATGTTTTTTATGATTAATTCAAATATTTGCTTGTGCAGAACAAGAAAATGAGCTGCAATTGATGTTTATGATGACATTGATGATATTGCACCCCTCAGGCAGTCATTTCGAAGTACTTGTTGCCAGAAACCATGCAGACCAATTCCTCAGTAAGTAGCCTATAACATTGCTGATTTTTACTCTTGTCTGTGTGTAGTGTAGTAGTGGTAAATTTATCAAACTAAATAAATGTGCCGTGATATTGTTTACAAAGAAATGCTATGTGAAAGAAGTAGCCAATCCTGTCAAGACAACAGATCAAAACAAGCTCTGTAAGCTATAATAAAACTTAATTCTCTAGAAATAGCAGAGGCCCCATTTCATTTAGTGTTAAACCCAAATAACATGCATTTGATATAGGCAAATTAAGTTTTTTGTTACTCGCCTTTGGCCCCCTAGCTGTTCGTCGTCATTAGTAGCATAGAGTGTGGGGATCGAGCCGGTCTAGCGGTTATAGCGCGGGACTTCGCTCCCTGAGGTCCCGGGTTCTTTCGATTAGAGTTTATTGTTTCAAAGCAGGAAGTCAAACCGTCAATATTACGTTATATAACAACAAAGCCACAAATATATTTGATGTGGTTGGTAAGTTAATTTCCTCCACTTCAAAGCTCCACCATAAAAACCCTTTAAAATGTGGTAAGAGAATATGTTAGTAAGGTATTTTTCAATCAAATAAAAAATCTATTGTTGTTTTTTCATAGTCAAAGCTTTTGACTATGACATGGCTAAGATTGATTGTCTTGTTTCAGATTGCTCAGTTGCTGATTATATGAAGGACGAGGTAGTTCGTCGGAGCAGAGTGCAGTTGTTGACCGACTACACAGTGAAGACCACTTACCAGTCAGCCCACACACCTATGCTGGAAATGTGTGTCATACCCTTACAACAATCCTCACCTATCCTTGTACTGGTCAACACTATTCTCAATATACCCCTACTGTGATCTAGTGTAAATGTTAATGTGGAATCTGCATGTTTATTTATTATCACTGTACAAGATTTTAATAAAAAAGATAAATTCTGAAGGTCTATTTTTTGTACTTTTTGCTAACCTTCAATACATAAACACCTCACCTGTTGACAAATGTTAATGTGGAATCTGCATGTTTATTTATTATCACTGTACAAGATTTTAATAAAAAAGATAAATTCTGAAGGTCTATTTTTTGTACTTTTTGCTAACCTTCAATACATAAACACCTCACCTGTTGACAAAGTGAATTTTTACCTGTTCAAATTCAATCAAATATATTTATTATGGATATTACAACAGCTTGGCCTCACCAAGTTTAAAAAAACTTGTCGGTGAGGTCCAATTGATGCATAAGGTTAACAAACAAATAGTTTACATTATTTTTCCTTTTTTTAGAACAAAGTTTTCTTAATATACTATATTTCTACGGCGGTTTGTGGCTGGCACTTTAACTTAAAACAAATTAGTTGGCAGCACACTGTTATTTTTTATTTTCACAAATTATAAATGTCATTGTGGAGCTCAACCTCCACAACCACTCAAATCCCGCCAAGAAGGCTTAAATAGATTGAGGCAAGCCATTGTACAACCCAGGACAATGTGCTTGCACATGCACCGGGGCACATCACGTGAGTCAACAGTTGTCGTACCACAACTATCAGACGAACCTCACTTTAAAGGACTTGTATGTTTGATACTTTGTATTTAAGTTTTCACAGTAAACCCATTACCCTTGCAAAGTTCACTCACAAACTCACGCAGGTCAGAAGTTTCCACATTTGTGCCGATCCTTGATATGAATATCCAAGATTGTCTTGGTGCAGCAGTCAATTTACTTGTGGGTTGGGATTTGCCAATAATTAGCGTAGGTCTGGGTTTTTGATTCTTGGTCAGATTTTGGATTCTGGAATTGAGTCCTATTCATTTTTCTTCTTTTGATAAATCTTCCAATTGTCCTTGTGTGATTCCTTAGTTTGATTAAATTCAGTTTCTTCATTAATTGAAATTATGTCCTCCACGTGCGGTTCCATTTCCATTTTCTTTGGCTTCTTTCGGTAAGAGTTTGCACATTTACGTGCAGGTTCTATTTCAATTTGGCTAACATTATTTTCTTCTGGTGTTACTTTAATTTCGCTTTTTAGCTCATGGATTTCCATTGATACGGCTGTTAAACGATCAGTCACCTCTCGGTCTCTCTTCTCTACTGCCTCCATCCTATTGGGTAGTTCTTTCATAGCGGATGAATTGTTTTGTATACTATTCAGTAAAATATTTAAAATTGACGATGATTCCTCATTTTCATTTGATAGGCCAACTTTCATGTCAAGAAGGTCCATAACCATAGGCCTACAGGTCTGACAACACCATGTAACACAGTCAGCAATTTTATTAAGGTACTCATACTGGTCTTTGGAAAGCTTTGCACATCCTAGGTCGTACCATGATTTACATGGGCCTTCACAAAAAACAGCTTCACTATCAGGAACTACATCTTTGCAATGTCCACACCTTTCTTCATTTCCAGAGTTATTTCTAGGCCTACTTGATTTATTTTTCTTAAACTTGCTCATTATCGTTATTCTTCCTTTTTAGGCTTAAGTAGCCTAAGTCAAATTCTAAAATAATTATTAGCCTTCTAGGTAAACTTTGTCTTGGATTGGTGGCAATTCAGCCTGAGTTAATATTTAAAGTACAAGATGGTTTTTGTTAAATCAGTTGGCTTAATTTGACACAACCTATTTTAACCTGTTTGGTCAAAATATTAAAGCATATTTTGATTAAAAATCGTTTAAATAAAAATGCAGTTAGTTATATTTTCTCACGAGAGCCAAGTTGCAAGTTAACTAATATAGTCAGATGCTAATATGCAATTGCAATTTGATTATTGAATTGTGAAAACAAATGCAGCTTACGTAATGGCGGCAGGTCTTGAGTTGTATCACTGTAGTATGTTGATATTTCAATTGCTGTAGAGATTTTATTAGGTTTAATATCTTGCCTGAGATACTTTAGTGTCAATATGTTATATTAAATTTGTATAATCACGCTCTGAATGGAATAAAAATACTGAATATAAGAGTTGAATACTGGTATGTGAATGCAGCTTGAATTGTGCAATGGCAGCATCCCGGTTGTATGAGTTTAAATACTATTTGTTGAAAATTTAATTACTGTAGGGATGCGTTTAGGTTTCAAAACTGTACTAAAATACTTAAACTTTCAATAAGTTACACTAAATTTGAATTAAACCCGCACTGAATGAAATAAAATATTAAAATATGAAGAGCTCTGAACTGAGAAACTATAACTGCACTAGTCAGTAGTACCCCCGCCGCAGCAAACCTGCCGACTAAGCGAATTTCCATTTGTCTGAATTGATTTTAATAACATTAGGTTTAATTAAATAACTTACGTCATCAATCCATAAATTTCTGTGGAGTACGCGTTTCAACCATCAGGTCATCCTCAGCTCCACTGTCACTAGGTTGAATTTGCTTCTATGTTGCATTATAGCAACAGCGTTGATATATTAAATAAATAGTCCAAACACACTTTACATTCATCACACATACACGACACGTACGAAACATTTAGATAACAAATACTGTGTAACACCGTGCGCACGGCTCGTATTTGTATCTAAATGTTTCGTACGTGTCGTGTATGTGTGATGAATGTAAAGTGTGTTTGGACTATTTATTTAATATATCAACGCTGTTGCTATAATGCAACATAGAAGCAAATTCAACCTAGTGACAGTGGAGCTGAGGATGACCTGATGGTTGAAACGCGTACTCCACAGAAATTTATGGATTGATGACGTAAGTTATTTAATTATTTGATAACTCAATCCGTTGTGCTACAATCTCAACATTATGAACATTAGGTTTAATGAGTACCTAGGTTTGCTGCTACAAGGAAACTAATAAAGTGTATTTTTTAGTAAAATATTAATAGTTAAATATAAAATAAATAAATTTGCCAAGATTGATCAAAATATATCCATAAACAAGCAAAATACAACAGTTTACAATATTCTCCATAAGAACAAAATGGGAATTTTAAATTTACAATTTTTTGAATTTTCTCCATTACCAATAACCATACAAAAACACTTTGATATACTAAATTATTTGTTTTTTAAGCTCTTTAAAAAGGTCTAGAGAGAAATGGGATATTTTGTGTTTTGAGGGTCAAAAATTAGAAAACCCATTTTTTTACCCCACAAAACGTCCCATAAAACCTGTTCCCATGGTCCGATCATGCTGGTTCGCGAACTCATTCAAATTTATACCGCCTTACACCTTTAAACCAAATTTAATCAAAATTAGACAAAAATTACTCAAGTTATCGTGTTCATAAAATACATAAAATATATAAAAATTTGAAAGTATGAAATGCATGAAAAAGTAAATCGGTCCCAGGCCTAAGTCTTACCTAGGATAATAACTACTTCCCTGAAGGGAAATTCACTAAACATTTTAACGTATCCTAGTGATTTTGATTCTACTCTAGGCACATCAAAATTAAAAATTATATCGGTCCCAGGCCCAAGTCTTACCGTGCCACCTACGGTAATAGAATAGTTACCTCCCTATAATAAATGGTCTTTTCCATTTAATATAAATATTATTATTATTTATTAATATTAATATTATTATTAGTGATGGTCAAAACGAGAAATTTTGAATCTCAAAACCGAAACCGAAACTTTAAAAATCGAATCTCGAATCTCAAAACCTAAACGCAAAACTTTTTTACTTAGATGGTTACAAAGGTCAAGGTTACAAAAAATACACATAATCATAAAATGTTAAGTATGCAATCAAAACTGAAAGATATCAACTCCTGACCGTGACATAACATCTTAACAATAGTTTGTATATGTGAATGTTACTGATAATCTTAAAACCCAATACATTTTTTTTAATAAACCAAAAAAAAACTAATTAAACTTCTAACACCAACATAAACATGAATATTAGATTAATTAGAACAATTAGTGGTCAATATTTATTCGTGTTTAGTAAATATTGGTGTCAAACTGAATTGTACCAGTTATAGTATTTAAGATAGCTTTTGAAGTTCAGGATAAAATTTACTTGTTTCATTACTGTTAATGGTGATGTTTTCTCTGTTACTACCAGCTTAGTGTTAAAAACAATAACAATGGCACAAAACAATTTCAGCAGTTTCAAAAACAAAACTGCCAAAATCTTCAATTTCAAAACTTTTGAATCTCGAAACTTGGTGATTGAATCTCGAAACCGAAACTTTTCCTAAGTTTTGAGATTTGAGATTCGGTTTTGACACATCACTAGTCTTTATTCAGCAAGTGTGTTTTAGATATGTACAATTCTGCTTTTAAAAACAACTCTTGTCATTAACATTTTATTTTTATTCACCAATAAAATCACCAACAACTAGTTTCTATATGTATGCAGAGGGAGGGGGTAAGGGCATGTAACACAGTTAAGCTTTTGGTGTTTTATTTATATAAATAACTAACAATACTTCAACTTAAACATACTGCAGATTTACAGTTTACAAAATCTTGCAAGTTTGGAACTGCCATAAAAGAAACAATTTACTGCCAAAGTGTTAAACCTTAATAGTGCTTTCATTCAAAGTATACTGGAGGGCAAGGGATGTTTTTCGATTCGCAAAATAGTTTTCTGATAGTCCTTTTCTGTATCCAAAAACAGTTTTTCGAGTATTTCAAATCTTTGCTCAGGTGTTTTCAGACCCAAATTAGTATGCAACTGAGGATCTTGATCCAGAAGAGGTTTCAGCTTCTTCATCAGTTTTGCTTCTTTCTGAAAATATAAACATCATACTTTAAGCAAAAAGGAAACCTAGAAGGAAAATCTAACGGTATCCTAGATCTTAGTTTTGTTTTGTAATACATAATAACAATCTGCAAATCAATGTCTAACAGTAAATTAGTAGTGTTGATGTTTGGATGGGTAGGTGACTCGCATACTGACTGGTATGTTGATAGTTTACTACTGAGAAACAGAAAAGTCTACTGAACTTTTGAATGTTTGAAACTGGGCTTTCAACTCTGTCCTTCATTATAGTATGAATGGAGATGAGTGTAGGATGAGTGGCACGATCTTGTAGTCTTGTTAGTGACTAAATCCGACATTCCTTAGACACAGCTGTTAATTAATAGCCCATACAGCTAATGGCAACTAAGGGACCTACAGTTTATAGTGGAATCCGAACCACATTTTTGCCTTGGTATATACGAATTGGTCTAATTATCAGGATAGTACTGCGGATAGTCGTAGTACTCACTTGTGCGGACATAAATCCACACCTGGGATTATCGCATTCACAGTGCATGCCTATAAATATCCACAATTCGTGACCTCCTAGTAGCTGGATTACAAGACGGCGCCACCCGTCCCAGTAATACTATAGTAAGCTACTTACTTGAAATAGAATGTTGTACCGTCGCTTGACATCTAGACGGAAAGATTTGGACTCGTCATCATTGTGCACATTAGTCTCCTTCAATCTTAAGATCTCGTACACACGTCTAGCTTGTTTCTTAACATAGCAACAAAACTGATTACTATATGTATGGATAAAGTTATAAAGCATTACCAAGATCCCTTTCATCAGCTACAACTTTGAAGTAAGTTTTGTGGATAGGTTAATTTGTGTTGCTATTCACTAGTACTGGTGTTTAGCAGGAATCTCCCTCATATCGAATAAATTTAAACTTGAAGGTTCATTTTATTTTATCTCTTGTCATTTTATCACAGTGTTGTACAGACATTGATCGGAATGATTGATGAGTCAGATGGGGTGCACTTGACTGCACACTCATACCTGGGGAATATTTGACACATTCACATTTTACTTATACAGTTGAACCTCGTTTGTACGAACCCCGATAAGACAAATTTTTTTTAATCCCCTTGACACTTTCATATAGGTCACTGCTATAAAAACACCTCTATACAACGTAGTAATTAAGTTAAAAACCTCCATAAGACGAATTTGTTTGTGACATGGGCTAGGACTGAATAACCTCTATACAACGAATATTCTTAGCACAAAACCTCTACAAGACGAACGTGACCTCTATAAGACGAATTTATCATAGTCTTAACCTCCATAGTACGTAGTTTTCAAAACAAACAGAAGCTTGTCTCAACATGAAACCCCCACCCATCCCTCCTCCTTCCTGAGTCATTGTTTGGAGAAACCTTGGAGCGAGGAGAAACCTCTATAAGAAGAATAACAGCAGCATTAAACCTCGATAAATTGACCCTCTTTATTAAGAATACCTCTATAGTACAAATTTTTCCCGTACCCCTTGAAATTTGTCTTATAGAGGTTCAACTGTAATTTAAGACCAAATGAGGAAAAAGCTACTACGCCTAATTACAAATGTTCACTCAAGATGTCAAGTTATGATGATTTTGTTCTGCCAGCTCCATTGAACAAATATCTCTATGTTTTTACTTTGAAAGGACCCTACAAAAATCATAGCTTGACCTAACTCCATTCACATTTGGAGAAATTGGTGATAGTTGAGAACCAAAACAATTTGGGTTTCCTTATAATTTATAATAATTAGTTTGTACATGCCTTGTTTATTTTGAACTTGGAACACGCTTCCTCTGCCATAATTTTATCGAACCCTTGCTTCAGGTTGTCTTTGGAGAAACTTGGGAGAGAAGAACACAGGCAGGCGTCCACATAGTCTCTCAAGGACTGGAACTCTTCATTGGGATCTTCCACTGAAGCAAATTGTTGGTGAATAATTAAAAAAAAGTAGTAGCCTATTATGGTATTACCCTCCAAATATTCAATATGCATAGGTTAATGGTAAAATAAACATGGTCCCTAAACATAACAATGAGGGAAACGTCATGCTTAAATTCAAGTAATTGTAGTTACATCTTAAGAGTTGTTTGAAAACTTGTTAGAAATTAATTTTGAATATCTCTATTTGCACCGTTAAGGTTCACCTACATTATTTCTGCTCTCAGTTTTAACTGATTAACAAAGTTTTTCCAGCATGGTGAATTGAAGAAAACACCTTACTACACCTTACTTACACCTGTTGCCTTACTGATAATGGGAATGTTGCTGGAAATCGGTGTGAAGTAATTTAAGTTGGGTCATTTTATTTCTTTGATTTAAGACATCCCCCTAACCAATGAGTTTTCTCCGTAAAGAATCCTGAAAAGTGGGGTGATATCAAACATTTCATTTTCTTACCCACAAAATCTGGGTTAACAACTGGACAAACATAATCTGCTTTGATTAGGCTAAACCAGCAACAACATTGAAAGTTGGTTAACGTATTTTAACGTGTTGTCTGTCGGTCACAGCATATGCCCCGCATCAGAACATTTTCCCGCATCAGGTGGAGTTTCTCTTTATACCTGTCCCAAAGTTTTAAAAGTTTGGATTTATTTGTTTTATAAATATATTCTATAAATTATATTTTATAAATATAACCTATATTCTAACTTATATAGATTAGATACCTCTTGCAGCTTTAAGATTTGGATAGAAATTTTCATTTTCTCGTTTTGAACAGCATATATTATTTGCTTCTCCTGAATCATAAAAATAAACTTGACCATACCTACTCGATCGTTTAATACATAAACATTAAGAGGGTTCCCTACCCCCGCCTAAAAACGTTAGAAAACCGCTTCGCGCGGTATCATATAGCGATTCTAGTTTTAACATTTAAATTGTGAACCAAACACCATTTTGTACATAAAGAGTGGTTCTACTAAGTTTGCTTTTTAAAAAATGTCTATGCTTACGCAATCAAGGGCAACGACTTGTCAAAGTTAGTGAACTTACTGTAAAGTTCACTAACTTTGACAAGTCGTTGCCCTTGATTGCGTAAGCATAGACATTTTTTAAAAAGCAAACTTAGTAGAACCACTCTTTATGTACAAATTGGTGTTTGGTTCACAATTTAAATGTTAAAACTAGAATCGCTATATGATACCGCGCGAAGTGGTTTTCTGACGTTTTTCGGTGGGGGTAGGGAACCCTCTTAATGTATTCCTTCTCTTATATTTGGTCTAATATTGCTACTAAAACTTTCCATAGCAAATGAGTTTTTGAAACTTCTTATTTTTGACTTTAAATGTCTGGATTGTGGGTTAATTCAGTCAATCAACCTTGAATAAGTTTGTTTTGAGGAACTGGCAACTTAACTTAGAAGTAAACAATCCATTTGATTTTTTTCTCAATTGAAGTATAACAAATAATAAAAACGTTTACAATAAAAACCTAAGGTCTGCCAAGGTTTGGTATAATCTTACTACTTGAGCTTATATCATAGCAAAGACAGTATTATAGTTTCTACTAAATGTTTTGAAATGTCTCGATCTGTCAGTGTCACAAGTGGATATTTCTTGCATATTATATTCATTTGATCTGACATTAGGCAAGTTTACTTTACCACCGTGACAACACTATGTGCTTCGAATATTTTTTCACTTCCAAAGTAAGTTGCATAGCAGTACTGGCAAATATTATCTCACCAAGTGAATGTGAATTTGGATGTTTATCTGTTAGACCAGGCCTCCATTTTTCCACTCTCCTCATACGCATTAAGATATCTTATTATTAATTGTCTCCTCGTCCTGTTTTCAATTTTTCTTCTTTGAACTCGAGACATTTTCTGTTTTTCCAACAAAACTGATTGACTAGATCTTTAACCTCCTTAATATTACAAACATTAATTTACTCCCAAAAAGCTAATGATTTTCTTTTTATAAACAGCTGTTTTTTGTTTTAACATTTTTTCTATGTATTTTTTATGAGGAAAACCTTTGAGAGGGTCTCATAAGCCTGGTTTACACGGGTCGAGTACGGCGGGCGAGTCAGTGTGCGAGTTGCCACTCGCTTTTTAACTCGCTTGGTGTAGACATGCAGGCGAGTCGAGCAACGGGCGAGTTGATAAAAAGAGGTCAGTTGAGAGCGAGTCGAGTGATTTAGTTGAAAACCGAGTTGCTCAGCCCAGTAGCTACCCCAACCACCACGATTTGCCCCAAAACATCTGTTTACTGCTCTCAAGTGAGTCCAGCGACCACAGAATAAAATTTTTTTGTTATTTTGTGGTCGCTGACAAAGAGTCGATCACAACGTTCAGTATTTTTGGGGTTAGTTCAGTAGTGTATGCCTAATCACCCTCAATATTAAATGGTTCAGTTGAACAGTTGGCCCTGTGTTGCATTGTCTTGCTGTTCGTAAATCTACTCACTCTTATAAAATTCAGTTTTCAAAATTGTTGTACAACTTAAGATCTACAGTTCTACTGGAACGATTTTATTAATCAATGGGTTGTTAGAAAGCTCACTCCCTAAAAATGTTTTCTATCAGAAATACATTGAAAATAGTGTTTTTACATTTTTTTTATTTGGAGGCAACTTTTGGTTGCCTATATATTTTATTTTAAAGAAATGCAGTACCGGTATAGTAATTTGTAACAAATCTTATTCTTTTAGAATATCACCTTCCACTTTGGTCTATCGTATTAAAAAAAAAAACTTTTATGCAACCCTGTCTGAATTAAATGGATGATTCAGTTTTAATTCTAATAATCTAATTCAGTGATTTAATTAATTTATAAATTCAGCATTAAACTCTTGAAAGTCCCATTTTAAACTCAAACAACATTTAACACCAAAGCTACGGTATACGGAATACCCTACACCACAGAACACAGAGAAATTATAAAAATTACTTCTCTGTGCCTACACTGTCATTGTTCGAAATAGGAATTTTAGGAATGCGTGTAGACCAGTGTTTCCCAACCAGTGTGCCGTGGCACACTGGTGTGCCGGGAGGCCTCTGTAGGTGTGCCGCGAAATTTTAAGTAGTTAAACAATTTTTGATCAAGAAAGAAACTTTTAATGAGCAAACGTTGAGCACAAATTTCCCACTAGAACTCAAACCAGGGTTTATAAAATATTTCTCACTCATCATTGGTAAATTCATACAAAATTTTAATCAAGCTCAATGTTTTATTATTATTTAAAACTTTCCACATAATAAACACTAAATAATGTACACACGTTAGATAACAAATGTGAGTTTTATATTTTTTACCTTATATATATATATATATATATATTTACTAGTAAAAAATAGGTTTTACGGAGTAAGATGTAATTGAAAAAAAGAGTTTTTTATGCACTTACTAAATGTAATTTTAACCAACGATATTTTGTAGACAAGTGTGCCGCGACTACAAACTTGTTCTAGTTAGTGTGCCCTGAACGGAAAAAGGTTGGGAAACACTGGTGTAGACAGTCTAGTCAAGTACCGGGCGAGTTGAACAAATCAACTACTGGGCCTAGTAACTGGGCCGAATAACTCGTCTGACATACTCGACCCGTGTAAACCAGGCTATAGGGTAGAATTTTTAAATTCTAAAAGCTTATTGCAAAACTAAATATTGAGAAAATTTTTTTCACACCTTAAGAGTTGAAATTGATCCACAAATAAGGGAGGAGTAGTGTTCACAAAAAACGGCTTCACATATTATACAGGGTGTTTCACGGGAACCCTGACAAACTTCGGGAAATGGTTCCTTGGATCAAAACTATAAATAAATGTCCTATAAGCATATGTCCTAAACACACTTGTTTTCTATTTATACACAAAAATAGGTTTTATAGGTTTTCAGTGGGTGTATCTGTTGAACATTCTGACATCTAGATTTAAAATTGGACAAGATATTTTGATAAAACTTGCATTGATAGATAGAATATTACATTTCAAAGAGATTTCATTACTATTTTTGGCAAATATGTTGGGTATGACTAATAAAAATAAGTTTAAAAATAAAAGATTTTAAAAAATCTAGATAAAAAATTATTTTTTCTTTTTGACAGCTCTTTATGTGACTAGTCAATCAAGTGTTTACCTTGCAATTTAACCAAAATTTGTTGAATTTAACGGAGAACAAGGAAATATGAATTTATGTATACCTTTTATTGTTATAATTTTTGTCAAAATCTAAAATATTGTCAAATATCAAAAAATGATTAAATTAAGCAAAATAAACAAATTTTTTGTTTTTAGGTTATTTTTAAACACATTCTAATAAAAATTTGTATATTAGTTCTCTTAGTTGAGAAGTATTGCATAATGGCCTAAAAGTGGGTATGCTTTTTTTCTATCATTAAAAATGAAAAAGAAGAAAACTTTAATGTATCAAGATCAAGTTAAAATTTTGTATGGAGCTTTACAGGATAAATTGTCTTAATCCACAAAAAAAAGTATTTTTTCCCTACGTTTATTTTCAAAATGGCGGCCACGTAAAATTTTTAAACTTAAATTACCAAAAAAATTGCTGAATTTATGAAAACATGTTAGGAACACTTTCATTCAGCAATTTTAATTCCCTATCCAACGATACCAAGTTCAAAAAGATCAAATAAGAAATAGCTTAAATATTATGATTTTTAGTTGTAAAATGGGGCAAACCTGACTAGCTTAGCCTTATTCTACCCCATTTTACAACTCTAAAAATTGTAATATTTCATCTATATCTTATTCAATCTTTTTAAAACGAGTAAGTTTTTTAAACTTTTGAACTTGGTTTGGTATTGTTGGATAAGGAATTAAAATTACTAAATAAAGGTGTTTCTTGATTTTTTTTCATAATTCTGCCATTTTTTTAAATTTAAGATTTAAAATAATAAGTGGCCGCAATTTTGAAAAAAAAACGTCGTGGAAAAATAATTTCTTTTGTGGATTTAGACATTTATCCTGTAAAGCTCCATACCAAATTTTTTCTTGATACATTAATCAATTACGGAAATAGAAATGTTTAACACTTTTACCGACACCCCAGTCTGACAGGCCCATGGGAATACTTTTAATGGATTCTCTTCTATAGCAGATTCAGTAATAAGATATCATTATATTTTATGACTATAAATGGTTCACATGCCGAAGAAAGTGGATACTGTAATTACATCAACCTGTATGACTATTCTATTACTTATGCCTAACCAATACTAAATTTTTTTCCACATGGGTATACTACTTAATACGTCATAAGATAAAGCTCTATGTGTAAGTAAAAATTGCTTTTATAAAATATTTAGTCTTAGTGGTGCTGACTGCTGACCTGTTATATCAGCAACCTTAGCCTGGCCGCGGTAGTGACTGTAGATGGCACACAGCAGGTGAGCGCCGAGGCCCTGGCGTTGGAACGGAGGCAGTACCAGCATCTGGGAGACCCGAGGTCGAACACGGTCTGGGTACGCATAGTACTCGTACACAGTGCTGTAGCCTACCACGGCGTAGCTCAAGCTGCCCGAAGGGTTCTTGAACTTCTCATATCTGTTTTTAAACCCATAGAATTAAAATTATTAATAGGAGGTAATTGAAAAACATTTACTTGTAATATCGTACAGATCATTTTTCTTAGTCAGATAAAATGTCCACTGTTCTAACAAAGAAAAATGCAATTTAAGGTGTTGTAGATTGATTTGCAAATTGATATGATGTATCTTTGTTCTTTGTGCAACAACAAGTCATTCACATCACACATATGATCATCATACACATATGATCTAAAGGTACAGTCTAGTTCATGGGATATTGGTTCTTCTGGGTTGTATTTGATTACATTTGAACTTGCGTTTTTGGTTTGTGACAATTTTTAGGATTATGTTTTCAGATTTTAAATCCCTGATTTTTTCAATTTTTGTGGTTACAATAACCGAAACCAAAAACCAAGATAAAATCCAAATTATTAAATGTATATTAATGCAAACATTAAAGAACAATAGCATTGTACAAGGCAAAATATTGTATATTTATGTTATTGGATAGTTATTGCTCAGTTTAATTCTTATACTTGATGTCACCATTTAAATATTTTATTTTTATTTTTGGTAATCTTTTGGTGCTAGTATCCAAGTAAAGGATATATGTTTTCCAGTTTTGCGTGTTACTTTAATTTGTTTGGTATAGTTTTAGTCATCTAAACTTTCTTAGTTTACAATGTTTTATACAACTCATCTTGAATCTGAGTTATTGTTGGTTCCATCAGTGGGTTTTAATGTCCTAGTTGGTATAAATAAAAAGGTTGTGCTTATTTTAAGCGGCAAGTTTTGAATTTGTACCTGGATAACCTGGAATTGTCCTTGAATTTTATTTTGAAAGGTCGCTGAAAACTCTGCTATTTCTCAAACATGCTTAACTTGGAAATTTTTTCAAGTATTTTTGTGATATAGCTTAGAAGTAGAGAATTGGTGATTTTGATGGAAAACAATATTAACACCTTGAATAAGTTTGACAGGTCTTTAATGCGTCAAATTTAAGGTCTTGGGTCAGGAAAAATAGAAGATTATATCCAAAACTACCAGAAAATGAGAAATAACAAAAAAATATCCACCTTTTAACTTTGAAAAACGTCTGCTTTGTTTACATATCATAACAAATAATGAATCATCATTCTTATTCTACTTTTAATTCTGTTGATAGTGTGTGAAGTTTGTTTAACCCTTTAAGGTTGAATTTTTTTCTTTTTTCAGCGAGTATAGGTCGCCATTTGAGCAGTTGGGATAATGGCGTGTGGCGACCTATACTTGCCATTCAACCGCAGAGTAAATAATCAACAAATTATTTAGAAAAATACCGCTTTCACTTAAGTGATCTAATATTTGACTTATGTAATCTAATAATGATTAACTTACAATTTTCAGAGCTGCTGTGTGAAAGATAATTTGAATCTTAGTTTGTTTAAATATAACAATAATTTGTTTTACATTTGAGCTTTTTAGGGATATGTCCCTGCCACTAACATTGTAAATACAGTATAGAAGAATAGGTACCTCCAATTCCAATACTCACATCACAAAGAATTGCCACTTGGAATCATCAACATCAATGTAACTTGCAGCATCAATGTAAAATAATACAAATGTTTGAAGACGCTCATGGAAATTCAAGAACTTTTTGTTGTTTGTATCACAGTGATAAATTTCGTAGTTTTTGTTTCCATTGCCTGAAAGTCAAGTTTTAGATAGCATTTATTTAATAATATCTACTCATAGTTTGATTTCATTTTATAGGTTAGTTAATCCATTAAACCAAATTGCTATATGTGTATCTAATATAACAAAAACATTTAATGTTGAACTGGTGTAGATCCCCAATTTTTCCCAGGGCCGGATTTAGCATTTTGGCCCCCTAGGCCCAAATAACTTTCCGCCCCTAGTCTGATCACAGTTACTTTCCTTCAAACCTTTATTTAAAACTATATCGTGCCCCTAGGCCTAAGTTAATTGCTTTAATACCACTCCTCGTCAGAATTTTATCATTGCAAGTTATTTGAAAAATCATTGCAAGTTATTTGAAGAATTGACTTGTTTAGCCTTAACAATATGCCGTCTTAAACACTTTTAGCAATTTTATAATGTAAATGTAAATGCTCACGTTTGTGGAACTGAAACAAAACAACTCAACCCTCCGAGCATTCCTGCAAAAAAACATGGCCATTGATTCCAATTTCAGGCCTTAAAAATGAACTCCATACAGTACGTCTACCATAGATTAGACATACTCCTTTAATAGATTTGTCATCATTGTGGATTAGCTGAAAACAATCTTTGTTATTTAAACCTAGTTTATCCAAAATAAAACGATCTAATCATAAACAATAGGTCGTCTCCCCCTGGTTATATTACAAGAAATTAAAACACACATCATAGAACTAACCCTAAAATAATAGAAACAAAAGTAAGTCAAAACTAACGTCCAGTGTCACCAACATAAACTAAAAATGTTTGAATTAACAATGTGATAAGAAGTTGACTTGAGTTATAATTAATCTATGGTGGTACTGCATCTAGGTTATATTTCCAAATCAAAACAGAGCAATATTCCGGCCAACCATACCGATCCTTAGGTATGAGGAGAAAATTACAGCATTAATGGTGCTTTGGAGGGTATTGAATTTTTCTAAAACCTATTGCAAACTGAGATTAATATTTTTTCGTTAATAAATTTTAGGGATGGGCGAGTAGTGTTTTTTTGAGTCGAGTCGAGTCGAGTTGAGTAATTAGCCCTAATACTCGAGTATCGAGTCGAGTCGAGTCGAGTAGTTCACGAGAAAATCAACAATTTTATTTTACATATATTCCATCTTCATTTTTACGAACAAAGCATTTCTCAATTCACCAAAAATAGACCTGGTTAAAAACTTTTATACCATACTAGCTGACCCGGCGAACTTCGTATCGCCTAAGTAATAGGTTTCCCCTAAGACAGAAGAAAGAAAGAAGGAAAGAAAGTACCGTTACGTTTAATTTTCAAGATGATCTCGTTCGCATCGCTCAATCACGTCCTGGTTGAAGTTCGTTCGCTACGCTCACTCACCTTTGGGTTGGAGCTCGTTCGCCACGCTCGCTCACCTTTAGGTTGGAGCTCGTTCGCTGCGCTCACTTGTCTTCAGGTTAGCTCGTTCGCTACGCTCACTCGCCTCCAGGTTGAAGTTTGTTCGCTACGCTCACTCACCTTTTGGTTGCAAATTAGCTGTTGTCATAAATGTAAAAGAAATAATAGTGCTGCACCCTGTTGGTAATCCTTGTAACTTTAATGCTATTGAACATCATAGAACAGAACCAACTTGTTTAATTGAAACAGCTGTTAAGATTCATTAATTACATTTCTCATAAGGTTAACATGGGAAACTCCAGAGCCACTGGGGCGGAGCCCTTTTAAGAATTTCGAAACGGGAAATAGTTACGTCCGATTCGCATACCTACAGAATTTACACACCAAATTTCATAACGATCGGTGAAGTCGTTCCGGAGGAGTTTGCAGACAAACACTGTGACACGAGAATTTTATATATTAGAAGAAAGATAAAAAACACAATATGTATGTGTATCAAACTTATATTTTGGTGTTAAAGGTTTATTATTAATTGCAAAAAAAAATTGCAAAAATATGGAACTAAGTGTTTATTTTAAAATAGGCCTACTGTACATGTTTGAATTTGACTAAAGCATGAGATCTAATAAAGTTTCCTCTAATTTATAAATAGGCTTATAAGTATTTATCTAAGTCATTTCTCAGTTTTTGTATTTATTTGAAATTACATGAAATTGTCTTAGTTAACTCATTAGTTTATAATTTTATTTTTTTATTACGTACCTAGCCTACATTTTTGTCTACAAATACTCTTTGTAAGGTAAGTTTTTTTTCCCAAGTGAGTAAAAAAACTAACTTCCTATATAATGACATTTTCTTACTAATTATATAGCCTATCTTCAAAATTTGTTTAACTATGAAAAAGTCACAAAGTCTAGCTGAAAACATAATCATAAATGAGGATATTATTGAAATACCGGTACAGAATAACTAGGCCTAATCAAACAAAATTTTTAACACTTTTATTTCTCAACTTTTTTTCCTTGAAAATGTCAACAGTTTTTCACTTATTTTTAATAAAGATTATCACTTATAATTGTTTCAAAGAAGTCCAGATGTGTGAACTTGAAGAGCAGACAAGAGACATACGTCACTGCCACAAAAACTCTTCTCTACTGTGTATGAATGAACTGTTTATTGTGTGAAGCCCCACCCACCGCCTAACGGGACATGGGGGAGGAAAAGAGAAAGTTTGGCAGAATTTGCCCTTGTTCTAAAGCCTGGTTCACATGCCCTCCCTCACCCTCGGCCTCAGTCGCTTGCAGATTTCCATTACACAAGAGTGTTAATTATTTTGAAATACTGGAAATGTTTGAATTTGACTATGATGAGATCTAATAAAGTTTCCTCTAATTTATAAATAGGCTTAACTTTTTAAGTATTAATCTAAGTTATTTGTCAGTTTTAGTATTTCTTTTTAAAAGCAATTGCAGTTATACATTAAAAAAATTACAAACATCTTGGCCTACAAATACATTTTGTAAGGAGAGTCTTTTCTCTAGTGAGTAAAAACGATCGTGGTCAAGGAATGAACTGTGCTAAAACAGCACATTGTCAATGTTTACAAAAGTATTTTGACTGAAACCCTGGTATTTTTTAAAGACATTGCATAATAGCCTATGTCGACGTCTGTGGAGAAAAGTATGGCAATAGATAGGTTTTTTCTTTTAGCCTACAATAAAGATTATGTTTTGGGACTAAAATCTCCAAAAGACCAAAAGAGTGCTTTTAACAAACATTTCATAGTTTTATTTAGTAACAAAAGTGTTTGACTATGTTCCCGATTATACCAAGAACAAGGTTCGGCAGAGTGGATTCACTGTGAACCGGCCTTTCTGGCCCTTATGCACGACGTCACTATAACCTCCGTGTAGGGGTGTCAACAATGGATCGGAACAATTGAAGATTTGAACCTGTCAATAACCTAGTTTTTTATGAATGAATGAATGAATGAATGAATGAATGAATGAATTATGAATGAATTATGAATTTATTCCACCACATATATAAAAATTACACAACCAAATGTACAAAAGAAAAAAGTTCTTTATGCAAAACTAAACTAACTAACTATAACTAATTAACTATATACATGCGTAAAAGGTTGTTCCTATCTAATTAGTTCTGGAATTAGCAGACATAGGCTGTGCCTGTGCGTCTGCTAACAAACACTTAAATACTTAAATACTCATTATTTATAAACAAACACGTCCTACATATCGGATCTCGAATCACGATATTTGTCGATACCCTTTCCACCCACAATAAAACATTAAACAATGTCAAAGCAATCGTCATTTGCTCCATTGAAACACGAAAGTCGATTGGCTGACATGGTAGTGCACTGACGCCTCCTGACTAATGAGAACCGTTACATACTTTTATTGTCAACATTCACCAATCGTTTTAACATTACAAAATCGACACGGACTAAGGCTTATAATATTTTTCAATAAATACATTATGTTATAGTAGCACTTTAAACTTCTCTAAACTCTTTAATCAGGTAGATAGTACAGATCAAAATATGGATCTACTTTTTGGCGCAATATAAAGCAAGCCTAACCATACGACGATGTTAAAGTTTAATGGTTGAGTATAATTTTTCTAATGATGCGTATAATGCAGGGATTATTAAACTGAAAATTTTGACGTGTTTAGGTTATTTATTTTGTACTAAAAATAAAAATAATACATCTAAATGTCTGACTTATTGATACAGATATTGTTTAGTATAATTAATTTCGTTTTGGCAGGACATTCGCGCGCCGGTTGTCTCTTGAGTCGAGTCTGACATCTAGAAATGTAGATTCGTAGATTGTGTTGTGCAATGCTGAAGCTAAACAATGTCACCGGCACCGTCGCTGTTTTGAACTAGATAGTTTCTAAGTTGGCTATGAAAATTGTTAACCGTGATGACAAAACTAATACTGTAGCTATACAGTAAATAAATGTTAAAATAAAATATTTATCCCTGTCGGATGTCGGTATCATCGGAATCGACTTTTTGACAATCGAGTCTTGGTACCGATACCAGTCCAAGAATCGGTGGTATCGATGACGATAATCGAATCATCCCTTTTTACTAGTAGAGCTGTATGGTGACGTAATCGATGCATCGGGATTTTGATGCATGCTGGGTCGAATCGGGATTCGATGCATCGCACTCGCACACCTACACCACTCACTGCCTAGTGCCTATCATATCACCCAGTGTCAGCTCAGCTGTCGGCGCTGTCGGTCTTTGAAATGGATGACGCAAGCGATGTCTAGGTTGCCGATTATTAGTAGGCCTAGTATGTCAATATTTAAAGGGGTTAAGGGATTAAATAAAACTCAAACATTTTCCTTTCTTACTATTTATTTGTCAAATATCAATAAAAATAACGAAATCGGCTTAACGTCTACTACTCCACTCGAGTCACGAGTATCTTTAACTACTCGACTCGACTGTCAAGAGTCGAGTATTGCCAACTACTCGAGTAATTACTCGACAGTCGAGTACTCGCCCACCCCTAAAAAACAAAATTTATCATTTTTTAAATATTAACACATCGTATTATATATTTTAACTTAATCCTGCAGATTGTTGTAAACTAATCAAAAGATTAGTTAATAACTTTTGTTTTGTGAGGTGAGGGTGGTAAGTGTCTAGCATGCATGCACCCCTAATCCCTCCGATCAGTAGCGCCAGGCCCAGGCCAGTATAGTGGCAGTACAGTGGCAATACGATGCGTACCGATCGGGCGCTCGTCAACATCCCTACAGCCTACTCCCGTATAACCAATGTTCGTTACCAATGTTGTAACGAAATTGATGCGTAATTCTGAAAAATAGTTTAATTTTCTAACAATTATTTCTACCTATGAACTTCAGAATCAGAATGCTTTACTAGCCAGAGTTTTTTATCAGCTATGACTATTTATTTGTATTTTTAGATATAAGAAAAAAATCCTCTCGGCTGTGCGCCCTCTGGGAGCTCGCGCCTATAGGCCCGGGCCTATTGGGAAATCCGGCCCTGATTTTTCCACTCCATTTATATTTGGTTGATAAACATATAAACTACCGTATAGTTAATTTGTCATGAATTTTCTAATGGAGGTATTTATAATATAAAGAACAAACTGATTGACCAATTAGGCCCCTGGTACAATACGAGCGGCGAGCATTAAATTACGCTCTGACATCTAATCTCATTAAATTGCATGTAAATTTGTTGAGGATGGCCACGATAAGACAGAGCGGCGAGCGGCGGTAAGTGACGCCACTCAGTGCCGCTCATGGTTCCAAGTCATAATCGATTTTTGCAAAAACGCCGCTTGTCGCTCAGGTGAGTCATGCTTTAGTTCACCCTAAAATGACAGAACAGCAGCAAATGTGCGAGCCACCAGCAAAACTCAAGAAGACAGAGGTGAAGTTGAGTGATTCTCAAATAGAAGTGTTGGTACGTGACTGATGAGCAGTCCAGGGAATGTTTGTGGAACGACCAGCACACAGGTTTTAAATACACTTCAGTCACCAGAAGTTTTTTTTTCTAAAAACTAAGTTTTCTTTAAATGTGAACAATTGTCAGATAGCAACACTAGTTGCAATATGTCTTGTGGGTTAGCACAGTTTGCCATTTTCGACTTACATGACTCCTTAACCGGGGAAATTCAATGAGCGTAATAAATGTGCCACTATCTATAGAACCACTGAAAAAAATATATTTTACGCATCAAACTTTTGGCTACAACTTTGCCACAGACAAAACCTCTCTAACCAAAAAATAAAAAAAATTCTCACATGCTAACTTTTTCATGTTACTAATCATGATTTAAAACTATTTCACCATACATATAAATTTTGTATTAATTAGATCGGTAAATAGTTTGAAGTTCCAACAAAACAGTCATCAAGTAGGACTAACCAAGAAGCTCTGTGCCAATTTTCAAAATTTTAGCACAACTTTAATTACACCAAAACACAAAATTATTGAAGTCATGCGTAGAGAGGACTATCGTTGTTTTTAACAGATTATACTTTTGACCTTCCGGCACTGTTGACTCAGCGGAACTGAACTTATATTTTATCGTATTTCGTCATATTAAAACTGCTGTTGCATTAGGTCAAATTCCCAATGTGTCAATCGCTTTAACATAGACTACGTTTTTAGCACGGACTGTATTATTTGACTTACTGGGATTTTTGATCTACAGACACTACAAACATTGTAGTTTTTGACCGATCGGCACAAGTATAAATTATTTGACCTTCCGGCACTGTTGACTTTCTACAACGTGTCCATTATTAGTTGGATTGAAAAGTTGTGTTGTACTGTAAGTTGGAAGTAAGGTTTATATTCTAATAAATTATTTGTTTAAAGTTTGTGGTATCATTCCGTAACCTCACACAGCTGTTGGTCATAAAATGTTGCTCAAATTAGACATTACCCATAAAAGGTTACAATGAGATTCTGACCAATAATACAAACTCAATTAGGCCTACCCGAAAGCTTTTATCATATTTTTGTCTAGGGACTAGTAATGTTCACCTATTCAACACAAATATTTATTTTTAAAAAATAAAGTAAAGTAAAGAAAACTTACCTTGTTTCACACTGAATGATGCCAATTTGTCTCCAAAAGGCTGAAAGCTATCATCATCTTTTAAAGCTTTGGAAAATTCATCAATATTTGTTAGAACAGCAGGAACTTGAAGCTTTTCCTGAATAATTTTCATAACATTGTCTGGCTGAAAATAAATTATTATTTTAATTGTATTACTACTATCTTTAACGGTATTACTATCTTTAATGGTATACAAGCCATATGGTTTACATTCAAAATTTTTTAACACATTACTGCAACATTTTCCATCTTGATCAGTACAACTTAAACTAGGTGGCGTTCACAGTCATGTCCACAAAATTGAACGGAGCATCAGGGCATTATATTTCAACAGACCCTCACCATTAAGCTTCAAAATTATAGAGAAAAAATTGTTTTGCAAAATTTTTTGGGTGATTAAAATAGTTAAAAGTTAGTTCCTAGTGAAGAGAAATAATTTGTCAAAAACGCTAAGATGATGTTATATGGCTTTTTGAGACCTGCATTTGCATCTTAAGCTCAAGACCTCCTGAGGTGGTATAATAACTTTTTCTCAAACAGGGTGGTACAGTATCAGCTCCTACCCATTTTGTAAATATTTTAAACTGTATAACAGTTTAACTTTATTTGATGATAAGTATACAAATGAAAACACAAAAGAAATATCATTCTGTTATATCTAAGACCTGCAGAACTAAATAAAAATATATTGATTGGAAAATTAATTTCAACGACTGTGAAAATTTCTAACTAAAACCACAGACAAATAGGTCTATTGTATGTAATAAATACCCCCGCCGCAGCAAACCTGCCGACTAAGAGAATTTCTATTTGTCTGAATTGATTTTCAGTTAAATATATTTTAATAACATTAGGTTTAACGAGTACCTAGGTTTGCTGCTACAAAGAAACTAATAAAGTGTGTTTTTGAGTAAAATATTGATATCTTAGTACAAAATAAATAAATTTGCAAAGTTTGATCAAAATTAGAGATGGGCCGATTCCTGAATTGGTCGATTCCGATACCGATTCCGATTCTACAACTTTGGTTTCGATTCTCGATTCCGCACTCGATACCGATACCTGTTAAAAATTCATTTAATAACACATATAACTTATGAACTTATGATAAAGCCTAACTTTATTTAATCTTTAAATACAATAAGATAACTGCATTGAATTTATTAAGGTTACATAGATTAGGTTAGCCAAAAAGGAAAAATAAGATAGGGCTATTTCAAGAAGACATGAATTTTAACATATTTTATTAAATTAATAATTAATTGATAATAATAATTAATTGAGCACAATCACCAATTTAGGTACCGGTAGGCCTAAAATGTTCACAGAGTTTTTTTTTCATAAGAATTCATAATTCGTACATCTAGGCCTAGGCCTACAATGAATGTTCCATATTGTTTGAGTTATAAACTCAAAGTCATCTTCAATATTGTCATCATCAATATCACTTAAATTACTTAAAGAATCATATAAAAAGTCATGGAGTTCGTCACATTACTAGAAAGGAGTCGGAGATCATATCCATTTTGAACAACTCAAACTCACTATGCACGCACAGAAAACAATACAAAACAAACAACAAAAAACCAAAACATAGGTTAAACAATTCATTTGCCATTTGCAAACTCGTGACAGCTGTTTCAGTTCAGTCATAGAGAAACAGCATAAAAAAACCGATAAAAATACATCGCTAAATGGCTTTCTACAATAGTCACCATGAAGCCCTGAATTAGCTGAACAGTTCGTGGGGTCTCATATCTTATAATGTCATAGCTTATAATCGTGAATTTGTTCCATAGCTTATAATCAGTTATAAGCTATGCCACACTTTCACAAAAAATTATAAGCTATGCCACAATTTGGAGTTAGAAAATGCGAGTTCCATTGACTATATACACCTTATGTGTATTATATGTATATATTAAATGCTTGTACCATCTGGCAACATTGCCTTTGATCTGACAACATGGTGGCAACTAGAGTTCTGATAGGCCTAGTTGTCTTGTCTTCCTTGTCTTGTCACTGTTGTTGTCAAATGAACACAGCTCGTCGTACCCATTGCTACTCGTTCTGAAATGCAATGGCAATCTATTTTGGATTATAAAACTATTACGAATGTGAGATAATGAACTTGGAATTATTTATATTAGCTGACTTCAGAGTATTTCAAATAAACTATGATGTGCCACTTATTACAACCTTCAATGTTAGTTGAGTTTAGCATTATTAATTAACCTCACTTGGTATCGAGTACAATGAAGCAAAGTATCGAGTATCGGCGATTCTTCGATACCACTGGTATCGAAGGTATCGAGGTATCGAGAATCGGAATCGGCCCATCCCTAATCAAAATATATCCATAAACAAGCAAACTACAAGATTTGACATTATTCTCCATAAGAATAACATGGGAATTTTAAATTTACAATTTTTTAATTTTCTTCGTTACTAATAATCGAACAAAAATACTTTTACATACTAAATTATTTGTTTTTTTAAGCTCTTTAAAAAGGTCTAAAGAGAAATCGGGAAATTTTGTGTTTTGAGGGTCAAAAGTGAGAAAACCCAATTTTTACCCCATAAAACCCCCCGTAAAGCCCCGTTCCCATGGTCCGATCGTGCTGGTTCGCAAACTCATTCAAGTTTATCCCGCTTTACACCTTTAAACCAAATTTCATCAAAATCGGACAAAAATTACTCAAGTTATCGCGTTCACGGATGTATATATACATATATAAAAATTTGAACGAATGGTGTTTTTGGCCTCTGGGGACATCAAAATGAAAAAGTAAATCGATCCCGGGTCTAGGTCTTACCGTGCCACCTACGGTAATAGCTACTTCCCTATAGGGAAATTCGCTAAAAATTAAAAATCGTTATGACAGTGAAACTAAACATTGATCTTCAACTAGTTTTAATTCATGTTTATCAGATGTTCTTTCGTAAATTCTGGGTCAAAAATCAGTCCATTTATGGTTCGGAGGCGGCTCACTGCAATACGTCAACCCAGCACTGAATTCTCTTGATCCAATATCAACAACTGCTTGGTTCAGGGTCTTGCCTTGGAATTTGTGAATTGTGAGAGAATATGCAGGTGCCAATGGTAATTGTTTTCGGGTAGGGCCTACACTTATTGCCACGTTTACAAAAATTAGGTACATTAGGGACAATCTACACCACCGTATTCCATAATGTTGGGTTATCTATAATTACTAAATTCAACTAGGGCCTAATAAACATAAAAGCTGCATTTCCAAATGTGATAAGACTTCTTACGTTTGTATAAAATATTGTGGACGGTGCCAACAGCACAATTGACTAATCCTGTATTGGTCGATAAGTTGTAGCGTAATATGACTCTACATCCTTTGTAGAGGTATGCGGATAGTGAAATTTCAGTTCAGATCGGATTTGGTTTGGATAGTTAAGGCTCAGTTTGGATAATTAGATGTTTGGATTCGGATATTTTCAGATTCGGATAGTTTGACGTTCAAGTACATAATAAATAAATATTAATGTTGAAGTTATAATTTGCATTTTTATATATATAAACTACAATATGAATTGTAAACTACAGTAGAACCTTGATAACAAGACTCTCATTACACAGTGGATGTTTTATCCTAAACATTCGCCGACCTCACTGGACCACTTAATAATGAACCACTAAAAGGAATGAAATTTAGTTGGACTAAAGAATGTGAAGAGGCATTTATGTAGAGCAATATTTTAGTTATATTCAAAAATTTAATGAAAATCTTGTTAGAAATTGATTTTAAATATGTCATGAATGGATTTATTTTATATTTAATTGTTTATACTAAATGTAAATAATTAAATGAAAGGTTAACAAAATAAAATAATTCTAGCGTTTTTTATTTTATTTTATTCTTCAAACGGTAACACAATTTTTACATTAAAAATACATTAAATAGTGTTGTTTTTGTACTTATTCATATTTCTTGTTCTATTGCTAGTCAAAAACAAGGCTACTATTTCGGCCATGAGAAAGATCTAAAACATAATCACGTGAATTCATCAATCAACTGCGGGTTCCCAGTGGTTTTGCCGCTCCTAGATTTCAACCGGTGCGAAAATAAGCTACATTTTACCGTGTGAAAAAAAACGCACGTGTGGCCTACAACAGTGGGAATTTCAAGCAGCACGAAAATGAGCTAGTATTTACAGCGTGAAAAAACGGTCGTGTGGTTGTAGCCTGACACAATTGCAATTCTTGATTAATATTAATGCACAATAAAGAATATTGTATTGTATATACAAAACATGATAAATACCTACCTTAACTCCGCCAAAGAGATTAGGATCCACAACAGTTTGGTATTCGAGTCCAAGGTACATTGTTAAACGGCATGCAGAGTAGTACAGTTTTACAGTAAGCTCTTTGTATCCAAAAATGCTTTCGCTGAAACATAAATATAGTACTTAGGCTATTTCCTTTGTTTTTTTTTTTTACGTACAAAAGGTTTTAGATCATATAGAAGATCAACCTTAAAAACTACTTAAGGCACTGTAGTAATAAGTTAAAGATACTAAAATGTATACCTCGGGCCGAGGCAATGACCACAGCATTGCATATATGCGACGATCGGCATAGAACGTTTTAAAAGGAATTAATGAATCTCAACAGCTGTTTCAATTAAACAAGTTGGTTCTATGATGTTCAATGGCATTATAAAGTTACAATATTTACCAACAGGGTGCAGCACTATTAATTTTTTGTTTGAATAAATGACAACAGCTAATTTGAACTAGGCAGCAACAAAAAGCTGTGATACACAATGAGAAGTGTCAAAAAAGGATTGTTTACAGTTATGTTTATGTTCTTAATTTAATGAACGATTTGTGATATTCCCACAATAGGGTGTTTTTAATTTCAAGTGCATAATTCATAAACTTATTGATTCTTATTATACTAGTTTTCCCCCAAAAATTATACCTGAGAAACGGATTAGCTGGTTAATTCTTTACTCTTCTTTGGTTTCTGGTTTCTTTGGTTTTCTTTAGCTGGTGGTTTCTTTTCTTACTTTGCTCGAATTCGAGCAACTGCCAAGTATTACAGGCGTTATTTTAAAACGAATAACAGTCATAATTTCTGATGACTTTAAAAGATTTGGCTCAAAGATTATGGAAATACTCAAGACGTATATAACAGATCGATATAGGGCCTTAATAAACATTTCTTGTTAATATCTTATCATTTTTCAAAAGCCGATCTTGTTTGTTAGTGTTTTCTAAAAATGGCCTTACTCATAGCCGCATTAGGTTGTCCATAATAACGATTATAAATTCTAAAAAATAAAACGTTATTTCTATGCGGCTGTTGGAGAGCACACTTAAACCCAACACGGAAGGGTGCTTGCTGTATTCGGCTATCAACGATTATTTGTATTTCGTTCGCATCTACCAGTTAAAGTTTGTCGGCCTCATCCTATTGACCGACGCCTTATAGTCTCCATTATGTGTAACATTTTTTGGTTATGTTTTGATTTTGTGCAAATATAAACTGGTTTAAAACAGTGAAACATCAATCTTTTCAACTAATCTAATAAATCCTTATAGCACATGTCTCCAATTTTAGTATAACCAACGGTTTCAAATATTTGTGTCAATTTCAAAGTATTCATCTGTTCAAATGTAAAAAAACATTTTCTCCCTAAGTATAACATGGGAACTTTGAAGGCCACTGGGGCAGAGCCCTGATGAAATTCCAAAGTTTTTTTGTTTGATGGCAAAACTACATGCTAAGACCTTTCTAACGACACCTTGAACATGGTGATCGGTAGCACCACCGCTCCAAAACAATTATGACAGAAATATGGCTAGCGTAATAAAAATATAGATGATTTGGATGAAAGGAACTGATATTATAAATGTGAAAGTTTGGAGTAGGCCTATGTCAATATATTGAAAACTAACTTACTTAACCAATTGAGCTGATTTTTTCCCAAGAATATTGCCAATATCTCACAGGCTTGATGGACAGTCGTTTTTTTTATATACACACCTAGGGCTCTGCCCTGACGGCTTGTGAAGTTTCTATATTGTTATAATTCATTCTTTATTATAGTTGCCAAATTAATATAAACTACGTGTTTCAAAATGATTCTGTTGGTGTTTTATCAAAAATGTGGACATTTATATTTTGTGAGTTAACAAATTTTCATGCAGCAGATCTATAGAAAATACTGTCTTTAGCTTTCCCTTCCTGTTGCAAAGCACAGGTATAGCGGCTAGTTTTACAATATTTGCAAAAGCAAAGTACAAGTGAAACGAAGGTAAGTTACGAGATCACACAATAAAAAAAAAGTATAAAATATAAAGTATAAAGTATAATATTAAACAAAATAGCCTATAAGTAAAATGGATATGCAACAAATAATGAAGCTCAAAGGATTACTTTTTTCTTTCTATACTTTTTTTTTACCACGGGAGTTGTCCTTGAACACTTTCAAATCAAAAATGAAAACATATTTAATACAAAAATGTAGTGATGGGTGGATCCAAGAAAATGTCAGTACCGGATCCGGATCTTGAAAAAAATCGGATCCAAATACAGATACGTTATTTTCTTTTTTCAAGGGCGGGTTTTTTTAAATAATTCATATGGCTAAACAAGTGAATTTAAAATTTAAATTTTTTACAATTTTAAACCTTGAACTGACTCGAAAATGGCGTGTTCAATGATAAGCTTGAGTTTCAAAGCCGTACTCTACTCAAACTCGAATACTCGCACATCTCTAGACGTTTTGTGGTAATAGTATAAAAAAAATTAGATCCATTAAAACCGAATCCAGCCCAAGAGCCGATTTTTGGTGGATCCGATCGGGCTAGCTCAGATCCGGCGGATCTAGTAGTCCGATATCCGGATCCAACCATCACTACAAAAATGCCCATATACAGTGGAGGATTTTTTACATGTCAAAATATTTCTATTTAATTGTGCCTGTATTTTATATATATTTTTTTATACTAGATCTTATTATATTGATTGATTACATGTAAGTATTTATTTGCTGTAATAACAGCATTATGTATTTTGTGACTATTGTTAATGCATTGTGAAATGTCTACAACAATAAATTGATTTTCAAATCACTTGAATACTTGAAGTCAGTATTCAAGCATTCAAGTGATTTGATTTGATATACAAACATAATAGTATTTTACTTTATAATATTTTGAATATGCCAGTAGTTTTTTAAAATGGAATTCAAAGTTACCTGTCTCCAAAAATTTGATGTGACATTTCTGGTTTGAAGGATATAGAGTCATCTTCTAAATCTTCTTCCACACGAACTGTTAACAAAAGAAAAAGACTTCTTGTGAATGTTAAATTTATATTAAAATACCCTCACCGTGGCAAACCTGCAGACTAGGTGAATTTCAATTTGTGTACGTTAAATTGGATTATTGAATTGTTATTTACTTAGAATTATTATTGAATTACTAAAAAAAATCCATAAACAAGTCATCTTTATACAAGGCTAGCTGCTGTACCCGTGCTTCGCAGCTGAAAGAAAATTCAGTTTTGAAAAACGGGTTAGGGACCTTTATATCATAACACTAGCTGTTGTGCCCGTGCTTTGCAACGGGAAGAGGACACAAAATAGAAACATTTGTATCTTTACATCTGTTACATTTAATAAAGTTACACATCCACCAACGCTTTTAGAAACAAAATTCAACTTTTATGGCCTTAATAGAAACGTTTAAGTTATGACTTTTAAATCTGGTAAGTAGTGGATACCACCATTTTGGGTTTGATTAATTTTAAATCTTGTGTAGGCTGATATGAGAAAAACTGACCAAATCTTCGAATAAAACTTTCACATACATGATTTACCTTCATCTCCATTAGTTACATATCTTTTTTCTTTATTTTTGACATTTTAAATTTCAATTTTTAAGCTGCAAAAATACTAATTTTTAAATTTAAATGAACATTTTTTAATTTCACTCTTCTTCATATTAAATCACAAATCCTTCCATCTTCAGTTTCTTCACTCACAATAAATCATTAGCAAGCAAAACTAAGTCAGCTGTTATAATCTTTAGAAATATTGTTGTGCCTTATCAATAGTCTTTTGAAATGTTAAAGAAACTATACCTGTACTATAATATCTTGTACTCGATATCTTGAAAGCCTAGTTAATACTTATGTCAACGTAAAAGGTAAACATTGTGAATTTTCTCATACTTTAATTATTTTTATTTACACCATACTGATGGTGTTTCTAATAACGGACAATGTTGTTTATCATACATTTCATTTGAAACATACAAAGTTTATTGGCTCTTATATAAATTTACTCAGAAAGGCCTTTTCTATTTCCAAATACCAACGAACAGTAACTACTAGGAAGTCCTCTAGTTCATCTTAACAGTTAGAATTTAGTCACTGAGAAGCGTGTCACCTAAACAGTCACCAATAGGTTGCATATGTCTTTAATACATACCTAGTTTAAATTCGAGCGCTTCATTGCTATCACAAACGTACTCTGCTTCCTTTGACCCCGCAATATCCATGTCCATCTGAAATAATGGTTTAGGCTATCTTACTATTGCGTAATTGATTGTTGCCAATGTAAGCCTATAGCTAAAACCTACAGGCCTACAATAGCCTATAAAGGGTTGCTGCAATTAATTGCCGGTTGTAGTATAAAATATATTAAAAAGAAGTAACTTAGGCTATAAGTAGGACATATTAAAAAAAAACAGTATGAATATAATGTGATAAGCAGAAGCAGTGGATATCCCTAAATGCAGTGAATGAATGCTGTAAGTTATATTTAAAATCGAAGGCTTGTCTTAGAATCTAATTTATTTTATAGTGGAGGGCTGGGTAATTATATCAACCTCCAGACCTCACACGAAATTCAAAATTATTTTTTTCAAAATGTTCAAAATTTCACGATGATTCCCAAATTGTTTGTTGATGCTTATTTGGCAAGTACTGTGTCATTGATGTATGGTTTTTTGTACCATTGAGGCTTTTGTCGAAAGCTCACAATGGGGGGTGTTATGTTTTCTAAACACCCGATTTGCTTGGTCAACTAGAACTGAGAACCTACCACAAGGATCATAATTTGGTTCACCTTGTTTAGCCAGCAAAGTACTATCTGTAAGATGGAAAAATCGAAGTATCGTTTCAAAGCGGTTTTGGCTAAACATTAGCCTAAACCAAGGCAAACTTTGACTTTTACTTTTAACCCTCCAGTTGCTATCTATGGTAGGTCTTTTATTTAAGCCCATATTTAAAATAACAGCTATAAAGGCCTTCATCTCCAATACAGAAACCGGTTTCCAGCTCACAGGACTAGGCATATTGACAAACTTCTCAAAATATTGTGAGGCGTACAAATTTGTCTGAGTGACAAATAGTTCAAACAGGGCTTGTAAGTGTAAAAAACAAGGAAAAGTATGATAATGGTTTGGCATCATTTGGGAAGCAATGTTTGGGACCTGGAATTTAAAAAAATTCATAATCTGTACAATTACCAGGGTCATTGTCTTCTGTATACAATCCCCAACCCTCTTGCATCAGCCTCCCCAATAGGCGTTTAAACATTATAAACATTATGATCAGGCTGGTTCGCAACCCTAGGCCTACGGTTACGTCTATCTGAAGAATCATTATCCAAGTTTTCACTGTTTTGAGAAGAATTAGCACTTTTAGGAGGTCTGCCCTTAGGCCTACCAGTTGCAGTTGATGGAACAGCCTCCTCCTCTCAACTACTCTCTGGTAGACACTGTTGGTTCAATGTCTGGGTCTTCGTCTGTATCATCTACAGGTTCACTGTCATCATCACTAGGTCTATTACATTCATTTTCTAATTCATCTTCAGAATCATTGTCATACAGGCCTAACCTCCAAATCACTATCACATAATCCTCCATCAACATCCAACAAACTGACCTAATATGTTGTTCACCAAAGTATTTTCACTTGTCGGGGACTGTTCTCTCACTCTTTTACTTATATTGACATTTTAAAGAGTAAAGACACTTAAAATCCGTTAAAATACACAAAATTAACTTAATATCAGAAGTTACAATAAGTCTAAACACAGTTTACTAACATAAACAAAACATTGCCAATAAGGAATGACGACACTAACAATGTCCCGAAAGACAGCTGAGTAAACAGAGTTACCAACATAATGAAGATTTTAAAAATAAAAGACCATTCAGTATGTTTCTTCTAAATTATATACGGTACTACCAAAGACTACATGCCAAATTACAGCATGTTTGGACGTTTTGGTGGCCTGTAAAGACAATTTAACAGACGGGTACCTATCACGGCCGCCGGCCACGGGCGCGGATTTAACCGCAGGTGCCTATTTAATGCAGGTCGGCCTTAAAACGGAATTACCGAGGGCTGCACTTCAGTTTACATCCTACACTCATTCTAATGAAAAATATCGATATACCTATAAGTTAGGCCTAGATTATTTGATATGTCGGTTATTTCATTCGGTTAGTTAGGTTAACCAAACTTGACTTAACTTAGGCCTAGGCCTATTTTGAATGAAATAATCGATAACTTAAAATATTGATCAATATGTTCATTCGAATGAGTGCAGGACGTAAACTAAAGTGCAGCCCAGTAGAGACCTAGGTTTTTACGTTGAAACGTTATCGACAATCCTTTGTCTCATAGGTTAGCTAGGTAAACGTTTAGGCCATCAACTGGGGAGAAACTTATATAAGTCACCACTATTTACTAAATTGGATCGTACAGTAGGCCTAAGCCTTAGATTTTATGTTCAATAACTCCAGAGGCTAGGCCTAGGCCTATATCTACAAATGTAGGCTTAACTTATGGTTTAATTTTGTTTACTCACATGAATCAAGTTTACTAGGCCTAGAACTTACTAGGCTAAGTACCGGATCTTATAATCTATGAAGACAGTTACTGCAAAGGTACAAAAATGAGCAGTTCATAAAAAAATTGTGAAAATCAGAGGTGTCTAGGATCACCCAAAGGTCTATATGACTAGGCCTAAGATAATCATTGTGTAAGCCTAGACTGTATGCTAAAATAATCTATGACAGAGCCAATAAAAGAGAACTAACCTTGTGATTTTCAGAATCCCCAACTTACTCAGTAGCTTAAAACATCAATGATCCAAATAACGAAGTAACCAGCTTTGCTTAGGCCTGTGTGAACTGGAAGACTAGGCCTAGTAACTATAATTTATGTTCAACCCAAAATGTCATGCAAGTGAACTTTAACCTTTTAAGATGGGACCGAATGACAATGAGTTTCGTGTTCAAGTTGAAAACAATAATTTCATCACACGACCACACACTGACCAAATAAATCCTGCTATTGCTTTTGCCTATTTAAATACAGTACTAATATTTTTTTTTATTTGGTCTTGGTCGACGTTGGACGTTGGCTTGGCTGAATACGGCTAACCTATAAACAAAAACCAAACCGAACCGAGCTCGATGCTCGAGCTGGAGCTGCAGCTGAGAACGAGAACCGAACCGACAACCGAAAGGCCAATATTCGATTCAGTAGTTCTAGTTCTGTACTACTTCTGTATAATTGCATATCGAACTCGGCTTTCGAAAGACTAATTATTTTTTTATTTATTACATGCACGGCAAACGCCATTTTACAAGAGAGTATGTTGAGTTGAGATTTATAAAAATTAAATGTTACTTAAAGTTTACATGCACGGCAAACGCCATTTTACAAGAGAGTATGTTGAGTTGAGATTTATAAAAATTAAATGTGACTTAAAGTGAAATAGTTAGTCACTATTAAATTAGTTTGCTTTGTGCGATACAGTGCTATCGGATCGGAACGGATCGTCGATCATTAATAGAAGCAATGCAAATGTCCAAGTCTAGGCCTACCCCTCCTCGTTCACTTTCAATTTAATTATTCAACGTGCCTTTCACAGCTTTCGATTCGATTCAACCCCTCACTTGCATGCATTTCTAGATGAAGCTGTAGCTGTGTACAGTCCACACTGACACTCATGACTTGTGCGTCACTTTCCTCTCCTCCTCAAAAGTTTTCGACTTTCGACTTTCCATTCCAATAATCCAATACGATATTTGCCTTCGATATGTTTTGTTTGTATCGCATCGCATCGCACTTCTAACTGGCATGGCAATGATGGCACACTACGAAATGGCGGGAACTCTTTCTTTCCATCTCCAAAGAAGGCTGGCTGGAGTAAACAATCATGCAGCTAATGTTGACATCGATTAAATCCAGATCAACTACTGGAACTTTGGAACCAGCCTGGGTTGGGTAAGTTTTAGAATTTGGAGTTAAAAAATACCCCCGCCGCAGCAAACCTGCCGACTAAGCGAATTTCCATTTGTCTGAATTGATTTTCAGTTAAATATATTTGAATAACATTAGGTTTAACGAGTACCTAGGTTTGCTGCTACAAGGAAACTAATAAAGTGTGTTTTTTAGTAAAATATTGATAGCTTAGTACAAAATAAATAAATTTGCCAAGTTTGATCAAAATATATCCATAAACAAGCAAACTACAACATTTGACAATATTCTCCATAAGAATAACATGGGAATTTTAAATTTACAATTTTTTTAATTTTCTCCGTTACTAATAACCGAACAAAAATACTTTTATATACTAAATTATTTGTTTTTTTAAGCTCTTTAAAAAGGTCTAAAGAGAAATTGGGAAATTTTGTGTTTTAAGGGTCAAAAGTGAGAAAAACCAATTTTTACCCCATAAAACCCCCCGTAAAGCCCCGTTCCCATGGTCCGATCATGCTGGTTTGCGAACTCATTCAAGTTTATCCCGCTTTACACATTTAAACCAAATTTCATCAAAATCGGACCAAAATTACTCAAGTTATCGCGTTCACGGACGTATATATATATATATAAATCTATATATATATATATATATATATACATATATAAAAATTTTAATGAATGGCGTTTTTGGCCTCTGGGGACATCAAAATGAAAAAGTAAATTGGTCCCGGGTCTAGGTCTTACCGTGCCACCTACGGTAATAGCTACTTCCCTATAGGGAAATTCGCTAATAAGCCAAGTACTTTAAAATCCATTTACATATGCCCATAAATCTAAACTGAAATCTGTCTTCAGCAAAATCACACGAGCTGCAGCACGGCCACCTTTCTTTTTCGGAATAGGGTTAGTAGCTGGGGACTGGAGCGACTCACTGCAGCAATCAAGATTCTCCTGAAAATATTAGAGTCTCCTGAAATTTTAATATTATTTTATTTTACTTGTGCAGTGTTGTTTTTAAACTCATTGACATTCAACTTTTAATGATCACTACCATATCGACGCAATTTACAGTAAGTAATAATACTTTTGGGACAATAACAAGTGAACTAACCTACAAACTATCGTATCATTTAATTTTACGACTGGTGGGTTTAATTTTAATTAAGTTCGAAGAAGATCGTCACTCGTAAATCTAGTTTGATTAAAGCACAATTGTTTTATTTTAATTTTATACGTAAAGATATATTTTGTTTGACATGACTAATGCAAATTTGTATTCGTTACTTTTGTTTAAATAAACGAGTTATTGAACCGTTTTATTGAACGGTTATTATTATTATTTTATATGGCCCGTTATTGAACCGTTATTAACGGGCACTAATGCATGGTGCGTGTATGAGATCAAAAACTAATTTTTCTGAAGACTCTTTATACTTTGCCCCATTTGCTCTGTTGCCCTCAACATTCCCTACAAGGGAGTATAATCGAGCGGTCGCACTGCAGCCTGTGATAAAAATGAGGTTGAGTTATAGCTGCAGCTGTGGCCACATTTAACTCCAGCTGCGGCCTGTTAGAATTGGCAACGTTGCAAGTAGTGTCGTCTAGCTCTATTTCTAGACATCCCGTAAGATAACACGACAGACAGGTGACACCAGCTCATTAATTTGCGTATTATACATTTAAATTTAAAAAAAAAATAAACATCAATTTATTAAAGGATTGAAAATCAAACATTGAAAATCTATTTTTGTACATTTAAAGTGGAGTCAATGTTTTCATAGCCCAGTAACCAAGCTTTAAAATCTTATATTTATAATCTTCCATCAAAATTAAAAAATGAAATAGTCATAAAAGTGTTAAAAGAATCATGTAAAATCATTCAAAATCATTTATATGGACAACGTTTTTAATCTATGTTACATGTTATTTATATCGTAAATTTAAGTTTTTTTTTTACTGTGTCTAATAGGCAAAGTTTATTAATAAACTCAGTTTTCAAAATAATAAAATAATAATCTATAGTATTGATATTATCTTATCAATTCATAGGTTTGTAGCGTTACATGATGTCTATTGAAGCCTGCTGAAAAGCAAAAAGAAAAAGAGAAAAAAAGAAGACAAGGAAATTGGAATTCAAATATGTCTGAATGTCATCAACAGACAACAGACAACAACGGTGAACTAAAGCAACTAACTAATAACAACTATGTGTAGATCTTTTATATCGTCTTTATTTATTTATACTATTCTATCTTTTTAATTGCATTTTCTTTAAAAATATAGACTATCAATGTTAGCTTTTAAAACCTACAATGTTTATTGCTGAATGTGATGTTGAGGAAGTTAAAGGAGAAGCATATAAACTGCTCAAAAAGTGGGGTGTAAAATTGAGAAGTAAAAAGTTTGATCTCAAAACAGTAAGTAGATTAATCCAATAGCATGTAACTTGTTTTTAATTTAGACCTTAACAATGAAATATTTTACCGAGAGCAGTACGTTTATAAAAAACACAGCTTTAAAAAAAACTATGTAGGGCCTAGTTATTTTTGGTTGGCTTAACCTAGGCCTATGTTCTAAGAATTCATGTAAGTTAACTTATGTACTTAGCCTACTTATCGCCCTTAGTTCACGTTTATACTGTGTCATTCACTTACCATAACCTCGGCATACCCTTATGACAGCATGTACAATGACCCTTGTGGCATAGGTCTAGCAAACAATGACGTAAATTAGCCTAGGCCTAGGCATCTACTTTCAGTTGTGTTCTCTGGAAGTTTCGCCTATCAACTACAATGTTCGATATAACTTAATTGATGTTAGAATTAATTTTCTCCTCAACAAACAATTCGTTTTTTGAGCTTCATTACAGTAAGTTACTAACGTATAATCAGGATTGTTCGATTGTTTGCAATCTGCTGCTTTCTGACATATTCTGGTGCAAGCATTTTTGAAATAGTACTTTACGGTGTTTTGCTCCACAGGGCATTAACTTAATTGTCAAAAACAGTCTGTAAATAACATAAACTAACAACTCGATTCATTGTAACCTAAACTTTACCTTCCTAATCTAACCTAAGTTAACTTCAAAACACAAATGCAGTCATGAATTCGCATAAAGCTCGACCAACCACCCTGACATGCCTTAAGGGGAGACTGTACCTTTTCTGGTTCAATGCTTTTTAAATGGATATTTTCTGGTTCAATGCTTTTTAAATGGATATTTTCTGGTTCAATGCTTTTTAAATGGATATTTTCTTCAAGTTCAAGTAGGTACATATAGCACGAAAACTAATAAACCTATCATACTGATTTTTTGCACACACTTAATTATCACATCCATATCTTTATGTTAAAAAAACCACTTTTTAAAGAAATATATCAATAACTTATACAAATTATTTTCAATCATTTAAAAAATACAAATTTTTATGTGATATTCTAAAAATAAAAATAAATTATTTTTTAAATGAAAATTTATAACTAATCAATATATGATTGGTTTATTGTAGGCCTACTCACCAAGTACCCAGACTAATGCATGCAAAATTTTAAGTTTTTATGTAGGCCTATTCCTATTACAGATTTTGAACTATGTGTACCTAAAGATAAAAATACCCCTGCCGCAGCAAACCTGCCGACTAAGCGAATTTCCATTTGTCTGAATTGATTTTCAGTTAAATAAGTAGGCTATAGTATTTTAATAACATTAGGTTTAACGAGTACCTATAGATTTTCTGCTACAAGGAAACTAATAAAGTGTGTTTTTGAGTAAAATATTGATAGCTTAGTAGGTAGGCCTACAAAATAAATAAATTTTCCAAGTTTGATCAAAATATATCCATAAACAAGCAAACTACAACATTTGACAATATTCTCCATAAGAATAACATGGGAATTTTAAATTTACAATTTTTTAAATTTTCTCCGTTACTAATAATCGAACAAAAATACTTTTATATGCTAAATTATTTGTTTTTTTAAGCTCTTTAAAGCCTCGTTCCCATGGTCCGATCGTGCTGGTTCGCGAACTCATTCAAGTTTATCCCGCTTTACACCTTTAAACCAAATTGAATACTTAGAATATTAGAAAGCTTTTTTATGATAACAATAAGTAAACAAAGCTAACTCTACCGAGGTTTCGGCCACATTATTCTTATGGCTTTGAGTGTGTGCTGCAAAGCTTTAAGTGTGTTTTTCCGAAAGTTTGTTTTAGCGAATTTCCCTATAGGGAAGTAGCTATTACCGTAGGTGGCATGGTAAGACCAAGACCCGGGACCGATATACTTTTTCATTTTGGTGTCCCTAAAGGCCAAAAACACTATTCGTTAAAATTTGTATATATGTATATATATATATATAGACATATATATATACCTATATTTTCTTACTCAGGAAGAAACGCAGATTAATTTTAGACGAAAAACAAATATTTAATTTTTTAAGACAAACAAAGTTCAGTCTCCCCTTAAGGGGATATGGCAGTAAAATAGGCCTAATCAATTTTTTTTTCAAAAAAGTGATTTTTTAAATTTGTCTATTATTTATTATTTATAATGTAAAAAATAAGAAAAATTGGTCAAAAATAAAAAAATATTTTTTTTTAGTGCTTAGGCTAACTTATATAGGCTAGAGAAAAATCCGGGAATATTTAAAAAAAATCCGGTCATTGACTTATTTTAGTAATAATCATAATAATTATCATTATTATTAATATTAATAATATAATAATTAAGTAATAATTACATAATAATATAATAAATAATAATAAAATGCTTGCATAAACAATAAATCTTCAAAATGGTTTACCTATACCGGTGTGGTCCATTAGTACCGAATCCATTAGTACCGAAAGCAAAATAAGTCCAATAGTGCCGAATGCAATAGTGCCGAACTCGTTCGATGCTGTTGGACGATTTAAAACTTCTTTCGGCACTGTTGGACGCTATCAAAAACAATTCGGCACTAGTGGATTTAAAACTGTTCGGGTTCCAATAGTACCGAACTGTATATCCTTTTTAAAATCGAGTGCAATAGCACCGAATCCAACAGTGCCGAATCAGGTTTTTGGTGTCATATTGTCAAATATCACGTTCGACGTTGCCGGATTTTAAAATCCAACAGCACCGAAACAGATGTTTGGGTTTCAGAGCCGAAAGAATGTGGCAACAGTCCATTAGTGACGAACAATAGAACATTCTCCCCCTTTTCAAATGGGAGGAGTGAGGAGGGGTGATTAAAACAACATGGCGTCGGTGCTCAAAGCCTCCGCCCACAGTTCCCCACCCTAGCACCTCACAGGAGTGAAAGAGTGACAGACAGTGAGACAGTTGCAATGCAACGCGGCTGCGTTAGACGGCGGTCGCAGCATGCTTGTGCGGTGGCCATGGCATTGGTTGCGGTATGAGGGCTACCAACTAAGGAATTTCTATTAACCACGCCACTAGTGTTTATTTTTTTATTTATTTATTGAACACCAACGGCAAACACCATTTTACATTAAGTAAAGCTACAGATAGCAAAAAATTAGGAAAAATTAGCTGTCAAAGTGTTGATTTGTAGTGAGTAATGATGGTAGCCTACACATCGTTTATTCGTCTTATGAACATTACTGCAAACTTGGCCTAGATTTGATTTTGTCAATAAGCTGTCCAATATTGACTCAATCGCAATAGGATCCGTCATTTTACACGCACAAAACTTGAAACTGATTCTCAGATAAAACAAAAGAAACAAAAGGACCTACGACGGGAACGGGAAGTGAAATAGAGGAAAGCAAGTCAGTACACAGTGTTGTGCTGAGTTTCTTTTGATGAGTTTTCAGCATTAAACAGCGCCGCTGCAGCACACCACAGAGTATAAAAACTCCCAAATTTAATGCACCTAGAGGCGTGCGGCTTCTGCGGCTCGTAGGTGCGCCGTCGTGCATACAGGCAGCCGCAGCGGCGTGTGGTAGCCGCCGCAGAGTATAAAAGCACCCATTCAACTCAATGCACTTAAGGGCCGTCGAACGCAGCGGCGTGCCGCAGAGTATAAAAGCGGCCTAGTCTCAAACTGCATCCATTCACTCAGTAGTAAGATGCCACTGTGCACCAATAGTCACCGAATCTTAGTGTATACACTACACTTATGTGTTGTTGCAATAACAATAGCCCAAGGGAAATATGAAAAGAAAATGATTTAATATTGCATTGTCATCCATTTGTGAGCTGTTTTAAGTTTAAAGTCTAGCTCATCGAGAAATTAGTTTAAAATCGATTGTAAAATTTGTACCGAACAGACAAAAAAGTGAGCTATTAAAAACGTTGTAACAGTTGTGAGCTATGTTTCAAGTTTCAGCTCATTGGGAAGTTAGTTTAAAAATTTATTAGAAAATAACATTTTGAAAATAGCTTTATTAAAATGTTCGTCTATGCTTCAATCTCCGTTTGTCTGTATCAGCGAATGATCGTTAATCATTGTTAGTCACTTATGAACCCATAGTTTTGTTTAAGCTTACTGTATTTTTGTCTATACTATATAATACGAGCAACCTTTGAGCACATTGATTTCAAAAATGGCTCCTATAACTGTTAGAAAATGTCCTAAATTTATATTGCATAGAAATTTTATTATTTTTTACCTCTTATGGAAATCTAGCCCGCTGTTATATATTTAAAACTCTCTAATTTAATTTTAATATTTATAATATGACTGGATTAATATTGTAAATAATTCAATGTTTAATTTTCATTATAAAGAAATAAACATGATTCAATAGTTGTGTTCCATATATTTTGTACGAATTTATACCTAATAATTTAGTGACGATGAAGGAAATGACTGAAATACAAGGCCTTATATCTACCTTAAACAAATTTATGACAGTAATGACACAACAAACAAGTCAACAAACAGAACAGCCTAGATCAAGACAAAGTACCAAGGAACTACTACAAAGCAATGCATTAAAGTTTGATGCTTATGATGAAGATAAGGAAACATTGAAAGCTACACTCAGCGTTTAGAAATATTTTTTTTTAAATAAAAGGATTGACGGACAATGATTCAGAGACTGAACACTTGAAAGGTTTGTTTTTAATCAATTGCTTAGGCGCTAAGCATTCCAATCTGATCTGCAGTCTAACATCTCCAGACAAACCAGACTCAAAAACATACCAAGAGTTACGGTTATTACTAAATGAGCACCTAAGCCCAAAGAAGAACATACTTACAGAACAGCACAAATTCTTATCACGTTTACAAGATAGGAATGAATCAATAACAAATTATATTACGGTCCTCAAACAACTGGCTTGTTCAGCAGATTTCAAATCTGGTAGTAAAGACGGAAAATGCACAAAATCAGTTATAAGCCTTATGCTAGTGCTTAATTCGTCAGAGGCTTATATGACTCAAATATCAGAGAAAGACTCTTACA